CTTATTTCCCATATACTTATTATGAAAGTAAATATTGAATATGATTGGATATTTATACTTTTAGCCTTGAAAAACCCCTTTGAATCTCGGCATTTCTCTTTGCTTTCTCTTTACGAAAAAACAAATCGAGTCTAGTTTTTTTGTCTTTGAATCTTCACCAAAGATGGACTCGAGAAAAATTCTTTTTATTTGTTTTTGTGATTATTGAATCTGGTCTTTCTTTTCTTTTTTTTGATTTTTATGGATCTATTTCTAGTTTTTGCGTTACTCATTTCAAAAGAACAAATCGTTTTACTTTTTTGAAAAAGAGTAAAACAGAATGTAATAGAAATCAAAAGGAAACACTCTTTTTCACTCTTTTTATTCTGTGTTGAAAATACAAGTTCTTACAAAATCGATTCGAGTTTAGCGAAAACACAGCTGATCAAAGAGTAATATATGTTCCCAAAGCAATATGTTCTTGTTTCAAAGTTTAGTAATCAAACAAACTCAAACTTTCACACACCTTACTTAAACACTTCTATTTAAAAATCTATTTCTATTATTTAAATGAATAGAAAAAGCGAAGTGTTCAGCATAAATTACCAAACGTCAAAATCGATTCGAGTTTAGCGAAAACACAGCTGATCAAAGAGCAATTTGGTCTTGTTTTCTTGTTCTTGTTAAAAAATTAGGATCGGATTGGATTGTCTTCAGAAAAATCAAAAATTTTGATTAATATTGTATATTTATTAGAAGATTTATTAGAAGATTTATTAGCTTTTGATTAAATCAAATTAACTCACCAAACGAAAAACGTGATTAATGAGGCGCCGACGGTGATCAACGGGCCTATTTTCATTTCATTTAACTTTATTCAAAAGATTAGAATGTAATGTAAACATTAATTGTGAAGAAATGTATGGATTTTATCGGGTTTTCAGTATTTTTGAGTAATGCCATCAACAAATTTTGAATAGTTAGCTAACTTGGGATCATGAATCAAAAATGAAGATTGCGCTGAATGGAATTGCCTAAATGGAATTGCCTAAATGGAATTGTCATTCATCGTTGCTTTGTGCAAGTCTAGTATCAATATATAGCCCTTCAATTGGGCTACACGATGGTATAAAAAACTTTAAGAAAAACTGTTGCCTAGTACAAGAAAAATGGTGGTAAAGTGAAAGCACACTGCAAAAGACGGTACGTCATTGCTAGCATTGAAGAAAACAAGAACAAACTGTAAAGAATTGCTCTACATCAACATAAAAAGCAAAATCTGATGGTGATTTGTTCTTGTTTCTTGTTCTTGTTAAAAGCTCGATGAGTAAGCGCGTTTTTTCGCGTTTTTTCAGCTGCGTTTTTGCTAAGCTCGAATCGATTTTGACGCTTGGTAATTTATGCTGAACACTTCGCTTTTTCTATTCACTTTCAAATTTCTCGATTTCCGTAGAGAACCGGTTTTTTTCGAATCGCTTACTCATCGAGCTTTTAACAAGAACAAGAAACAAGCACAAGAAAACAAGCACAAGAAAACAAGAACAAGAAACAAGAACAAATCACCATCAGCTTTTGCTTTTAATGTTGATGTAGAGCAATTCTTTACAGTCAAAGGACCCACTTCCATTCATCTAATATCAAGGTATCAAAAAATTCATTATCTAATATTGTTTGATGTCTGAATGTAGATTTTTCAACGATTATTAAGCCAAATATTGATGCCAACGTGAAATTGCTTTTTTGTGGTATTGTCCTTTTTAAAAGACTATCGAAAAATAATCTAAAGGCAAAAGTTTTTGAAGAGATATGAAAAAATCTTCTATTATAAAAACGCTTAGAGCAAATTAGAGCAATAGAGCTTGAGTTGGCCGGACGATTGCGCCGAATGGAATTGCCATTTACTGGGGACTTCACTTTGTGCGAGTCTCGTATCAAAATGTAGCCCTTCAATTGGGCTACACGATGGTATAAAAAACTTTAAGAAAAACTGTTGTTGAGTACAAGAAAAACGGCGGTAAAGTGAGAGCACCGACTGTTCATCGCAATGCTAACAATGACGTACCGTCTTTTGCAGTGTGCTCTCACTTTACCACCATTTTTCTTGTACTAGGCAACAGTTTTTCTTAAAGTTTTTTATACCATCGTGTAGCCCAATTGAAGGGCTATATATTGATACTAGACTTGCACAAAGTAACGGTAAATGACAATTCCATTTAGGCAATTCCATTTAGGCAATTCCATTCAGCGCAATCTTCATTTTTGATTCATGATCCCAAGTTAGCTAACTATTCAAAATTTGTTGATGGCATTACTCAAAAATACTGAAAACCCGATAAAATCCATACATTTCTTCACAATTAATGTTTACATTACATTCTAATCTTTTGAATAAAGTTAAATGAAATGAAAATAGGTCCGTTGATCACCGTCGGCGCCTCATTAATCACGTTTTTCGTTTGGTGAGTTAATTTGATTTAATCAAAAGCTAATAAATCTTCTAATAAATCTTCTAATAAATATACATTATTAATCAAAATTTTTGATTTTTCTGAAGACAATCCAATCCGATCCTAATTTTTTAACAAGAACAAGAAAACAAGACCAAATTGCTCTTTGATCAACTGTGTTTTCGCTAAAGTCGAATCGATTTTGACGTTTGGTAATTTATGCGGAACACTTCGCTTTTTCAATTCATTTTTCAAATTTCTCGATTTCCGTAGAAAACCGGTTTTATAGGACATTTTCATGATATTTCATTTAAACGAAGTTGCATTTTTTCGCGAGAAGTCCATTCTTGTGAAAGAGTCCGATGTTCATCAACCATTCTTCAAATTCTTCGTCAGGAAGGAGGAGTTTGGCGCTCAACTCCAGCCGAGTCCTGTCCTTCAAGGCGTTGATTCCAATTCTTGCCATTTTGATTTGAACTCGAATCGATTTTGACGTTTGGTAATTTATGCTGAACACTTTGCTTTTTCATTTTTCAAAATTTCTCGATTTCCGTAGAGAACCGGTTTTTTTCTGAATCGCTTACTCATCGAGCTTTTACACCGAATAAACAAACATAAAACTTTTTTGTTGATTCAAATTTTCCATGGAAACATTTGTTTACCCAAAAGGGGTTTTATGACCCAATTTTGAGGGTTTTTCTTGGGGTAAAAGATGCTGTAAAATGGCATGAAATCTGAGAATTCAATCTATTTTTATAATTTTCAATCTTTTTCAATCTTTTTCAATCTTTTTCTTGACATTTCCCGATTTTTGTTTTTAATTTATCTCATTCTCTCACGATTTTTTCCAAAAAATGATTAAGATTTAACGAAAATTGTGATAAGATATCGATATCAACTTGTTTTTTTGATTTCTTCTCTCAAAAATTCTTTTCAAGAGTTATCAAAACTTGAAAAATCTCGTGAAAATCGTTTTTAAACGAAAATTTTCTTTTACTTCAAGCTCTATTTCACTTTTTGATGGTTTAAAGGCTTCTATGCAATTTTGATAACACATTCGCAGTTTTTAAGGGAAAAACCTCAAGTTTCCAACCGAATTTTGTACATTTTATGCTAAAAATTGGGTAAAAACATTGCTTCTAGCGCGCTGAAGACTCCAGTTTCTTGTTCTTTAATTGTTTTCATAATAAGAAACAGTTGAGTCCGATAACTTTTGGAAAAAACTAAAAAGATCCGAGTCCAAGCTGGTTCCCCTGATTCCTCTAATAGTTTTTGTACCAAACGACAGAGAAAAACTTGGCGCATCTAATGATACCAAGAATATTTAAATTTAGCAGCTCAACACGAAGATATTTGAGCTCAAAGTTAGATTCCCAATAGCAAAAGGGGCGGGGCGTGTATGAAAGGTCGCACAATGGCCCCGCCCCTTCCCAATGGCAATCCAACTTTGAGCTCAAATTTCTCGGTGTTGGGCTGTTCAATTTCAATAGTTTTTATATCAATCGATAGAGAAAGACTTGGCGCATCTAATGATACCAAGAATATTTAAATTGAACAGCCTAACACCAAGATATTTAAGCTCAAAGTTAGATTCCCAATGGGAAAAGGGGCGGGGCACGTATAAAATGTCCGATAACTTTTGGAAAGAACTAAAAAGATCCAAGTCCAAGCTGGTCCCTCTGATTCCCTTTGCACCGTAATAACAATCACTGCCAGGCTTTGAAACAAATGAAATCTTGCTTCAATTGAAGGACATAAATTCACTTGTTTACTAGCTTTTGCAGACTGCTGGAGAAGGATTGTTGGAGGAGATTGGCTGACTTCTTAGTTCAACAAAGAAACTCGTTATTGTTGCTAATGTTGGCTTGTTGGCTTTGTATCCTTGTCTTTGTTTAATGTTAGGATAAAGTCAGCTTAATTATCTATAGATTTGAGATTTTCCTTGATTCCTTTTCTTTTTCCTTTTCTTTGATTAGTCTTGTTCCGTTAAGTTTAAAACAATCGAAATCTCTCGAAGAAAGTCCATCAATCGAGTAACTACATCAAACCTTTCATTGTTTTCATAATAATAAACAGTTGAGTGTGTGAGTTTGAATATGTTTTTATGCTTGAGTAAACAGTCATGAACAAAAGTCTTGACGGGTCCTGGGTGGCAACTTTCAAACGCAAATTTAGGAACCTTCCCGAGAGGCTATAAAAAAGTCGTCACAAGTATTTTTGAGCATTTTTACTCTACTTTTAGCTATGACCAAGCATTGAACCCGAAAGTTTATTTTAGACAACAAAAATAAGCGTAAACGTAAACAAAAAGGTCACAAAAATAATGGACAAAAGTCTTGGCGGTTTGAATGTCTTGAATGTCTTGAATATGTTTTTATGCTTGATCACGGTTCTTTCCAAAAAAAAAAACACTGACAAGCTGGAATCCTTATCAGTTCTCTTTTCCAGACTCGTGTCAACCCAAAACGTAAAGCCCACCGGTCAATTTGTTTCTGCTTTTACTATTTCGAATCACTTTCAATATTATTGGATAGCCTTTATCCGTTTTTCATTTAATTTTCAAGAAACAGTTGAATGGGTGGGGAAATCTTTGGCCCGTTGATCACCGTCGGCGCCTCATTGATCGCGTTTTTCGTTTGGTGAGTTAATTTAATCAAAAGCTAATAAATCTTCTAATAAATCTACAATATTAATCAAAGTTTTTGATTTTTCAGAAGAAAATCGAATCAAATCCGGATTTTTTCATGCTTAAAGTCTAAATTTTGAAAAATCTAGCAAAAAAAAGATAAATTTCGGCTTTTGAGCGTAGTTCAGTTCAGCTTTGGGGATTATTTTATGTAAATTACAGTGCTATTAACAAGTTTTTCCTAAAAACAAGTGACAAGTAAATATTTGAAAAATAAACGAGTCAAATTCAGCTTTATACACTCTGTCAAAAAATTATAGACGCCCCCTGTTTCAAGGTACAAGGTCATGGAGCGCTGTTGGCTAAAGCCGATTCCAGGCTACTTGAATGGCTTTCTTGAGTTCATTCACGCTCGAATATTGCTTGTTTCCCTTGTAGACATCTCGAACGAGTGTCCCCACAAACGAGTGTCCCCACAAACGAGTGTCCCCACAAACGAGTGTCCCCACAAACGAGTGTCCCCACAAACGAGTGTCCCCACAAACGAGTGTCCCCACAAACGAGTGTCCCCACAAACGGGTGTCCCCACAAACGAGGTGTCCCCACAAACGAGTGTCCCCAAAACGAGTGTCCCCACAAACGAGTGTCCCCACAAACGAGTGTCCCCACAAACGAGTGTCCCCACAAACGAGTGTCCCCACAAACGAGTGTCCCCACAAACGAGTGTCCCCACAAACGAGTGTCCCCACAAACGAGTGTCCCCACAAACGAGTGTCCCCACAAACGAGTGTCCCCACAAACGAGTGTCCCCACAAACGAGTGTCCCCACAAACGAGTGTCCCCCACACATTCTCGATCGGGTTCAAGTCTGGGCTGCAAGCGGGCCTTTTATACATTAAAGAAACTAAAAAATACTTTTCACTGGACTAGCACTTATATCCGGCTCTAAACTAGCAAAAAACAGGGGGCGTCTATAATTTTTTGACAGAGTGTATTGGGCTCGTGGGTATTGACTTGGCACGTTTTTTTAAAAACCAAATTTTGTCTTTATTTAACAACTTCAAATCATTCGAGATATTTGCCATTATTTTGTATGATTTGTGCTTATTTTACTGGTAGAAGTCGAATGCCTCTCTCTTAGAAAATCTTCGGTTTTGGCCCAAGCCAATCTGTCAGCCATTTTTTTGAACTCTTCTTTGAAATCAAAGTGTTTATTCGATAAATCATTGAACGTTTGGATGTCGTTGGATGCCAAATCATTTGTCCGGAATATGAAGTAATCAAAAGGTGCAAAATCAGGGCTGTATAGCCTCTCATCCAAGTGAGTTTAGTGTAGAACGAATCATCTTCGAGACATGCGGTGGGCTCTTTTCTCTGACAGAGATTCGGCTGACTTGTAAATGTAAATTTTTGTGTGTGGTGGATTCTGTTACGCTTTATTACTGAAATAAAGTATATATTGGGTTGGTGGGTATGACTTGGCACCTTTTTTTGAAATGAAGTCTTCAATTAACAACTTCTGGCAAGGATTCGGCTGACTTGTCAAGTTACTCCGAGTATTGGATTAAGTTGAGTTGGATCTTGCTATTCAAAAGTTCCCAATAGGTTCTTCTAAATCCCAGAGCACCGAGAGCATAAACTTCTCATGCACATTTGGCTTGACGTCGGGTTCAGGCTTTTCCCCGTCAGCACCCCATTGGCGCCTTCTCCGAAAGTTGATAGTTATTTGATTTGATTCCTTATCTCTCCAAATTTGGTTCCTTTTCTCTACATTTTCATCACAATACATGGTAAAAAAAGATTTGCACTCGTATCGAGAAAGATGAGCGGCACTGATTTCTGACACGTTGCCATTTCTGGGTGTCCGTTAATCATGTGAATCCAAATCCAATCCTTAAATACGGTTTAAACTGATGTAATGTTCGAGTATTATTGTATGATCAACTGGTAGCTCTTCTGCTATTTCGCGAAAAGAAAGCCTTTTGTTTGTTTGAAAAATTTCGAGCAACTTGTCATTATCCAGTTTGACTGCTTGAATTTGAATGCTAGACCTTTGTCTTTGAAGATTCATCCGCCGTACGGAATTTAACGGCTTGTACATGTCCGTAGTGGAGCTGATCCTTTCAAACTCTCAATATTAGCACACTAGAGGCCTTTGTGTCCTTGTAGAAATTCGTACAACATAAAATATCACAGATCTCCAGATCACAGCAACTTGTCATTATCCAGTTTGACTGCTACCTTTGTCTTCGAGGATTTATCCGTAGAACAGAATTTAGCAAACCAGTCTCGTGTTCGTAGTGAAGCTGATCTTTTCAAATTCTCAATATTAGCTGAACATCGTCCCTCTCGAGTCAATGCCTAAACCAAGTGCATCAAAGCTGGACAAGAAACGACAAGAAACAGAAGACAAGGTGGACAAGAAACGAAGTGATCTATTAAAGTTACAAGGAGAATTTGCCGTTCGACTAGCTGAGGCCCTTGTGTCCTTGTAGAGATTCGTACAACAGAAAACTGAACACTAGAGGCCTTGTGTCCTTGTAGATCTTCTTGTAGATCTCCAGGTGATAGATTTTCATTAGTTAAAACAAAGTAAAGTGAAATCCGAAAAGAAATATGTCAAAAGTCCATTGTTTTCGTGTTTTCACAAGAGTGAATGTTCATTATTTGCCACAAACCTCTTCCCATCTTTGTTTACATCTCTGGGATTTAATTTTGAAAAGCCGTGCCAAGTCTTACCCACCAGTCTTACCACTCATCTCCATCCAAATCATTTTCAGCTATGGAATTGCAGTCGGAAAAGATCATGTTGATGCCTGGTTGCCTTATATAAGGTAAATCTTTATATTTTTAGCTTGTTAACCCAAATTTCTTTAGTGATTGCGGAAATTTGCCTCCAGAAAGTTGCATTTTTACAATGCTTTGCGCAATTGCTTCGTTTGCTTGTTGTTTTGACATTGAAATGTGTTCTATATAGATTTTCAGGGATTTACACAGTTTATTCCCTGCATTTACAAGTGATTCATCGATGTGGAAAAGTGAAATGAAATTTGTAAAGCTTTCAAAAAGAAATTGTTCAGAATGGCGCACTGCGAACATTTGCTTATTTCGTTTTCTTTCTGGGATTTTTGTCGGCCATTGGGTATTTGATGGTCGCTAGTTTTCAGGTAATTCTGTTGATTTGATATTTCTCAGATTGAGATCTTTGAACAGATCTGATGAGTAGTGAATACTAGCTTTCGAACGATAAGGAATAAGGATTCGAACTCGCGACTCCGCCTACCGGGAAATCGTTTACCAATGAGCTCACGATAGATACAGTCGACGAGAATCGACTGTACTTCATTGCCACCCAATTAGGGACGCCTTACTTTGGTTCAATAACTTGATCGGCTTTCAGATTGAGATCTTTGGACAGAACTGATCTGCTTTCAGATTGAGATCTTTAGACAGATCTGATCTGCTTTCAGATTGCGGTCTTTGTACAGATCTGATCGGCTTTCAGATTGAGATCTTTGAACAGAACTGATCTGCTTTCAGATTGAGATCTTACAGAGCTGATCTGCTTTCAGATTGTGATCTTTGGATAGATCTGATCGGCTTTCAGATTGAGATCATTAGACAAATAAGTTATTGAACCAAAGTAAGGCGTCCCTAATTGGGTGGCAATGAAGTACAGTCGATTCTCGATCAACTGTATCTATCAGTGAAGCTCATTGGTAAAACGATTTCCCGGTAGGCAGGAGATCGCGAGTTCGAATCCTTATTCCTTATCGTTCGAAAGCTAGTATTCACTACTCATAAAAGACTCTCGTGTGCTCTACTTTACTCCAATAAAACCGAATTTGATTGGTGTGAGTCTGCCAGTTTTAAGCCTACCGTTAAAGTTTAAATTTGGTGTGCCAAATCTGTAAATAGCTTGCAATCATTTATCAGATTCACCATTGATTAGGTCTTTCACAAGCTCGTAAATCTTACAGTATTTAAATCTGTTAAGATCTCTCTGTTAAGAACTCTTAAAGCCTCCAACTGCCTTAGAAGATCTGTCTGTTAAGATCTCTCTGTTCAGAACTCTTAAAGCTTCCAGCTGCCTTAGATTTCCATAAAAATTATCGAAATTATAGGAAGGTCACGTTCTGGACGCTCATAACACCGGTGCTTTCATGTTCTTTTTCGGATTCGTCGCCTACTGTTTTGGTTACTATTTGATCTGTTTCTATGTGAATCCACAAATTGTCTCAATGCCAATAACAGTCACCCGAGTGCTTTTCAATTTGATCGTGCTAGCAGTTTTAATCTTTCGTGAGTTAGAAACAGCATATGATGAAAGAATTCAAAGCTTTAGATATGATCTGCTTATTCGGGAGTCCATTTGTGAAAGACGTGAACGGGTTGAAGCCAGATCAGCCCGATTTCTCGAATGGAATCGAACGTTACAATGAGGACAGTCCGGTAAAGAGTCTAATTAGCTATATGTGACCAAGAATGTGCCCAAGAATTACCGCAAAACACAAAAGGTCTGGCTTTTAACCAAATATGCAACCCATCTCGAAAAGTTAACTTAAATATCTTTATTCAACATATAACAGTAACAAATTAACAATGAAATTCAAATTTGCCTCGATCGGCATTCAGACAGACCTGCAAACGTTTGGGAAACGCGTTGACCGTGGCGAGCATCGATCTTTTCGCTTACCCTTCACAGCAGCTGATAGTAATTGAGATTTGTTCTTCTTGTACAGCTTGTAAAGCTTCATTTTCCGCTTTTTCTTGATGATTGTGTTGACGGAGCTTCTCCTCAGATCCATTTTCTGTGCCATTCCTCGAGCCGATTGGTTAGGGTTTAATCTTAAACGATCGGAGTAACCGCTGTTCGTTTTGCGCCTCTTCCAGTGCAATCAGAAACTGTGCCCAGAGTTTCATAAAGTTGAATGGTTCGAGAAACGAGGCTTCTGGGGACATTCTGGCGCTTTGAGATCTCCATCGGCATTCAGACAGACCTGCAAACGTTTGGGAAACGCGTTGACCGTCGGAAACGTTTGGGAAACGAGCAAATAGGCATCATCGAGAGTATCCCATGCTTTAATAAGCGCCTTCTTCAAACTTTCGCCCTTGCACATGCCCTGGCTTCAAGAACACTCCAGACTGAGTAATTCAATGGGTTAAGATCGGGTGAGCTGGGTGACCACTCAGAAAACGAGATGAAGTCCGGGAAGGTCTCTTTCAAAACTCTTACACTTTCTTTGCCTTGTGAGCCGGCGCACCATCTTGTTGATAAGTCCAAATTCGATTTTTGAAGTGGCGTTGAGCCCCCGGAACAACCTCCTTCATTAGCAAGTCCAAATAATTGACCGTATTTACTTTCACACCTTGAAGAACAAAGATCAACGGGGTCTTTCCATTGACGGTTATCGCGGTCAAAACCATCACCGATGAATGAATTAGAACTGCAGGATGAGAACTGCGCAATACGGTGACGTTTGACTGAGATCATACCATAAAATAAGTAAGTAATCATACCATAAAACAAGAAAAATACACAAAAACCATAAAAACAGGTAAGTAAAAAGTGAAATGGGGCTCATAACATAATACGACGTTGTTGCGGTAATTCTTGTACTGTACTTAAAGTATTGTACTTAAAGAGTCTTAAAGAGTAAACCCATTTTCAGTTCTACAACAATCACATTGCAACGACACTTTCCGAATGGGTACTTGCAATGTTAATGCTATTAGAAATCCTATCTTTTTCTATCGATTTATGGGATTCTGATAGTTATTCACAGAAGCCAATTCGAGATGATGGCTCGGAAATCTGTGAGTTCAAAGAACTTGGTTTGAGAAGAGAATTTCTAGTGGGGTTTTCGGAGACAACTCGGCCAGGATCAGGCCCAATTATGGCAGTATACGATAATCAAGGAATAAACGATAGAGAGGTTAGTTTATCGTCTTGATTTCACTTGAAGAAAATTCAAGAAAGAGAACCAAGATAGAGTTTGAGCTTTCTTTTTGTAAACTATCATTTTTTGGCTTTACTTTTTGGAGTGATGGCTTTACTCCAGGCCAATTAGAAAAAGAAATATAACACCGTTGCATACAGGGTGCGTCATAATTATTGCAACAAGATACTCAAGGCATTGCACACCAAGAAGTTTCACTGGAAGAAGATTTTTAAACAGAAATAGCTTTATTTAACAGTAACAAATAAGGAAACAAGAGATCATTCGATATGACCGCCTTTTGCCTTGATAACAGCCCTTAATCGGTTCGGATATGCCTCCACTGCGACCCGAATGTCATCCTGAGGAATCGCCTTCCATCCTTTGACTTCTTCCAGGTCAAAGACTTCTTCAAGGTCAAAGAGCAGACATTAGCCTCTAAGATTGCCCAAATGGAAAAGTCCATCACATTGAGATCCGGTGAGTTTGGAGGCCATTCATCCTTTGTGATCACTGAGGGAAAGTTGGACACACACCAGTCCTGAACCGTCTTCTTCGTGTGAGCGGGAGGCAATTAGGCAAGAATAAAGAAGATAGAACGCAACACAACAAAAAAGGGGGCAAAAGAAATGATAAAGCTGTTTGGAAAACGGTCTTTGAACTCTTGTTGCAATAATTATGACGCACCCTGTAGTGTTCTGAACTGTTATAATTCTTATGTTAACTCCTTTTTTAACTCCTTTGTAACTGGGATTGTCATAGGCTTTCTGTCGTTGATATAAGTCGTACAAGTTAAACAAATTTTAGATGCAAGACGCTAGAGCTAGGCCAGCTTATGGTTACGAGACAGATAACGTTTATCGACGGGGTTTGCCAAGAGTATCAATGAGTGGGTTTTGAAATTTCAGGAATTCATATACTTTCAAAGTGTTCCCCTAAGCTCTAGTTGAATATTTTTTAATATTGTGAGAAAATTCAAACAGAAATTCAACAGAAAATTCAAATAAAGCATCAAAGCAACAAAGCCGCGTCCCTTTTTCTGCGTAGATTTTTCGTAGCTGTCCCTTTTGTTTGAAATCCCCTACGAAACTTGAAGATATTCAGCTGAGTGGGCGTGACAATTTGAAAGTATAGGAATTAATCCCTAACTATTGGGTTGGTGAATTGAAAACTCCCGGCTAGTGTGAGACTCAAGAATGGAGGACTGGAGATGTCAGCTGTCAGCCCAGTTTGAGCACTTTCTTCAAAAGAAACCCATTTTGGTGTCAATGGAAAAGTTGTAGAGAATCAAAAATCAAGCTTATATCCAAATTTTCAGAATGATTCAAAAACTGGTTTTCAAGAAATGCCAAATTTACGAATTTTCACAAAGCTTGCAACAAGACTTGCATTTTAAGCGAAACTACTAAGTGTATCTTTTTGGAAATTTGGCTATAAGCCTAATTTTTGATTCTCTACAACTTTTCCATTGACACCAGAATGGGTTTCTTTTGAAGAAAGTGCTCAAACTGGGCTGACAGCTGACATCTCCAGTCCTCCATTTTTGAGTCTCACACACAAACCAAAATCCCTCTTAATAGGATTTTGGCAGCGCTCCATCAGTGGATCTCTCACAATACGAAAAGAAATCCTTTCTTCCTCGAATTATGATGGGAGATGAGAAATGGGTTTTATCTGTGAACTTTCGGAGGAAGCCGTAATGGGTGGGGCCAGGCGAGTAACCCGAAAGTGACCCCAAGCCCGATTTGCACCAGACGAAGTTTATGCTATGCGTTTTCTGAGATATGGAGGGAGTTGCTAGGAGCTGGATAGGAAGACGACCCTTAATGCAATCAAATACAGTGAACAGTTGGAAAAGGTGAATGAATCCCTAAAGAGGAATAGGCCCTTCAAGTCAAAGATCGTTCTCCTCCACGACAACGCGCGCCCTCATGTTGCAAAACTGACTCGCTCTAAAATAAACAGCCTTGTTTGGGAACTTTTGACGCATTCCCCATACATTCCGGACCTTGCCCCTTCTGATTACTATTTATTCCGGACCATGAGTAATGAGCTTGCGGGAGAACACTTCGATTCGGAAGAAGCAGTCAAAAATTGGCTTTGAAAGTTTTTCGATTCAAAACGAAAATCCTACTACGAAAGAGGAATCCGCAAATTGCCTGTAAAATGGGCAGAAGTCGTCAATAATAATGGAAATTATTTGGAATGAATTCATGGTTTTATGTTGAAGAAATTTTAGTTCAAAGTTGAAAGTCCGGCAGTTTTCAATTCACCAACCCAATAGCTATTTAATTACTGTTTTAGCTATTCAATTACAGCTTTACCTATTCAATTACAGTTTAACAACATTGGTGTTGACGATTTTCGATTCAATAAATTTTAGTTCAAAGTTCAAAGTCCCGCAGTTTTCAATTCACCAACCCAATATACTATTGTCCAAATGAACCTTTCAGATACAGTTGATCGATCTGAAGCCTATCGAGATCCGTATATGAGCCGGGATCGTGATAATAACTCGTATCATGAACAGTTTTAATAATTTGAATAAAAAGTTTCAAATGTTTATCCAGGAATTTTTAGAGCAACATCGGAGATTCTTCTTGGATCCTAAAATCTAATAAATATTTTGGTTTTTCTCAGCCTATCGAGATCCGTATATAAGCCGAGATCTTGATGATTACTCGTATCATGAACAGTTTTAATAACCTCGGATTCCTGTGAGGTGTAGGTGGCATTCACTGGATTCGCGTTGAACATCACCTAAAAGATTTTTCGGTTCATCTCAGAAATTCGGGTTTGAACCAGAATTGACCCAGAAAACCGGGTCAATTCATCCAGAAAAGTTATCGTATGCAAAACCCAGAGCCAATCTGATTCTCTTGGCACTTTTTCTGGGACAAAGGATTCAAATAAACTTCGCCAATAGTTTCTACGACACTGAAAACTCCGGAGCACTAATTTTTAACACTAAAGCTCATTTGGGAGTCATCTACTATATATAAAAGAGTCTGTCCGTCTGTTCGTCTGTATGCATGATTCTTCTCAGCCCCCACTGGACCGATTTCAAAACGGTTTTCTGGGTTGGATAGAAGAAATTCTTCCGAAAAACATTTATAAAGCCACAAAATTCAAACAAACTGCTAAACCCCGCCCCTTTTTGCCAATGACAATTGCACACTTGGCAATTGCCTAAGCGCGCGCTTGGGGCCAATGTCCGAGTAGTCTAAGGCGGTAAGGGCCAATGTCCGAGTAGTCTAAGGCGGTAAGGGCCAATGTCCGAGTAGTCTAAGGCGGTAAGGGCCAATGTCCGAGTAGTCTAAGGCGGTAAGGGCCAATGTCCGAGTAGTCTAAGGCGCTGAGGGCGTGCAGGGAGTTGTGGATTCGTCCGCCTTGCCCGTAAAAACTGCAAAAATGAAATGAATGCTTTTTATGATGTTTATGATATGCTTCTACAGGAAAGGGAGGGTAAAGCCCGATGGTATGGGGTTTGTGCGAGGCCCGATCAGCTAGAATGGTCGGATTTGTGTTTCAGTTGCTTAAAGGTTCAGTAAAAGTGTTTCATTTCAAACTGTGTCGTCCCCGTGCCATCCAGCAGCTGCCTCCACACCGATGGGCGGGGGTTGGCTGCTGCTTTGCTGGGGGAGAATTCGTCCCGGGAGTTTGGGCATGGTGGCGCAGGGCTCATTCGCTTATTGCTTCTTCCAGGGATTCCAAAAGGGAAGCATTTTATACCAGAGGCGTATGCCAGATTGACAGCGACTACGCGATCGCGCAAAGAACACCTCACTGTCATCTACACAGAGAATTTTCCCTTGTTAAATGATCCCCAAATTGGATTTAGTCTTAAAATTTGTACCCTGTATTTTCAAGGTCGTAGAGTCCATTGGCAAAGTTTATTTGAATTCTTTGTCCCAAAAGAGTCTAAAGAGAATCAAATTGGCTTTTGAGTTTTGCATATAAAAGCTTTGGACAATGAAATGACCCGAATTTTGTCAAAAGATCCGAATTTCCGAGAGAAGAACCGATAAATATAAGTAAAAAGCTAATCTTTTGGTGTTTTTTTTAAAGAACTGACCCCTTTCTTCTCCTTGTTCGTCTCTTTGTCCCTCACAGCGTTCAACCATTTGTGTTCCATTCTAAAATTTTACATTTAACCATACCTGATATTCATGTTATTCATGTCAATTCAAAGAGATTTCAATTTTTACGCTAAATTATAAGTTCAGACTCTTAATGAAGTGTTCTTAACAAGTGAAAATCCTCACCGAACAGTGTTTGCCCAAAGGGAGATCTTTTTTCCTTGCTTTGATGAAGTTTTCAAATCAGAAAAGAATGGGTATTTGTTGATGTAAGAGATCTAGATTCATCAATTAATGATTTTTCGAAAAATTTACTCTTGTTTTTCCGATGTTATTGATTGAATTCGAATGAACAACATCGTAAGGCTTTTCGTGCTGAAATTCGTTACTCTTGATCAGGTTTTGAATTATGGATCAAGCCAATTACCTAACTATTTGGTTGGTGAATTGAAATCTGCCGGCTATTGTCATATGTGGCCGTTTGAGCACTTTCTTCAAAAGAAACCCATTTTGGTGTCAATGGAAAAGTTGTAGAGAATCAAAAATCAAGCTTATATCCAAATTTTCAGAACGATTCAAAACCTGGTTTTCCAGAAATGCCCAAATTTACACAAAAGAGATGCCAAATTTTCACAAACTTGCATTTTAAGCGAAACTACTAAGTGTATCTTTTTGGAAATTTGGCTATAAGCCTAATTTTTGATTCTCTACAACTCTTCTATTGACACCAAAATGGGTTTCTTTTGAAGAAAGTGCTCAAACTGGGACATCTCCAGTCCTCCATTTTTGAGTCTCGCACTTGTCTCACACACAAACCAAAATCCTACTACGAAAGAGAAATCCGCAAATTGCCTGTAAAATGGGCAGAAGTCGTCAATAATAATGGAAATTATTTGGAATGAGTTCATGGTTTTATGTTGAATCAATTGTAGTTCAAAGTTGAAAGTCCCGCAGTTTTCAATTCACCCACAATAGCAATAAGCCTTATAATAATCATAAGCAATACTTCTTATTGAGTACAAATGGATTCAACAATGAGTGATACCTTGCATTGCTTAAAAATATGCGTGGTTGCTTGCGGATCGTTGTTGACGGTCGAACTCGTCAATGGAACCGAACCAATCACAATCGGCCAACAAATTTGTAAATTGTCGACACCTGAAGTGTTTGGAAGTTAAAACCGGAGCTTTATGTTCAACTCTCACCTACACATTTCACCTGAAAACATAAAGAATATGAGATCGAAAGTGGGCGAGATGGGCTGAGTTGTGAGAGGTTGAGAGAGAGTTGAGACGGACGGGAACGGAGATTTCCTGGGGAAAGTCGTTTTGAATTGTGTTTTGACTGTAGTCTGTGCTCCAGAATAAACATTCAAGCAAAAGTACCCACAAAAAAGCTAGTTATATACAAGATAGCTAGTTCGGAAATTTGTTTAATTCTCATTTACCCAATCCCACTCACCAATTGAGATTCTCCTTTTCGAGACTCGATTCGCGATTGAGTGCTCGTCTTGTGGTGTGCTGAAACAAAATATTTAGCTCATGATTGACGATTTCTGTAGCTTTTCAACAACAACTCAATATAACTCATGCAAAAAACCTTCTGCTTCAGCAGTAAGAAAGGCCGACAAGATTTTCAGATTTAAGCTAGGAGCGTGCAGATCGCGATCGGGTATAACTTTGTCCAGAGATAATATTTTTGCTAACTTTTTATATCATTTTACAGAGAACATTTCAAGCTTTCAAATGATACCAAATAGAGCTTGATCAGATAATCAGGTCCAAGAAAATCAGAGCCAACTCTAAGCAAATGAGGCCTATCCGACTCGGGTGTCGTGTCGCCTGGTTTGTATGGGAATGAACAATCCAGTCAAGCTCTGTTTTGTATCATTTGAAAGCTTGAAATGTTCTCTGTACAATGATATAAAAAGTTAGCAAAAATATTATCACTGGACAAAGTTATAGGCCTTCAAAGCATGACGACTCGTTCAAAATATCCGGATTTTTCCAAAGTACTCGGATTCCTTCAAAATACTCGGATTCTTTTTTTCAAAATACCCGGAAACCACGCAAGAACCCTAATTTTTCCTAGAATTCATCTCACCTCGGTGGCAACACAGGTATCGGCATTTTCTTGTCAATTTTTAGCGTGACAGTCGGATCGACGAAAAGAGCAAGACTTTCCTCAAAAACATCGACCACATCCGTCTCATCATTGTGCTAAAAACTGTGAATTGAAAGAGAAATTTGCAAATAAGCTCATCAAACGAGATTCCCCAACCTTATCAAATGGGCTTTCTTTGCAATGTGCTCTTTGTTGTATCACCGCCGAAACTTTCTCCACCCGTCGATCGCTTTTGTTCTCAATTCTGCCTAAAAGCTCCAAAAGTTATTCAATTCTTTGCTAGTCAAAACACGCGGAACGCACTAGCCTCGAAATGTCTCGATTGACCGAAGGTCCACTCAGTTGTTGTGCATCACTTAGCTCACCTCTTTCATCATATCACTGCTTCAAAGCCGCGGTCTTGTAACCAGATGCTTTGAGCTCGGATCAAACAGATATGAAAACGCATGATAGCTCCGTATAGCTCAATGATCCTTCCAGATTGCTAGCTCGAGTTAAAGACTAAGCCATGCTTATCTCAGTTCAGATATCTGGTTGATCCTCCCAAGTGGTCACCTCAGGCTGAAAGACGCAATTTCTGACTAAAAAATCACCAGTTATTGTCACAAATTCTCCGGAAACGAAAGCACTTCTTTCTAAGATGATCGCCAATCGAACCAATCCTCCAGTGCACGAAAAGAGACCAAATTTTTGATGAACAATTTGATTTCTTTCCTAGAAAAGCTTTTTATTTGAAATTTTTCTGAAATTCTGTAAAACCTCAAAATATTGCTTCGGTAAAACGTTCAGATCGACATCTTCGATCATGGAAAACCCGCGGACTGCATGAATTGTTGTATCGGATCCATCTAAAATGACTTTTTGACTTTGAAGGATGACTTTCATGCAGAGACTTTTCCGACCATACAATGCTAAGTCAATGCCAAGCAATAGGTAATGGGTCTCGCGTAGGGTGTGTTCCTTGCAGACAACGCGTTTTCTAAAAAGCGCGCGCCAAGGATAAGCTACCGTAACCCTATGCTTTGCATCAGCAAACTTTTCAAAAAGCAAATGTACATTAAAATCTTGCGCTCCTTTTTTCTATTACTCTTTCCTTCACTCTATTACTCTTTCCCTAACTCTATTACTCTTCCTTTAACTCTATTACTCTTCCTTTAACTCTATTACTCTTCCCTTAACTCTATTACTCTTTCCCTAACTCTATTACTCTTCCCTTTAACTCTATTACTCTTCCCTTAACTCTATTACTCTTTCCCTAACTCTATTACTCTTCCTTTAACTCTATTACACTTCCCTTAACTCTATTACTCTTTCGCTAAAACTTAAAATTTTTTAAATGCTATGTAAAATTAAAGATAACATTTAAAAAGGGAAAAGTTAAGAAACACTATTAAAAAATGATATTATTTACGAATTTACCAGGCCTATTGTCTACATTTGCACTAGAACCATTCCAAAAGCAAATTCCACGCTCTAAAAAACCTAAATCCTTAAATAAAACTATCCATTACTAGATTTTTAGAAAAGTTTGCAAATTTTATAGCTTTGCGCGACCTTTATAGCTTTGCTTAAAAAGCGCACCTTTTAGAAAACGCGTTGTCGGAAGTTTGTCGGATCAATTGTCTGACAAAAAAGTTGTCAATGAAAATTTGTCTGACAAATTGTCTGTCAACAAGGAGCACACTCTATTTCCAAGCAATGCCAAGTCCTGATCCGATTTTACTATGGTCTAATTTCATAGAAATCTTATTCTAAGTGCTCAATACTCCACACTCAAGACAAGCTATTTCTTGTTTGATATCCGATCTCAATTGTTTGTCACTCTTTTGAACTAAAAAATACACTCAAATAGCCGATCAACTCGAAATTTTGCATTCTCACTTGAGCAATTTTCACACGAATTGATTGAATTGAATTGAATTGAATTGCAATTGACAATTGAATTGAATTGCAATTGAATTGAATTGCAATTGACAATTGAATTGAATTGCAATTGAATTGAATTGCAATTGACAATTGAATTGAATTGCAATTGACAATTGAATTGAATTGAATTGCAATTGAAATTGAATTGAATTGAATTGCAATTGACAATTGCAATTGACAATTGAATTGAATTGCAATTGAATTGAATTGCAATGAAATTGAATTGAATGCAATGACAATGAATTGAATGCAATTGACAATTGAATTGAATGCAATGAATGAATGCAATTGAATGTGCAACTGACAATGAATTGAATGCAATTGAATTGAATTGCAACTGACAATTGAATTGAATTGCATGACAATTGAATGAATTGAATTGCAATTGAAATTGAATTGAATTGAATTGCAATTGACAATTGCAATTGACAATTGAATTGAATTGCAATTGAATTGAATTGCAATTGAAATTGAATTGAATTGCAATTGACAATTGAATTGAATTGCAATTGACAATTGAATTGAATTGCAATTGAATTGAATTGCAATTGAATTGAATTGCAATTGAATTGAATTGCAATTGAATTGAATTGCAATTGAAATTGAATTGAATTGACAATTGAATTGAATCGAATCGAATCGAATTGAATTGAATTGAATTGAATCGAATTGAATCGAATTGAATTGAAATTGAATTGACAATTGAAAGAGACGATAAACAGAAAACAAAATTTCATCTAAACTCGGACGCAAACTTTCACATAAAAAAATGAAACGGGCAAATGAAGAAAGGTTGTCTTATATAGACTTTAAACACAAGATATTCAGCTAACGTGCTGTAAAACAGCAATGATTTGGGTCGCGTAATAGAGTGAAAACGCACGGATTTCCTCAATTATTTTCCAATTTTCAGACTATCAGAATTTGGAAACTTTTTTAGGGCTATTACTCCGCTGTTTTCCTGTCTTTTCCTGTGAAGCAGAAACCTTTCCGGCCAACCAATGCCAAGTTCTTGTCTGACTTTACTATGGCCTGTTGTCGCCAATTCCAATTGACCTGGACTTAGCTGATCTTATTGATTTGATTACAAACCTTTGCTCTTGCTTGGAACATCTCTGATTCTTGAAAAGACTAAGATTAACCTTTATTTTTGTAGACCAAAGTTGTCTTCAGATAATATCCAATCCTTCCCACTTTTGTTTCAACGGAAGTAGGTAAATCGGGTGGTAAAGTTTCCTGAATTTAAGTATTTATAAAGATACAGAAAATAGAATTGTGGCTTACAATTTGTACAGTCGAATCTCTCTATAACGGAATGGAAGGGACGAATCTGTCGTTCTGTTATCGTATTTTCTCTAATAGTAGTGCACCCCGGCGAGTTGATTTGGTGACTATTTTACGGTTTCCAAGCTTTTGCAAAAGCTCAACACTCAAATGGCCGACAAGATCTCATCGTCAGCTATATTTTCCGACCCCACATCGATAGGTTCTGATAAGCGGTTCTCGAGATCTCGAGGAATTTAGACGACGCCCAGGCGCTACTATTAGAGAGAATACAGTATCTTACATTTGAATCTATTTATGCTTAAAAGCTTAAAAGATAATGACTAAATAATGGCACCAATGGGAAAAGTGAAGTTTTGGTGATAAATCTAACGAAAATCTGATGCCTAATCAAGCTTACAAGCGGTAAATTGAAAACCGTATTCTCTCTAATAGTAGTGCACCCCGGCGAGCCGAGTTGGTGACCATTTTACCGTTTCCAAGCTTTGCAGAAGCTAAACACTCAAATCCTCCACTAGATCTCATCGTCAGCTAAATTTTCTGACCCCACATCGATAGGTTCTGATAAGCGGCTTTCGAGATTTCGAACAATTTAGGCGACGCTCAGGGTGCACTACTACATATTAGAGAAAATACCGTATATAGAATGCCGTTTTATATATTGGGTTGGAGAGAATGAGTCGGCGCCGAAAATGAAAAAAATGTCTAAAACTTCTATTCGACTTCGTCAAATAATATGCGTTTGATATGAGTAGAATGGTTAACTAATTCTCTACAAAATCACATTTAAAAGAAAATTCAAACAGCGCCTCCGCTCAAGAAAAAGCCATTTTTTCACAAAAACTACAAACTGTGATCTAGAAAAAACCATTGGTGGGATCTTCCTGCAAATTTGGCAACTTAAGTAATTGAATGTGCTCTATCTTTTTTATATAAACACCAAAGAAGGTTTATGTGAAAGAAACTGTTCAAATGATGAGTCGGACTCTTTGCCATTTTAACCAGCTGCGTTTGGAAGTTCATAAACTCCACGAAAGAAAAGCTTTGTGGAATCTCTCAAAAGTGATTTTGTAGAGAAATAGTGGATCCTTTTGATGAAACCAAACGTATGTTTAAAGAAGGCTTTATGTGTGCAAAAAGTCCCTTTAAAGTTTGGCGCCGACTCATTCTCCCCAACCCAATAGCTTTATATAGTCGGCCGGGACTAAAATTCCATTCCGTTATATGGAGCTTTCCGGTATATAGAGTTCCTTTATAGAGAGAGTCGACTGTAATTTTTTTTACGAAACATTCTAGACAAATTCGGATAGAAAAGGATACCTGAAAGGGGATTTCCTTTTTCCCATCATAGTAGGTGACCGGTCCAGATAGGAGATTTCTCTCTTTTTTCAGAAAATAATTCTCTTCCTTGATTGACTAAAATTTTAGAGCTTTGAGTTTTCGAGTTTTTTTTCGAAGCTGTCCTACTCTTTGTTTCCCTTTGAATCGAGTATATCCAGCTATTTGCAATTTGACTGAAACAACATCGAGTTGCGTTGAGGGTGGACATTTCATTGAGAGTTTTCCATGAATCTTAAGTTTTTGTTTTTAAGATTTGAGTTAACTTTTTTACCACTTCACCCCAAGAATAGCATGGATCTGCTTTAGAAAATTCAATAGTGAATTCGGAGATGAGTGACTCGGTTGAAGAGGTCTAAAGAAGAAGGGATTGATTGGGGGAAATCTTGAAAAGTTTCGTTTTTTTGTTGTTGTAACTGTAAAGCTTGTCCACCCATCCTATAGATGGATGGGAAATTGTTCACCCATCCTATAGGGAAATTGGATAGATCTTGCGACACAAGCAGACTATTGTAGCATACAAGCAGACTATTGTAGCATAACTAATTGTAACTACATATTCAGTAGCTTATTTTCCTTTTTTTTCTAGTCTTAATTTGTTATTCCGATATTTTAGGCAAAGCAACATCCGGATCAACAAAATCCCCTTGCGAGCGCATTGAAGTAAAAGCTGGACACGGAGTAAAAGCTGGACACGGAGTAAAAGCTGGACACGGAGCAAAAGCTGGACACGGAGCAAAAGCTGGACACGGAGTAAAAGCTGGACACGGAGTAAAAGCTGGACACGGAGTAAAAGCTGGACACGGAGCAAAAGCTGGACACGGAGTAAAAGCTGGACACGGAGCCAAGGCTGGACACGGAGTAAAAGCTGGACACGGAGCAAAAGCTGGACACGGAGTAAAAGCTGGACATGGAGCCGGGAAGCCCACTAGTTTTGTTTGTTGTTGAATTCGATGAATTGTTTGAATTTCAAGTTTTGAATTGATTAAAAATCATGTTTGATGATAGAATTTTGTTTAGAATTTTGTTGAGAATGTTTAGAATTAGAATTGTTCAGCTTTGGAATGCATAGATGCTTTGGAAACTCACCGACGGAGTGTTTAGCATCTTTATTCAATGAATCGCTTAAAATAAAGGTGAGAAGAGAAAGCAGTCAGCAGAGAAAGCAGCAAAAATAATACTCCGAATCTTAAATGTAATGCCGGATTGCGTTGAGGAAGTTCGAGGACCAATTTTTGTCGGATGAAAGGTGGAAAAGAAAGGGGAAAGGTGACAAGAAGGAGGAAAATGGTGAAAGGGGAAAGGAACCAAAAAAAAGCGAAATTACATCCGCTATTATATCTCGTCTGAACCACATAAACCTTTTTTTACATATAGACATAAGTTGGTATACAAAGAAATGAAAAGAGTTTTCAAAAGAAGATAGACATGGGGAAATTCCAGCCCGAACCTAATTCCACCTTCGTTTCCTCGTCCGTTTCTTGGCAGATTGCTCTAAGATTTTGTCTACAAGTTGAAAAGATCGATTTTTAACTGTAGACAAAATTTCAGAGCAATCGACCAAGAATCGGCCAAGAAAACGAAGGTGGAATCAGCTTCGGCTGGAATTTCCCCATGTCTAAAAGGAATTGAATTGCAAAATAGATCCCTAGTGAATCGAAAAAGTCTCAAAACTATTGCTTGTTTGGAAATCTTTAAATCTTTCTGATTTGCAAATTTACAATCTCTTATAGCTATAAAGAACATCGAGGTGAATCGAATTTGCTTCAATTTTGAGTCTGCAAATTTTCTAGAGAACAGAAGATTAAAAACTTTAAGTACTTTTAGTGTTTCCTATTATTCCTAACATTCAAATTGGTTATTCGCAAAACAATTCATTTGAGAACGCTCTACAAACGTTCAGTGCGTCCTAACATTCAAATTGGTTATTGGCAAAAGTTTTGCATTCTCTTTCTTTTCCGTTTTCTCCTTTCGATCCCTCCAATGATGCAAGTTTTGATAAACCGTCGAGTAAAGAGTTTTCAAAAGAAACTAGACATGGGAAAATTCCAACCTAATTCCACCTTCGTTTCCTCATCCGTTTCTTGGCAGATTGCTCTGAAATTTTGTCTACAAGTTGAAAATGTCTAACTGTAGACAAAATTTCAGAGCAATCGACCAAGAAACGACCGAGAAAACGAAGGTGGAATGTTCGGATTGGAATTTTCCCATGTCTAAAAGAAATTGAATTGTAAAATAGATCCCTAGTGAATCGAAAAACTCTCAAAACTATTGCTTGTTTGGAAATCTTTAAACTTTACCTTTCTTAAACCTTTCTGATTTGCAAATTTATTGGGTTGATGGAAAAGTCCTTTCCGATTTTTTGGGAGAGTATCTTAAATTTGTCGAATTTTGACGTTTTATAGCTCATCCTAAAGCTGAATTCAAGACGGATCGATTGGTAAAAACCGTTTTGAGATATCTCTTTTCTAAAAGTTTTTACAGCTATTTTAGTAAAGGGCGGCAGAGCCAAAAAATGGATGTTTTCACGTTTCGTTAGTTTTCCGTGCAGAAACCTAGGCAATAAAACGTCAAAATTGGACAAATTTAAGGTACTCTCCCAAAAAGTCGGAAAGGACTTTTCCATCAACCCAATACAATCTCTTATAGGTATAAAGAACCTTGGGACGACTCAAATTTGCTTCAATTTTAAATCTGGAAATTTTCTATAGAACGGGAGATTAAATCCTTGAGAGAGCGACAAAAAAGGAGATTTAAACGGGCTCACGAGCAGCAGCTCTTTCTCGAATTCTTTCGCAGAAATTTCTCGATCGCCACCTTTTTCTCCTTTTTGACGCTTTTTTGGATGATCTTTACCTTAAAAGGCACAAAATCAAAAAGTTTACCTTGATTTTACGAACAAATACCTTTTTATAAAGTTGTTTTAGGATTCCAGCTGTGAAACCAAAGGGACAAGAGCTTAATAGACAATAACTGAATCGTTTTTTCTTTCTTAAAACTCCATAAGTTTGATCCAATCTACAAGAATGGAATCAAGAATCTACAAGAATGTTCCGCGTGCCCAGTCGGCTCGAAACGTGTCTCCGCCAAGAATTGTGATTGTGCCAAGAATTGATTTAAGCATTTCAATCGGTTTCCATTTAATCAATAAAAGCTTTTTATCAATTGAATTCATTTGAGGTTTTCCATTCTCTTTCTTCTCCGTTTTCTCCTTTCGATCCCTCCAACGATGCAAGTTTTGATAAGCGGCCGACCAGGATCTCTTTCGATGTCCATTTTCATCGGCGAACGTCTTTGCTGGTCGACTACACACTTCCACATCATCGCTATCACATCTGGATCTTCTTTCGAATCGAGTTGCTTTTTTAGGCTTTAGAAAGCCATTAGAAAATTGGATTACAGTAATTTCAATGTTTTCTATTATTCCTAACATTCAAATTGGTTATTGGCAAAGGTTTTCAATTCTCTTTCTTTTCCGTTTTCTCCTTTCGATCCCTCCTGAGATGCAAGTTTTGATAAGCGGCCGACCAGGATCTCTTTCGATGTTCATTTTCGTCGCCGAACGTCTTTGCTGGTCCAGAACCTCAGCGATTTCTTAAAAACGAAAAAGAAAGGACGATGCGGCGCTCCAATTGACTACCTCCAAATGGCGACGTCAATCGGAATGAAACGTCCAGTGCTTTGGAATACGATTCTGACAATTCTGACAATATTTCGTTGCTTTTTACAGTTGTAGTTTTTTTTGAAGAAACTCACAAGCTATTAGTTTCTAAAGACAAACAACGCGCGCAGTTTGGCTCTCTATCAAATCTCTCACATCTCTTTCAAATCTCGATCATAAATAAAACAAACCTCTCTCTGATCAGCTCAAAGTTTGCCCATTTCAAGGTTTTCTTTTCATGGGAAAAGGCAATAAATGAAAGAATTCTTAAAACAATTACTTTTCTTCTTTCCTTTTCAAATATTGTAGACAGTTCTCATTTTCTAGAAAGATTTAGAAGTGTCTCTCAAATGAAATTCTACCCAACGCTTCCCACATTGCCTCCTGTGGTTCAAAGGTTAGAGAAATTGTTTTGAACAAATAAGTCGTAATCTTAAATCTACAAGAGCTACAGTAAGGTTAAATAATAAGCTTACTGTAACTCTTGTAACCATAGCCTCTAGTCTCAGTAGAGAGTCTCAGATCTCCTTGTGAGAAAAAGAGCAGTTCTGAATAGGGAAACATGTGTGCTCATCGTAGATTGGTTAAGCTCATCTTCCAATCTGTGGATCAAGGGTTCGACCCCGCCTGCAGTCATTGTTCGGATCTGACTCCTTAGTTCTAACTCTATACTTCTTTGTTAAGACAGAGAACAACACAGAGTCAAGTGGAGATTTTCCGAGAAGCTGACGCCTCTTCATCTGATTCAGTTGAAAGGTTTGTTTTTATCAAATCATTAGCTTTGACAGGTTAAATATTTGATCCTAATAATAAAATCATTACTTGACAACTTTTCCAAGGAATACAAGAGACGACAGCTTCAATTTCCCATCGCGAACTTCACTTCTCTTCATTGCCTATTCGCTCGGTTCAACAGCATACATTGTCTTTCTCCTTTTTGCCATTCAACAGGTTTCATTTAAAAGGTTTCTACGAACAAAAAAGCACAACTTTTTTTTGGCAACACACCGTTTGATTAAAATTCTCTACTTATTATAAGCGTTTGATTGATTTTCTATTTATTATAAGCGAAAGAGTACGGGGTATCTGTCGGTTCCGCTATTTTAGAAAAAACGGTCAAACCAATCGGTCTGAAAATTTGACTATTATACCAAAAATCTTATGTATTTTCTAAAAATCTAACTAGTTTTGTGGGTTAGACGGGTTATTTTTTGTAAAAACGCGGTTTCCCTACTTGTACTCGTCATCGTATTTTTACTTGTACTTGTACTCGTCATCGTATTTGTACTTGTACTTGTACTCGTCATCGTATTTGTACTTGTACTTGTACTCGTCATCGTATTTGTACTTGTACTTGCACTCGTCATCGTATTTGTACTTGTACTTGTACTCGTCATCGTATTTGTACTTGTACTTGCACTTGTACTTATGCTCGTCATCGTACTTGTACTTATACTCGTCATCGTAGTTGTACTTGTACTTATACTCATCATCGTACTTGTACTCGTCATCGTACTTGTACTCGTCATCGTACTTGTACTCGTCATCGTACTTGTACTCGTCATCGTACTTGTACTCGTCATCGTACTTGTACTCGTCATCGTAATTGTACTCGTCATCGTACTTGTACTTGTACTTTTACTTGTACTTGTACCATCGTCCGATTTCGCTACGCCACTGAAATGATATTTGCCGATATAGCCGCCATTTTTAATCAAATCTATCAAAAAGTGAAATTCTCACGATGAAAACGGAGAACATTCCCTTTTTTTCATTTAGAAACTGCTTTGTTTGCTTGCTTTGAAGCTGAAGCTTTGATGCTAATGCTTTGAAGGCCGGTAAATGAACAGAACGTGTAATTTTGTGAAGTTCAATGAACAAAACACTATTTTATGGCTCTTTCTACAACTTGAGAACAAGATTCTCAACGATTACTATTCTACAATGGGAAGTGAAAAGTGAAATCGTTTTTATTGATCAAAATTTCAGAAATGGGAGTGCTTCACTAAAATAAGCTTGCCACATGGAAACGTTCATCAGTCAGTGAACATTACATGTCCTTTGACTGTCCAAACGCCTCGATCTCCCTGTCCAAATGAGTGGATTTATGCGGAAACAGTTGCAAATTGCTACAAGGTATCAATAATTACTATAGAAATTTCGCTATAGAAAAACGGCACTTTAGCAATCTTCAAGACAGTTTTTCTCTATGTTTTTATTAAAGAGTATACAAAACAGATTCTATGTTTCTTTAGTCAAATTTAATGTAGATTCTAATAAAACAAACCATGAGTTGATTCAGCTTTTACATCTTGAGTTATAGACCAACTAAGTTGATCCACTCTTCCCGGTAGGTAGCTCAACTTTGACAGAAATTTTTTCTATATTTTTATATCTGAGTTCACAAAACAAACTCTACTTCTTTAGAACCAAATTTCATGAGGATTGTTTTAAAATCAATCACAAGTCGATTCGATGATTGGAAGTCAAGTTATAGAGTGAAATAGAAAAGTGCGATAAAGTGCTATTTTCACTATAGAAAAACGGAAATTTAGCGCGTTTTTAATAAAATATACTTCTATACAATAAATAATATCCTTCAATAAAGAGTTTTGTTTAGTTGATCTATATGGTAAATCTGAGCACCGGTGAGTCAATGTGTAAATCGTTGGGCGGCTCTCTGACATCAATTCATTCGGCTGAAGAGAATCGAATTGTAAATGGTAAGGGTAAATGGTAAGGGTGAATGGGAAAAATGAATTTATTTCAGAGATCTCAAGGATCGGTGACAATGTTACAAAAGGAGTTTACTTTCCGTTAATTGGCGGGAAAAGAGTTGGGTAGAAAAGAAGGGGATTTTGTCAAGCAATGAACAGTTTAAATAAAAGATTCTTGTTTAAATGTCTAGATAGGTCGTGGAGCACAAGACTGGATGTGGCTAGACGGGACTCCGTGGGACTACACGAATTGGGCGGCTGGAGAGCCGAACCATGGGTGGATCGAGTGGGGGAATTACATTGAGGACTGTCTGATGGTTGGGTTGAATAGCTGTGCGCTTTATTTGAACTCACAGATCTATTCGGATCTCTACGAATATTGGGAGATCCCAAATCCACAGCAAGAGCTTCACAAATGGAATGATGTTCCATGCAGTGAAGTGCGACGAGTGGCCGTTTGCAAGCGAACACCGATATTGTGATTGAATTTTGAGAATCGTTGGGTATTTGACAATAAAATATACAATACTCCATCGAAAATTGTTTGGCAAAAAAGGAAAGTTGTTTGAATTTTTTAGACGTTGACGCTTAAATGCAAATTCAGAGGTATACTGATGCCTCTAAGGTACACTGATCTCTCTGAGGTACACTGATCCCTCTAAGGTACACTGATCCCTCTGAGGTACACTGATACCTCTAAGGTACACTGATACCTCTGAGATACACTGATCCCTCTAAGGTACACTGATACCTCTAAGGTACACTGATACCTCTGAGATACACTGATCCCTCTAAGGTACACTGATCCCTCTAAGGTACACTGATCCCTCTGAGGTACACTGATACCCTAAGGTACACTGATACCTCTGAGATACACTGATCCCTCTAAGGTACACTGACCCTCTAAGGTACACTGATCCCTCTGGGGCACTGATACCCTAAGGTCCTGATACCTCTGGATACACTGATCCCCTAAGGTACACTGATCCCTCTAAGGTACACTGATCCCTCTGAGGTACACTGATACCTCAAGGTACATTACCCTGAGATACACTGATCCTCTAAGGTACACTGATACCTCTAAGGTACACTGATACCTCTGAGATACACTGATCCCTCTAAGGTACACTGATCCCTCTAAGGTACACTGATCCCTCTGAGGTACACTGATACCTCTAAGGTACACTGATACCTCTGAGATACACTGATCCCTCTAAGGTACACTGATCCCTCTGAGGTACACTGATACCTCTAAGGTACAATACTCCATCCAAAATTGTTTGAGTTTCTTTAGGCGTTGGCGCAAATTCGGAGGTATACTGATACTCCTGAGGTACACTGATGCCTTTAAGGGTTTTTTTGTACAGGGTCGTCTGTTCTGTCCTTTTTAGAATCCTCTTTAAAAGCTTCTTACTGTTATTATTTTATTTGTGGCCTTTGTGGCCCAAAAAAATACAAAAATCTCAAAAATGTTGCGGAAAAGTCAAGAGGAATCAAAGAGAAATGGAATTTCAGAACAAGGCAGCAAGCCATTCCAAGTCTACAAGGCAGCAAGCCATTCCAAGTTATGGCATCTAAATCAATAGATAATTTATATTGTGGTCGCTTTGAAAATGTCACATTTCTTCAAATCAAACGAAAAATTTCAAAGAGTCAAGTCGCCGTACTTGAACGTAAATGGTGACATAAAAAAAGAAGATGTACAGCTCATTCGCATGTTAAGATTCCGATCAGAAGTACTTCCACTCACTTCCATTTACTGGCATCTCTCTTGTCGTGACGTTCGTGAGAATGTACTCACTCTTGTCTAGCTGAATTCAAATGTGATTGAAAGTGACTCAACGGTGACTTTGATTCATTCCATATCAGATTCCAATAATGAGTAAGATCAACGTAGATCATGTACATGTACAACAAATGTACACTCAACATGACAGTCATATTGACACTTGAAGCTAAATTAGAAAGCAGTAAGACTGCTTAAATCAAAGAAAGGCGTTTTTCAAATGTTTAGTGGCTTCAGGAAGTTTTTGTGCTAAGAAAGACTGACATTTTCAAAGCGACTACAATATAAAATAACTATTGATTTAGTCAGAAAGTTGTCCGCTTTAAAATGCCACAACATGGAATGGCTTAAATCAAAGAAAGGCGTTTTTCAAATGTTTAGTGGGCCTTGTAGACTTGGAATGGCTTGCTGCCTTCTAGACTTGGAATGGCTTGCTGCCTTCTAGACTTGGAATGGCTTGTTGCCTTGTTCTGAAATTCCATTTCTCTTTGATTCCTCTTGACTTTTCAGCAACATTTTAGAGATTTTTGTATTTTTTGGCCACAAATTTCACTGAATTCACTTAAATTGCAACCATAAAATTTTCCAAGTTGATATATTGAGTTGGACGAAAAGTTGACGCGGTTTTTTTGGGAGAGGTTCTTAAACTCAATCAATTTTGACGTGTAATAGCTCGTTCAAAAGCTAATGATCAAGCGAATTCAATGAAAAAAGCGCTTATTGATTTATTTTGCTTTTTAGAGCTTTTACAGAAGTTTTAGTAGAGGTGGTCAAGCAAAAAACTAACGAAAAGCTATTTTTGCACTTTTCAGCGTCTGACCACCTCTACTAAAACCTCTGTAAAAGCTTTAAAAAGCGATGAATCAATAAGCGCTTTTTTTCATTGAATCCGTTTGATAATTAGCTATTGAATGAGCTATTGAACGAGCTATTGATTGAGCTATTGAATGAGCTATTGATTGAGCTATTGAACGAACTATTGATTGAGCTATTGCATGAGCTATTGATTGAGCTATTGAACGAGCTATTGATTGAGCTATTGATTGAGCTATTGAACGAGCTATTGATTGAGCTATTGATTGAGCTATTGAACGAGCTATTGATTGAGCTATTGAACGAGCTATTGAACGAGCTATTGATTGAGCTATTGATTGAGATTTTGAACGAGGTATTCCGAGCTATTGATTGAGCTATTGAACGAGCTATTGAACTAGCTATTGAACGGGCTATTGAACGAGCTATTGATTGAGTTTGAGATCCTGTCTCAAAAAAGCCGCACGAACTTTTTGGTCCAACCCAATATAATGTTCAGCTTTAGCGGAGAATTGAAAGAAAAAGAGTGTTTAACAGATTTATTTAATGAATCGCAAAATAAAGGTGAGAAGAAAAAGCAGTTTTTTCAATTCAAAAAATACTCGAAATCATCCGTCTGAATCCTATAAACTTTGCATGAATTATGAAGTTGTTATACATAAAAACTAAAAGTGATTTCAAAATAAGGGAGGGTATAATAAGTTCATAGTGTGTGAGAAAAGAGGTACTCAAGCTCATCTTTGCTCAAGTGCTCACGCATCTTTGCAAATTCATCTTTGACATCCTACTTCATTGAATTTTATTGAACTGACTTTTCTTTTCTTTTATTTTACTTCATTGAACTGTTTTATCCTAGCTTTGATAGAGTTTTGAATAGTTTTAAGCTAGAATTAATGAATATAAAGTTAATAAAATCATTTTCTACTATTTTCTCCTTATCTTTACTAAACTAGAGACATACTGGAAGAGATTTACACTACTGGACAATGAAATATGATATTTGAAAAAAGATCGTCACTTTCGCGCGCCTGTAACTCCCTTGTCTTTACCGTCTTTCTAAATATTAATATTACCATTGTGTAGCCCTTGAAAAGAGCTTTCAGAAAATGTATAACACTAATAATTTAAACTCAAAGACAATGGAGTTACAGACGCGCGAAAGTGACGATCATTTTTCAAACATTATATTTCATTGTCCAGTACTGTACATTTCTTTTTTTCTTGATTGGTAGGGCAAAGATGATGTCGAAGTACCGGAAAAGATAAAGAAAAGTAGTCAGAAAGTATAGTCAGAAAGTATCTCAAAACATTTTCTTTCAAAAAAATCTTTCAGTTTTTCAAGTTATAGCAAATTTTCGTCTTGTAATTATTCTGGATTGGATTTCTAAAGCCTGGGAATTGATTCAAAAAGTTGTTCAGTATTTTTTAGGCTTTAGAAAGCCATTAGAAAATTGGATTACAGTACTTTTAGTGTTTCCTATTATTCCTAACATTCAAATTGGTTATTGGCAAAAGTTTTGCATTCTCTTTCTTTTCTGTTTTCTCCTTTTGATTCCTCCAATGATGCAAGTTTTGATAAGCGGCCGAGTAGAGTTTTCAAAAGAAACTAGACATGGGAAAATTCCAGTCCGAACCTCCAGCTTCGTTTCCCCGTCCATTTCTTGGCAGATTGCTCTGGGATTTTGTCTACAAGTTGAAAAGGTCGACAACTACAAGTCGATTTCTAACTGTAGACAAAATTTCAGAGCAATCGACAAAGAATCGGTCAAGAAAACAAAGAGAAGAGATTTACATTTCTTTTTTCTTGATTGGCAGGGTAAAGATGATGTCGAAGTACCGGAAAAGATAAAGAAAAGTAATCAGAAAGTATCTCAAAACATTTGAATGCGAGGAAATCCTTCAGTTTTTCAAGTTATAGCAAATTTTCGTCTTTTTCGTCTTGTAATTATTCTGGATTGGATTTCTAAAGCCTGGGAATTGATTCAAAAAGTTGTTCAGTATTTTTTAGGCTTTAGAAAGCCATTAGAAAATTGGATTACAGTAATTTCAATGTTTTCTATTATTCCTAACATTCAAATTGGTTATTGGCAACATTCAAATTGGGTATTCCATTCTCTTTCTTCTCCGTTTTCTCCTTTCGATCCCTCCAATGATGCAAGTTTTGATAAGCGGCCGACCAGGATCTCTTTCGATGTCCATTTTCGCCAGCGAACGTCTTTGCTGGTCCGATTTTTTTCAAAACCTCAGCGATTTCTTCAAAAAGTGCTCTAAAGATATCAAATTATCAAATTTCGAACAAAAATTTACTTATTCGAAAAAGCGTAGACTACACACTCCCACATCATCGCTATCACATCAGGATCTTCTTTTGCATCGAGTTGATATTCTCTGTATTCATTTGGAGATCTTTTTGTAAACGAGAGAGCTACTTATTGCTATAATTGTTATATTGTTTTAAGTAGCCAAGCAACTTCAAAGAATTTCATGAGAATTACTCTATGCTAGACTAATTACCGTAATCTAAACTAAATACCGTCACCTAGCGATCCTAGACTGAATATCCTATTCTAGTTGGAATACCGTAATCCAGACAGTCTAAACTGAATACTCTAATCTAGACTGAATACCGTGATCTAGCTATTCTAGGCTGAATATCCTATTCTATATTGAATACCGTAATCCAGACAGTCTAGACTGAATATCCTATTCTAGATTGAATAACGTAATCGCGACAGTCAAGACTGAATACTTTTTCAAATGTGGTCATTCTATCAGATGCAGTTTTTGGAATGGATTTTCCGAATGGAATGGGCACTTTCTTTATTGGGCACTTTCTTTATTGGACACTTTCTTTATTAAGCACTTTCTTTATTGGGCACTTTCTTTACCTAATCGCTAGAAAATTGCCTTTTAAAGTATTCATTTTGACGCTAAATCATTGAATTTGAACTGAATTGAAAATTTGAACCAATTCCGAATGGATTTTCAAAAATTTGCTCATATCTAGTAAACAAAATAAGGATACTATTTCGATTTTGAGGTTGGAAATTTAAAAACGCTCCCGGATTCAGTGGTAAAACTGTATCCGATAGACTAATTGAGAAAAGGAACTAACTCAAGGTGAGCTCTTGTCTGGATTAGAGTGTGCTCCTTGTTGACAGACAATTTGTCAGACAAATTTTCATTGACAACTTTTTTGTCAGACGATTGATCCGACAAACTTCCGACAACGCGTTTTCTAAAAGGTGCGCTTTTTAAGCAAAGCTATAAAGGTCGCGCAAAGCTATAAAATTTGCAAACTTTTCTAAAAATCTAGTAATGGATAGTTTTATTTAAGGATTTAGGTTTTTTAGGGCGTGAAATTTTTTTTGGAATGGTTCTAGTGCAAAGGTAGACAATAGGCCTGGTAAATTCCTAAATAATTAATAGTGTTTCTTAACTTTTCCCTTTTTAAATGTTTTCTTTAATTTTACATAGCATTTAAAAAATTTTAAGTTTTAGCGAAAGAGTAATAGAGTTAAGGGAAGAGTAATAGAGTTAAGGGAAGAGTAATAGAGTTAAGGGAAGAGTAATAGAGTTAGGGAAAGAGTAATAGAGTTAAGGGAAGAGTAATAGAGTTAAAGGAAAGAGTAATAGAGTTAAGGGAAGAGTAATAGAGTTAAGGAAAGAGTAATAGAGTTAGGGAAAGAGTAATAGAGTTAAGGGAAAGAGTAATAGAGTGAAGGAAAGAGTAATAGAAAAAAAGAGCGCAAGATTTTAATGTACATTTGCTTTTTGAAAAGTTTGCTGATGCAAAGCATAGGGTTACGATAGCCTATCCTTGGCGCGCGCTTTTTAGAAAACGCGTTGTCTGCAAGGAACACCCTCTAGTCTGGATACCTGTTACACTTTATAGAATCGAGGAATTCGAATCTGAAATCAAAATCTGCCAGATGACTTTCCAAACTTGTAAAAATTCAATTCAATTCAGTTCAAATTCAATGATTTAGCGTCAAAATGAATACTTTAAAAGGCAATTTTCTAGTGATTAGGTAAAGAAAGTGCCCAATATTTTGTGGTTAAACTCATCCATTCAAATTCAAAATCCTACATCTAATAGCTATTCCTTTTGTGCTAAATGCTTTGCAAAACTTGTAGCACTGTCAGATGGGCCGGTCACGTCAGAAGAACAGACGACAGATGGACGATACGGATCACAGAGTGGCTAACACGAGACAAGAAGAGACCCATCGGAAGACCAGCAACGAGTTTCTCAAAAGTTTCACCACTCACTTGGACAGCATCGGTGACAATCGGAAATAGACAGCTCCAAGGGATTGGGTCCAAGCTCGAGACCGGGTGACCACCGCTCCATCAGTTGCTGTCACCTAAACAGTTTCACGTTAAGATTTCTTGACTTCAATTACTTGAGCCATAACCATGTTGAAGAGATTTCTCATCCCTTTCATCATTCCAAACATTGTGGACATCTCGATTTGGCTTGGGTCAACAGGATGAGGCTGGGTTTTGCCAGTTCCAATCGATAAAACGCAACCGAGTTGGAATTTCTCCTGAAAGAAAACTTTTCCATAAGCTTTATTCTTAAAGCTTTTATCCTTTAAAACTCTTCAAAAACCTCTTTCTTTTCTTCAATTTAATCAATAAACAATAGAATTACCATCGCTTAAGCAAAAGTCTTTTGTTGTTAGCTTTTGTTGTCCCTTTTTTTTTGTTTTTATTAGGTAGAGGAAAAAGTAATGTCGGTTTTTGAATTCCCATTGTTGGCAATTTTCCATTTCTTTGCTTATGCGATTTCTCATCCCTTTCATCATTCCATTCATTTTTTTCAAATTATTAGGTTGGTGCAGATGAAACTTCCGTCACACTTGTTTGTTTATATTTTGAGATCTCGATTACCAAAAACCCTACCCTACATGAGAACAAGTCATCAATAATAATTGAGAATATCTCATTGATTGATGTGCGTTTGTTTATGTTTTTAGCAATAAAGAGTTTTGTGAAAAAAACCGACATTACTTTTTGCTTAAAGGGGGGTATTAATCGCGGCCGGGTGACGATAAAAATTTTTTTACGGCAACCACCTGTTTTTTTATTTTAATATCGCTGATTTTATTATAAAAAGAATAAAAATCCCCCGGCTAGAGTGATTTGATGGGTTTACAAATTTTTGGAGACACTGCAAGGCTTGGAGAAAAACAAGATCGTCACTCATCAGACACTTCAGCACAGTCTAGATCGATTGAGTTTTAATTGCAGATAAATTTAAAAACAAAATAAAAAGCACAAAAAACAATAAAAATAAATTGTTAATCTATAATTCTTCCTCTTGCTCACTTTCATCTTCGCTCAAGTACAGCAGTTCCTCAAATCGGCTTCCTATCTTATCAATTTCCAGCGCATCTTCACCAGAAGTGACTGAATCTCCTCCACCGTAGGACATCTTCAGCGCTTTAATTGACACAATTAGATCTTTTTCCATTTGTGGTCGCTTGTGGTTTTAGTTTTCTCAAATAGGTGCCTTTTAGCTGAGGTGTCTGATGAGTGACGATCTTGTTTTTCTCAAAGCCTTGCAGTGTCTCCAAAAATTTGTAAACCCATCAAATCACTCTAGCCGGGTGATTTTTATTCTTTTTATAATAAAATCAGCGATATTAAAATAAAAAAACAGGTGGTTGCCGTAAAAAAATTTTTATCGTCACCCGGCCGCGATTAATACCCCCCCTTTAACCTAATAGAAGACAATAGATAATTATCTATTATCTCAAAAGCAAGAGGCTTATTTAAGTCTTCTATTTAACTAGATGTTCACCCGAACCTCTTCTCTGCAATTCATATTCCAGTGATGGATTTCAGAGAGAAGTTCCATTGTTGGATTGTTGGATGACAGTCCTCCGTCAATATATCGCTGTTCGGAGGCTGAGAAATAAGTGGGAGCAGCTGATGATCGGCGGACAGCTCTCCACATCTCCACAGCTAAAATTTGATTGGTGATTGATTTCTCTAAAATTGAGATATCTTAAAATTGCTGAGAAACTTGGTACAATTAGCGTGGCCTGTATATTCTTGTGTAAATATTAGGTTGATGAGAAAATAATCGAAATAAACAAGACTCAAACTTTTTCTTTGAATTTAAAAGTCCTTTTGCGTCATTGATACTAAACTTTTGTGCCATCTATGCCATTTTCTAGAAGATAAACAGTTCAAGAATCAAGGCGAGGCTTAGCTGTTAGCTTTTAGCTTTTAGCTGTTAGCTGTTAGCTTTTAGCTTTAGGCTTAGGCTTAGGCTAGGGCTTAGGCTTAGGCTTAGGCTTAGGCTCAAGCTTAGGGTCAGGCTCAGGTTTAGGCTCAGGCTCAGGCTCAGGCTCAGGCTCATGCTCAGGCTTAGGCTTAGGCTTAGGCTTACCATAAATTGAAATCATAAATTGTGATGTAAAAAGTGAATAAACCACAGTAAATCTCTGACTTTTCTGCATAGAACTCAAGTAAGAAGATCTAACTCTTGTAATCCAGATATCTTGCGTTGCAGGCCTCGGGGGCAAACCTGAAAACGGATTCGGAATCAGCGTAGTTTCGTTTTCAAAGGTCACGGATAGTCAGAGGATTTAAAGCTTACTGTTAGCTTCATAGCCGCAGAGCTTACTATTTCAGCTTCATAGTTTCATAGCCTAAGCCTAAGCTATTTAGCTGTTAGCTTTTAGCTTTAAAACGCTTTCCAGCAGTTTATCGACTCAGGAACGCCAAATTTCTATTCTGATGGAATTGGAAAACTTGTTTGGCAGCAGTGAATAGATGCTGATGGTTTTTACTTGGAATAAATTCATTTGTTATTGACTTTTAGTTTTGGACTTGAAGTTAGAGGCTCCAAATTTTGATTATTTTCCCACAAACTTATTATTATTTAGAAAAGAGCATTATTTGTCTGTACGAGGATTTTCTCGACCGTCTTTTCACCAATAAACCTCTAGAAAACCTTAGAATATAATGAAATGTCCGTCTGTCTGTCTGTCTGTCTGTCTGTCCGTCTGTCTGTCTGTACGCAAGATTTACATCATTTTTAGTTTATTAGGCTTAGAATTCTATATAGTTTTGCATCTAATATTTCGTTTTTTTAAAAAGCAAAAAAAAGGGCAGAAGTGGGAGTCGAACCCGGATCGTATGGGTTGTAGACGAGCTCGCTGCCGACTGAGCCATAGCGCCAAGCTATCCAGCGAGAAAAAGCCGGGCTTTTCTGTATAACGCTGCAAGTTAGAGTCTCCAAATTTCGATTATTTTCCCACCAACCTAATAGATTTAGCACAAAATTTATCAAGTCTTTAAAGTCTTTCACCAACTTTGTTCAACTTTGAGTACCAGTATCTTTGAGTACCACCTTGAGTACCAGATCTTGCCTTGTGATTTGAACTTAATTGTGGCTTTTTTTTGAAACAGAAACAGTCAAATCAAGCTCAAGCTCGCAGAAATAGACTAGATTGTAGAACTATTGGGTTGTCCAGTTATGAATGCGCGTTTTTTACTATTTTGTAAATTTCTAAAGATATCGAACAGATGTAGATGAGTGTTATATACCATTCGAGAGCTGAAGATCTCCTCTACATTTTGATATAAAAAGTTTTTGAATTTGTTCAGCTTTTGGGCAAATTGACTGCACAGAAGAGGAGGTGGCCAAAAAATGGAAGGATGCCTTTGGATCAAGTTTTGGCTCCGCTCAAATTGAGTTAACCGTTTGATGTTTGGCCAATAGATATATCAATATAACTTTTTTTTAAATATAACCATTTCAGAGCATCTTTACTTGAGGAATAGCTAAGCTGGAATGGGTTTTTTCGAAAACGTTTTTTTTTTGGTCACCTCTCCCTTTCTGCAGTCAATTTCCCAAAAAGTTGAATGAATTCAAAAGCTTTTTATATCAAAATGTAGAGGAGATCTTCAGCTTTCGAATGATATATAACACTCATAAACATCTGTTCGATGTCTTGAGAAATTTACAAAATAGTAAAAACGCGCATTCACAACTGGACAACCCAATATTTTTGTGTAAATATTAGGTTGATGCATAAGTCTTTTCGTTTTTTTCGTACTTCTGTTAAAAAGTAGCAAATTCACCAATTAATCTATAGTTTGCTCTATAAAAAAAGTGTTTTTTTGTTCAATTTGCATCTTTTTAAATGAATTTCGGTTCACTTTCAAGCAAATTCGAGAGTGAAAAACGCCTTTTTCGTAAAAATCTATAAAAAACTCTACGGAAAAATTGGCTGAATGAATTTCTCTGAAATTTTGCCGAAATATCAAACGTTTTTTTTCTCTATCTTTTATCTATTGACACGAAGATAGGTTTTCTTTAGCTAAGGTGTCTAAACCGCATCATCGAGTTAGCCCTTTTTGACTACCCGACTTCATACTCTCAAGAAAATCCAGGCATTCAATATTTTTAAACCCGTTTTAATGTTATTTTGCAGAAAAATAATTGCTTTTTCTAATGAAATCAACCGTAGTTTAATTGGTGCATTTGTTGGCTTGAGACGGCAGACGAAAAGGAACAAAAACACTTATGCATCAACCTATTAGATTTAGCACAAAATTCTTTAGTCTAAATAGATTCAGCACAATATTGATCAAGTCTTTAAAGTCTTTCATCAAGTTTGTTCAACTAGTTTAACTTTGAGTACTAGTATTGCAAGAAAATCAACTCTTCAGATTCATCTGATTTCAAACAAACCATTCGGATTTCAAACAAACCATTGGGATTGATATCTCCATATTCTCGTGAGTCACCCATTGCATCATAATTCCGAATTAGCATCAATTGAGATGGATAAGTGGTTGCATCATTTGTCGTGCAAAAAAAGCTGAACACTGTTGACTTGAATAAATCCATTGCACTCACTGATTGACTCCATTTGTCTCTCCAACCGCTCTCTCCTCCCCGAAAACACTTTTGTAGAACTTTTCAAGCACCAGAGCACTAAATTGATTTGTTTAGAGGTGTCATTAAAGAATTTACTCGTAAGGGCGGACTCTTGAATCAAAAATGTCGTCTTTGAAGCGGAGGTAGATGCGTTGACCTTCGCGGATTGAAAGGCCTAAAATTTTGCTGTAACTTACGTGTAATAACTTCTAGTTTTGTGTAATAACTGTGTAACAACTTCAAGATTCAAACGTTTAAGGTTAAGCCCAATTTTAGAGGTGTTATCGATCTTTCCCTAACAAGTTCGTTGGATTGCTGTTCGCAATCTCTTTGGGAAACAAATTGAGTCGGTTCTTCTCGAAAATTCCAAAGGGCAAGCTTCTTATACTAGCGGCATATACCATCGCGAGCGAGTGATCGCGAGCGATTGTGCGCACACAATGAACACCTTGCCAATCACTTTATAATGATTTCTTTTATTCTATAAATGATTCCCAAACAAGATAATGTTAAAAATTTGTGCTCCGGCATTTTGAGAGTTGTAGAACCTATTAGCAAAGTTTATTTTAATCCTTTGTTCCAAGAAAAGTCTAAATTAGCTTTGGCTTTGTTTTCTTTTTTCCTGTAAACTTGCGCGAGGTTTTCAGGATTTTAAAGCCTATTAGCAAAGTTTATTTTAACCTATTGTCTTAAGAAAAGTTTCAAGATAATCGAATTGGGTTTGGGTTTTGTATATGATAGCTCTTCACAATGAAATGACCTGAAATTTCCAAAAAGAATCATAGAATTTAAAAAAAAAATTTGTGAAAAGACAAAATTAAAGAACGAGAACATTGTAGTTTTCATTTCAGAAGCGATTTTTGTACTATTTGCTTTATACTTCTTCGAGTCTGAAATCTATTTTTCAGCTTAAAATATTGGGTTGGTGAATTGAAAACTGTGGGACTTTGAACTTTGAACTAAAATTTGTTCAACATAAAACCATCAATTGATTCTAAATAATTTCCATTATTATTGACGACTTCTGCCCATTTTACAGGCAATTTGCGGATTCCTCTTTCGTAGTAGGGTTTTCGTTTTGAATCGAAAAACTTTTCGAGCCAATTTTTGACTGCTTCTTCCGAATCGAAGTGTTCTCCCGCAAGCTCATTACTCATGCTCCGGAATAAATAGTAATCAGAAGGGTCCGGGCAGTATGCGGGATGTGTCAAAAGTTCTCAACCAAGGCTGTTTATTTTAGAGCGAGACAGTTTTGCAACATGAAGGCAGGCGTTGTCGTGGAGGAGAACGATCTTTGACTTGAAGGGCCTATTCTTCTTTAGGGATTCATTCACTGTTTCCAACTGTTCACTGTATTTGATTGCATTAAGGGTCGTCTTGCTATCCAGCAACTCCCAGCAACTCTCTCCATATCCCAAAGTGCTCAAACTGTGACATATGACAATAGACAATACGATTTTGGTTTGTGTGTGAGACAAGTGTGACAAAAGTGGAGGACTGGAGATGTCCCAGTTTGAACACTTTCTTCAAAAGAAACCCATTTTGGTGTGAATAGAAAAGTTGTAGAGAATCAAAAATGAGGCTTATAGCCAAATTTCCAAAAAGATACACGTAGTAGTTTCGCTTAAAATGCAAGTTTTGTTGCAAGTTTTGTGAAAATTCGTAAATTTGGCATTTCTTGAAAACGAGTTTTTGAATCGTTCTGAAAATTTGGATATAAGCTTGATTTTTGATTCTCTACAACTTTTCTATTGACACCAAAATGGGTTTCTTTTGAAGAAAGTGCTCAAACTGTCACATATGACAATAGCCGGCAGTTTTCAATTCACCAATCCAATAGCTTAAAATAGATTACAATTTCAGAAGAAAAGTCAAGTAGATAAGCATATGTCTTGGCTATTTACATGATTTACTATTCCATTTAGATTTAGATATCGTGAATAGTGTTGCTATTTTTATAAAAAACCTCCAATAACTCACCAATAGTAGCACTCCCACCCAGCGCGGCTCCAGTACTCGTCGACGCAATCCACTCAAAATATTCAGGCAACGGTCGATCCAATAACTCTTCCACCGAAGAAAGTAGCTATAATAAAGTTTTATAGTAGTTTATCTAATCTTAATAAATAATATAAACCTGCGTGATGACAAGTCCTCGAATCCCCCCTCCATCCAAAGAAAGAGCATTGATCATTTTGATGCCCTCTCTTTTTCGGTTTTCTTCAATTTTCTGGCAGAGAGTTTTTAAAGATAACTAAATATGTTTATATTATTTATTTAAATGTAAATACCATATGTGCATGGAAATCGAATCCGGCATCGGGAGTTGCCAAATGCTTGGTGAATCGATGAGTGAATGGATCATTCGTTGACAATTTATTTCCATTCTCATCAATGATTTCTGTTTCTAGATTTGATTAGAAAGAAATTCAATCTATCTTATTCAACCTTCCAGAAGACTTTTTGCCAGATAAGGCACATATTTGTTGTTCAAATTCAAGCATCCATAGAGACAATTCTGTGAGTTTTCTTTACAAGGCGCTGCCCATTTCATTGCCAGCAAAGCGATTAGTTCAGAGTGCCTGGAAAATCAAAAATCCCTTTAGATTCTCGTTTTTTGATAAATTAAAAAGTTGCCCAAGTTTCCGAACTTTTTCGTCCTTGCCGCGAGATGCCTTGGTGTCTCTCCGAAGTGATTTTTTGCATCAACCCACGCTCCACAACAGATCAACACTTTCACCATCTCGAGGTCTTCATTCTGAAAATCACATCCATTGCATTAAAGCTGATTTCCTGGCATACCAAAAAATTCCATAGAAGCCAGAAGCGGACCTGATTTTCTGGGTTTACATGACCGGTTTTGGGTTATTCAATAACCGGTTGGAAATCTAACAAGGGAATGACACCAAGCTCGAAGTTCAGAATCGCTTTGTAACCGAGTGCATCATACAGAATCATCTATGCTCTGAATCTGTAAAAATTAGCTGCAAGCACCCACGCAATTACAAGGAATCCGGCATAAAAAATGCTCGGATTTTGGACTCTTCATAAAGAAACTTTTCCTGAAGAACGAGAGTTTGAGCTTTTCTTTTCGACCTAGTGGATAGAGTGTTAGTCTACGGAGCTTATGAGGTTTTTTGGCTTGAGTTCGAATCCTTCCTTGGCCAATTCTTTTTGCTTTTTTCGAAAATTCTTTTTCTGATGTCTTTGCATTAAATTTTTATGCTTTATGCAGTCTTTTGTCCAAAAAGGATTGATCAGCGGAGGATTCGAACCAAGCCAAAAAACCCCTTCAGCTCCATAGGCTAGCACACTATCCACTTTAAACCAATGAGGCCGTTGAAGAGTCCGAAATTTAAGAGAATTTTCTATGCCAGATTCCTTGCGGTTACGTGGGTGTTTGCAGCTAATTTTTACAGATTCAGAATCAGCATCGTTGATTTTATAAGATGCACTCGGCCCGCGAAGCGATGGTGCACGAAGCGATTCTCAACTTCGAGATTGTGTCATTCCCTTGCAAGATTTAAGACCAAGTCCAGAGTCAGGCTTGAGCAAGCTCAACTGAGTTAGCCTAATTCCAAAGTCTAACATAACTCTTGCCTACATTTCTCTTTATTGATTTTAAATCAAACCATGATCGCGTAATGTAAAGCGGTGTTTCCCTCGATGTCCCTGATGTTGACGTTTGTCCAATAGCCGTATAAAGCTGGAATTTGTAATACAGTTTGTAAATCTTCAACACTACATCACTAATAATCATTTTCGGCTCATTTATCTGGTAGTCTACTCCTCACCCAACACAAATCCATGTCTTCCCCTCAGCACATGTTCCATCAATGCCGTCCGCCCCAAACAATCTCGTGCATTCGTGTCCAAGTCAGATTCCTCAAGAAACGAGAGTTTGAGCTTTTCTTTTCGTTGAAGATACCATTAATCTTTTATTTTCCAATAGACTCAATAGTGATCGCTTATTTTGAACACCGTGTAGCCAAGTTCCGCCATTGGGGAAATTCGATGCATGAAACTCAAAGTTGAACACCGACAACACTTCGCCCATTTTTCTAAAAATGGTTATCACCATACCTGAGGTAAAGGGATACCTCAAAAGAGGTATAGGGATACCTCAAGAGGTATAGGGATATCTCAAGAGGTATAGGGATATCTCAAGAGGTGTAGGGATACCTCAAGAGGTGTAGGGATACCTCAAGAGGTATAGGGATACCTCAAGAGGTGTAGGGATACCTCAAGAGGTATGGGGATACCTCAAGAGGTATAGGGATACCTCAAGAGGTATAGGGATACCTCAAGAGGTGTAGGGATACCTCAAGAGGTATGGGGATACCTCAAAAGAAGTATCATGATACCTCGAAATCTGGATTTGAAAACGCTTAAAGATTGACAAGACCTAATTAAAATGAATCTTTCAGAAAAAAGCCTATCTGGCTTGTTCTCCATTAGACTTACGCCGGACTTGTAGGAGTTTTTGTCAACGCATCATGTAGTGGACTCGTTTGTGGAACCGTTGCATTGTTGAACTCACCCCTGCAGAAAAACAAGGATTTTTTATAATCTTTATAATTTACAGTGATAGTTAAAACATTTTTACACTCACTGTGAGAGAAAATGCCTGAAAAAGTCGGCCTTTGCCGATTTGTGCTCCGAGCACCAAAGCAGGATGTAATCTTCAGGAATTGATTCGGCCAATAACTAAATATTTAAGTGAAAAGTGCAATTAATCAGTTGTCACCTCTAACAAGTGATTATCTCCATCTTTTATGTGATCAAGTACACAAAGGCCTTGATTGTCCGTGGTGCGGAGTTCGACTTTGAGATCGATTAGACGAACGACTGGCTCGAAATGTCCTTAAAACGAGATGAAGATCTACAGAGATCTACAGAGATTTTTAGCAATAGACATTCTTGTAGATAACAGCAATTGCAACAGCAATAGACATACAGCAATCGACTATTTTAGCAATAGACATTCTTGCAGTTGTTCTGAAGCAAGGAAATCATGTTTTAGAATTTTACTGTTTCTTGTTTTGCTTGTTAAACTACTGTTAAACTTGTTAAACTGTCACACTGTTAAACTACTGTTAAACTGTCACAATTCATTGCCCAGTTTAAATATGAACCTTCTTTAACAGCGATCATCGCTGGAGTCCAACCATCGGGAGCGCACGGGAAATTGTAGAAACTGAAATGTACACGGTGATCAAAAAGTTTCACTTTACAAAAGAACCCCCAAAAGAAGCTCCAAAAGAAGCCCAATAGCTAAAACCCAGATCGAAATCCGACTCACTAGATACATTTCTATGTAGACTTATAGTATTTTGAAACTGAAATTGTGGGGAGCATTTCTACACTTAAACCATCTTGATCAGAGCTACTTAGCTCTACACAGAAGCACTGGTTTGGAGCGTTAGAGCTGATTGTAGCGCTGGTTTGCCTCGAATGCAGTGCAAAGCTTCTTGAAAAGGATGAAAATTTCTGATCGGAGTCATTTACTTATAGGAATGTTCAGCAGAACTTCAAACTACTATAAGACATGGGAAATTTTTGTTTTCCAATTTCCATCCTTTTCAAGAAGCTTTGCACTGCATTCGAGGCGAACCGCCCATCAGATAAACACAGTTTCCGGGTTTTTGAAAGACTTTTCAATTGAAAACAAGTTCAAATAGGTGAATGGAATGACACTTTGCCTCCTGCGCAACACAATGCTTCTGTGTAGAGCTAAGTAGGTGAGTGCAATGACACTTTACAAAAGAAGCATTTCTCAACTAAAACCCAGATGGAAATTTGACTTAGTATAGAGTATTTTAAAGCTGAAATTGTGGGGAGCACTTCTACACCTAAATCATCCTGATCAGAGCCACCTAGCTCTCCAAAAGAAGCATTGTAGCGCTGGAGGCAAACTGTCATGGCACTCATCTATTTGAATCTGTTTTTAATTGAAAAATTCTTCAAAGAGCCTTTTTAAATTTACCCCTTTGTTCTATTGGGTTGGGGAGAATGAGTCGGCGCCGAAAATGAAAAAAATGTCTAAAACTTCTATTCGACTTCGTCAAATAATATGCGTTTGATATGAGTAGAATGGTTAACTAATTCTCTACAAAATCACATTTAAAAGAAAATTCAAACAGCGCCTCCGCTCAAGAAAAAGCCATTTTTTCACAAAAACTACAAACTGTGATCTAGAAAAAACCATTGGTGGGATCTTCCTGCAAATTTGGCAACTTAAGTAATTCAATGTGCTCTATCTTTTTTATATAAACACCAAAGAAGGTTTATGTGAAAGAAACTGTTCAAATGATGAGTCGGACTCTTTGCCATTTTAACCAGCTGCGTTTGGAAGTTCATAAACTCCACGAAAGAAAAGCTTTGTGGAATCTCTCAAAAGTGATTTTGTAGAGAAATAGTGGATCCTTTTGATGAAACCAAACGTATGTTTAAAGAAGGCTTTATGTGTGCAAAAAGTCCCTATAAAGTTTGGCGCCGACTCATTCTCCCCAACCCAATAATTAACATTTCAATTGTTATTTTAAAAAGAATACAATCTCTGGTTAAAATAAAAACGTAAAATAGTCTTCGTAAAATAAAATGAGTTGCTGAAATTTGATTGGAAAGTTTTTAGTAGATAAATGTAGCCAAGATTAAAGGTAACTCTGAGAAGATTACACTTTTCCATCACTAAATGAAACGTTTTTCGGTGAAAACAGCAAATGTTAGAATAAAGAAAACAAAGAAAGCAAAAATCAAGAAGAATTTTCTTTGGAAAACAGCTAAATTCTATTGTAAGAGAGATGAGTTGTCAGAGTTCAGACTCCTGTATGTCAGAGTTGTTTATGTGCAGTCATTGCTTATAGCTAAACAGCTATCACCTACATAGCTTTTCTCTTCTTGAAGTAACGTGTGCATCCGACGAAAGCCGCCAAATGATAAGGCCGCCAATTGGGATTTTGAGAGACACATGTGATCACTTTCTCAATCCAAATTGAAGCTAAAATTTAGCTTTACATTATTAATCGCATTGTTGTTAAATAAGGCAAATTTTTTGACCAGTTTTCTTACCTGTTCTTCTTGGCACAAACTTGAGTACTCCGATGAACGGTTGGAGCATGGCTTTTAGGGTGTAAATCTCTTCCAACTAATTGTAAGATTTAAATAATTCTTTCTAAGATTTAGGAAAACCTTCTCGCTCTTTGTGACAATAAATCGGCGAACACGTTTCGCAGACTTTCGTCGAGCAGCCAGAATCAGAAAGCTTTCAGTCTCCAATTTCACCAATCTCGGCTTGTACACTTCGAGCTTCACCAAAGCGTTTTCATTCGGCTTTTCATCTAGTTTTATCAATGAAAAGAATAAATATGATTCTTTCCTAACCTCCAATCTTGATTTGAACAAAATTCGCGTGTTGAGAATTAAAGAGATCGAATTTGTTTGTGCGCTCTTTTGCAGCGAATCGATCACTGATTTTTCGAACGAGTGAAGTGCCATAGAAACTAAAAGAAAGTGTTAATTGTATTCATTTTTAGTAGGACTGTTTAGTAAGACTATTTAGCAGGACTATTTAGCAGGACAATTAAACTATTCAAGAGTTAGTTGACTACTGATTTTTGCTTGGGATTGAGATCCGATCAGTTGTTTGATAAAAATCTATTGGGTTGTCCAGCTATGTTTTTGCTATTTTGTAAATTTCTCAAGATATCGAACAGATTTATATGAGTGTTATATACCATTCGAAAGCTGAAGATCTCCTCTACATTTTGGAATCAAACAGTTTTTGAATTTATTCAACTTTTTGGGAAATTGACTGCACAAAGGGAGAGGTGACCAAAAAAAACCCATTCCATCTTAGCTATTCCTCAAGTTTTATGGTGTAAAATAACCGCTCAGAAAAGAATAGAAAAGTAAAGCTGCTCTGAAATGGTTATATTGAAAAAAAAGTTGTATTGATATATCTATTGGCCAAACATCAAACGGTTAACTCAATTTGAGCGGAGCCAAAACCTGATCCAAAGGCATTCTTCCATTTTGTAGAGAAAAGGAACCAAATCTTTATAGAAAAGGAACCAAATTGTAGAGAAAAGGTCTTGATCCAAAGGCACCCTTCCATTTTTTGGCCACCTTTTCTCCTGTGCAGCCAATTTGCCCAAAAGCTGAACAAATTCAAAAGCTTTTTATATCAAAATGTAGAGGAGATCTTCAGCTTTCGAATAATATCTTTTTCTTGATTTCAGTATCTTGAGAAATTTAGAAAATAGTAAAAAACGCGTATTCATAACTGGAAAACCCAATATTTTAAAGCTGAAATTGTGGGGAGCACTTCTACACCTAAATCATCCTGATCAGAGCCACCTAGCTCTCCAAAGAAGCATTGTAGCGCTGGAGGCAAACTGTCATGGCACTCAGCTATTTGAATCTGTTTTTAATTGAAAAATCTTTCAAAGAGCCTTTTTAAATCTACCCCTTTGTTCTAATTAGGTTTTCGGGGGTAAGGAATCCGAATCTGCACTCAGATTTGTGCTACGTGCCCTCAGTATCTCTAGGTAGAATATCCTAAGCTCTAGAATATCCTAAGCTCTAGAGCCTATTGCGTCGTTGTCTTGCTAAAAAAGCTATTAAGTGCTATAAGCTTTCAAAGATTACCTCATTTCAACAGAAATTCGAAGAAATTCGAAGAGAAAGCAGCTGATGAACTGCGAAACACTCTTCAACAACCTAAATGCAAAGATCTTTTACAAGATCTCTTACTACTCAAGAAATTCAAACGATCATTAATCATTTAAAGGAAAAATGTGAACACGTTGAACGCTTGGTTGTGTATTTTTGTGTTTTCGCGAACAATCTCGGGATCTCATCAAGATTTCTCACTCAAAGCGAGCATTTATTCGAAGTGACACCTCAATGAAGTGAACACATTTTCTCGTCACTCATTTTTCACTTCGCAAAAAAAAAAATGGGAAAGATTGGATACATGAGAATGCGACTTTTCAGAAACTACAGAAACTTAGAAACAGAAAAATTACTATTGACTTTTGCTTGAGTAGTTTAAAGAAGGGAATTTGGATCGATTTTCACTAAAACAAAATCATCGGCATGTAGTTTTTGATGAAGTTTTATGTAGATATGAATAGCTGCAATCGTTTTCTCGACCCCGAAAATGCAGGGTACAGCTGAATATCTTCTTTTTCTGCGATCTACAAAGCAAAAGAGGAATCACTGTATAAAAAGACCGAAATGTGTTCTTTGTGTGGCTGCGTAATCGGTCGCTATCTGGCACACACCCTTGATAGATAGGTGTTCCCTTTTGGATTCACGAAAAAGTAGGAGCTTTAAGCGACTGAGCCGATCCTCGCTTTCGTGAGTGTATGAAGAGGCGAAAAGTGTTCTTTGTGTGGTCGCGTAATCGCTCGCCAGCTGGCTCATGCCCTTGATAGATAGGTGTTCCCTTTTGGATCGCGCAAGGGGGAAGCACCGATAAGCGACTGAGCCGATCCTCGCTTGCTTGACTACATAAAAAGGCTGAAAAGTGTTCTTTGTGTGGGCGCCTAATCGCCCGCCAGCTGGCACACGGCCCTGACAGATAGGTGTTCCCTATCGAAATCCGTAAAGGAAAAGAGCGCAAAACAACTGAGCAGATCCTCGCTTTCTTGACGTCACTATGCTCAAATTTTTGGGATCAATTTTCGCCTTAAATTTTTGCTGTGTTTTTCCTAAAAATTCTACGTTTTTCTAAACCAAAACTAGCTGAAATACTGGAAAAGTAACCTGAAAAACGGATTTTATACCTGATAAACGATTTTTGATGTGATTCTGATCAATTTCTGTCCTAAATTTCGCTGGATTTCGAGAAATTCGAGATAAAACGAGATTCGAGATAATTTATTTGCAATCTGATTGTGATCCAATCAATAAATAAACTGCTCAATATCTCAAAATCACTTTCGACAATTCAATCTCTGAATCAATTTCTCTTTGAGTTGTTCAACGTTCTCGCCGACAAAGACATTTCTCGGATTGCCCGTGATCTCAATCAAAAGCTCACTAAATGATTCATTATTAAAATGAATTAATAAAAATGTTGTAAACGAGTAAAAATTTGTTATAGTTTTACTGTTTTCATTCAACGTACTTGTTATTATTCTCGGCGACACTTGCCGCGTAAAACTCGGTTTTGGCGAGTTGTTGAATGTCGAGAGCGGTTTGCATTGGGTTGTCTTGGGAATAGCTGAATGGATTGATGGATTCGGTCCTCAGAAAACTCAGGAGTTTAACTGATTCCTTAAAACAATCTTATTATTACTAATTTATTGCAAATTTACTGGTAAATCTAGATTTCTAGTTTTCTAGACATTCTAGACATTCTTGGTGACAGTTTTCCTTAATTTTGGTTTGAGTTTTGACAGTTCTCCTTAGTCTTGCTTTGAGCTTAAGGCACAATTTTCTTTCACCTACCCATCACTCAATAGAATCACAATTGTTTCCACTTCTTTCCGTCGCGAGATCAAAAGATTTTTAGCGCTTTCTAAGGCAGCGCTGATATAAGTTGTTCCTAAAACATTCTCAATAGAAGCTACCGTAAATACTGTAATAGTACCCCACCCTCATAATGACGGTGCGGAGTGTTGGGTAGTCTAGCTTTGAACGAGTTTTTCTCGACACTGGTTTATGCCAAAATGCAAAAAAAAAAAGATTTTTTAATTAAAAAAAAAAAAAAAAAAAAAATTAAATTAATTTTTTTATATTTTATATTTTTTTTAGAAAAAAAATAAAAAAAAAAAAAAAATATTTAATAAAAAAAAAAAAAAAAAAGAAAAAAAGAAAAGAAAAAAAGAGAAAAATATATAAAAAAAAGGGGAAAAAGATTTAAAAAAATTAAATTATAATTTTTTTTAAATTTACGCTTAGGTATCAAAAAATAGCCCTGAATTTCAGCTATTTTTTGATATCCAAACGAACACTGTAGCATAAACCAGTGTCGAGAAAAACTCGTCCAAAGCTAGACTACGCAACGCTCCGCCCCGTCATTATGGGGATGCGGTAATTTTGATCTGAATCTTTTTATAATCTTGCCTGTAATATGCCTAACTCTTCCAAAAGCATTCAAAAGTTCAGTCTTTTCTTTGAACTCGTCAAAAGACAATTCAGTCTTTTGAATGTTTCGACTAGAAAATTGTAAAAGTGCTACACGATGTGCTTGCTGAGAGACATCAATGTTAGACAAGAGATCAAGAAGAAAAGCCTAAATGGATAAGGTATTGAATTGAGTTGTTTAATCACCTTTTGCTTCTGATAAACAGACACAATCGATCCAGAGCTGTCAACAATGAATAGGAGATCAACTGGACAAGTGGATGCTTCGGAGTTGAGCACACTTCTTGCAACCAGGGCTCTTGAGGTCGTCATTGGCTAAATAGCTAAATGGCTAAATGCTAAATGAGTAGAAATAGGCACTAACTAAATTTTAAGTATTGAATATAAGGATTGAATTCAAGATTTGAGAACTAGACTTTATTTTTGACAAAGAAACGATTCAACAAGTTCAACAAGGCAAAGAAACAAGGCTACTTTTGTAATCTTCAATGAGCTCTTGATCGTTGCAGAAGGTTTCCTCTTTGTTATCCATTTAGCAGTAGTCCTCGTGGTTGTTGCAGTTGTTGTACTCGTATCAAAAACTTTTTTCTCAATTTCATTCACAACTTCTTAACCTTACCTGTTTTTTCATTCATTTGACCAGTCTTTTCAAGAAGATCAATTGGATTTTTTGTAGGAATGGTACCTCTGAAAGCTATTTAAGTTTAGCTCTTGTTTAACCCAAGATGAGCTCAGTTTAGCTCTTGTTTAACCCACAATGAGCTTAGTTTAGCTCTTGTTTAACCCACGATGAGCTTAGTTTAGCTCTTGTTTAACCCAACGATGAGCTCAGTTTAGCTCTTGTTTAACCCACGATAAGCTCCTTTAGCTCTTGTTTAACCCACGATGAGCTCAGTTTAGCTCTTATTAAACCCACAATGGTACTGCTGTTGTACTGATCCATTTCTTCGTAAAGATCAAAGGCTCTTTCAATTTCTTTTTAATCAATTTTCCTGTTGTTGTTGTCCTTTTGAAGGCTTTTTGTGTTCTGATTATTCTTGCTTTTTTCCTTTGTCGATGCGGAGTCTAAAATTGCATGAACTTACAATTGCATTTCTGGGTTTGATGTCAACTAAAAGAAATGTCAGCAAAATTTCTACCGTAATCGGTGAGAACTCAGTAGTCGTTGGCTCAGTTGGCTCAGCTTTTGCCGAAAGTGAAAGGAACTTTTTGCGCAAAACTCTTCTAACGTTGCGAAGTCTGAAATTTTGAGCAATACAGCAATACAGCAATACAGCCTTTAAAAGTACTTTGCTCATTATTAAATGGCAAGTCGAGTTCTTACCATTGTTACAAGCCTATTAGCCTATTAGCCTACAAGCCTATTAGCCTATTAGCCTATTAGCCTACAAGCCTATTAGCCTACAAGCCTATTAGCCTACAAGCCTATTAGCCTACAAGCCTATTAGCATTTAATCTTTACTTTATCTGAAGAAAGGGGTTAATTTTGTTAAGTTAAAAGGTTAAGATTCAAGTCGCACCCGATCTGAGGCCATGATCTAGATTTGAAAGCAAACCGAGGCAAAGTGCTGCGTAAAGTGGCTTTCTTTGAACTTGTAGTTATCCTCGTCGTTGATACAGTTGTTGTTGATGCTTTGGTGATGTTTTGGTGATTCGTTGTTCCTCTTGTAGTTGTCGCTATCGTTTTCTTCTCGACTTTCCTAATTTTCTCCAGTTTTCGGCTACTTTTTGTCGTCTTCTTTGTGCTTTGACTTGATTGTTTTTCTTGTTTCTCTCTCTTCACCAATTCTTCTTTCTCATTTCTTTTCTTCTCCTCAAACCGGATTTGTTGCGTTCCAACAACTTGATTAACTCCTCGTGAAGGAGATGACTAAAAAGATTTGAAAGATTTGAAAGATTTGAAAGATTTGAAACAGGCTAGACTTTCTGTGTACTTTGGGGGCTCTCTTAAAGCATTAAAGCATTAACACCCACTTTCTGGTGTACTTTTCTTTCCGAAACCCTATTGCATGAGAATTGAGTGCACCAGAAAAGATGTGTTTTCATTTTTGAGTATAAAGGTCATTGAGCAAAGGAAAAGCTGTTGCTTCAAAAGCTTCAAATCAAACTTACAGTAAGCAATTGAGAGCTGATAACCGTGCCTGTTCCACGAATACTTGAAATCGGAAGTCTTTTTGTCTCCTTTTTCTCCAAAACTACAGATTTTTGAGGCTAAAAACATGGTAAACATTCGAATATCTCAGTTTTTTTCAATACCTTCACTTTCGTCAAGTTTTCAAGAGCGATAACTGTTCGATTAGATACGGATTTCTCTTTTTCAATCACCTAAAATTTAAGCTAAAACGATTTTCAGTCTTTTTTCAATTATTAGGTCTTTACAAGTTCTTTGAAACTTTCTTTCCATCGAAAAGAATCCTTTACCAAATTGTTTGCGTTCTAAATTATCAAAAAAACTATGATTTCTCTACAAAATGGCTTTTGAGGCTTAAAAAAGGCTACAAAAAGGCTAAAAAATGGCTTAAAGCTCGTCTCAACTCGGTAAAAACGCATTTTTATGTAAAATTTTCAATTGCTCTTTTAAAGAAAATCGCTGAACGGATCGTTTTCAAATTTTACAGACTTATTCAATCAAATAAGCTCTATCTGTTTGTATTGAAGAAAGTGTCCAAATTGCGACTTCGGCATCGCATTGGAGCAGTTTTGGGGGCTCGTGCTTATGCCTTTGAAAATCTATAAAAACAACTACTTCCAACTACAACTACAGAATTATGCAATCAAATAAGCTCTATCTTTTTTACTTTGGCACCAAAATAGCTTTTGTTTTGAAGAAGGTGTTCAAATCGGAACAGTTTTGGGTGCTTGTCTTTGCGCCTTTCAAAAAATCCACAAAACAACTACTTCCAAGAACTTCTCAAAAGCCATTTTGCAGAGAAACATTTAACCTTTTTAATAGTTTAAGCAGAAACATTGGTGGCATTGTTTTTAAAAGGCGTTTGGAAAAATTGTCTTTACAAGAAATTGTAAGGACATTGTACCAAGGATAATAGATAATTTTCTTGTCAAAACTTTGCCACCAAAAGCTTACCAAAAGATCCTCTTTGATCTCCTCGAATTTCTTTCCATTGGCGCAAATTCGAGACTCCTCCACATCTTTCAGCAGCTTTTTTCTCAATCGACTCAAATCTTTTGGACTGAAACTTTGAAAATCTTGAACTGAAGTGTCACAGGCACTTGTGTACAATCCTCTAAAGTTTTCCAGAAGAATTCCTCACCCAAATGTGTTCTCTTTCGATCCAACCAAGCGCTCCATTTCACCAAAAACCCCATCTTTTCCCACAGAAACCACATAGAATTGAATTTTCTGGAAAAAAGTTGAAAGTTTTGTCCCCAGAAACGAACTTTTACCCTTTCAACTCTCAAATGCTCGCTGATCTTCAGCGGATCGTCAATCGAAAGTCCGTTTGTGAAAAGAACAATGCATTTTTCAGCGTCAGGCCTAAATTTTGATTTCAAGATCGTCAAAACTAAATAATTCTGATTACACAAAGATTTTTAAAGAAAAAAAACGATCAAAAGATCAAACCTTGCTCCCCGATCCAGCCTTGTCAACTCGCTTTCAGTTTTTCGAAGCGCATAACTAAAACAGTGATCGTGCAAGTGATTGATTCACTTACCCCGTTCTTGTAACACCTCCTTGGAAAGTCATATTCTTTAGTCTTTTGGCCACTTTTGATGAAGATTCTGCTTCTTTTAGGGTAAATTCAACCGATGGAGAACCGGCGTATCTAAAGAGGACATTGAGGAGTCTACTTCATTTTGTAAGATTACTGTATTGTCGTGAGTCGAACAGCTTCTTGACCGATTGGAAGCGAATCGGCTAGTTTGGACATCCATTCGATGTAATTCTAATATGATAATGTACTGCAAATTACAATAGATCCACCTAGGGGATTCAGATTAACACTGGATCAAACTTTTGGACAAGAAGAAATCAGGATTATTGTTGAGTTCTTTGTTTTATTTTTTTCCCCGCTCAGAAAGGCAGTCGGATACCCCATTTCCTTTCGGATCTGGGCGCGGTCATCAACGGTGGCGCTCTTCAGGATCAACCAACCGTTCTTCACGCCTCCGCCTGCCCATTCCCAATACGCAGGTGCAGGGGTTGCAAAATGGGAAAGCGAAAACAAACTACAGAAATGACCTGGAAGTATGATTCGGCGAAAGGAGTAAAGGGTGACCTATCTATCGGGGCCATGTGCCAGAAAGCGAGCGATTACGCGCGGGCACAAAGAACGACTCGAACCCTTTTCATTGTACATAGGGATTTTTCTTGCATTGAAGATGGTACAAAAAAACGAAGATAGAACTGCAACAACACGACAAAGTACAATATATGAGTAGCACAGAAACGCAAGAAAAACAGGCGCGCTCATTGAAACAGGAAGGGTACGACAGCCAACATTTACAGTTGTCTTGTTCCTTCTTGCCCGCTCAGAAAGGCAGTCGGATACCCCATTCTCCTTTCGGATCTGGGGCGCGGTCATCAACGGTGGCGCTCTTCAGGATCAACCAACCGTTCTTCACGCTCTCCGCCTGCCCATTCCCAATCATCGCAGGTGCAGGGTGTTGCAAAAATGTGGGTAAAGCGAAATACAAACTACAGAAATGATCCTGTGAAGTATGATTTCGGTGATTGAAGAAAATGGCGACCTATCTAGCGGGGCCAGGTGCCAGAAAGCGAGCGATTACGTGCGCGCACAGAGAACTGGCTGACTGGGGAAAGGCGTTTTTGGAAACTTTTAAAGAATAACAAATGAATTTAAAATAACTAATTACTAGCAATATTTAACCATTATGATTTCAATAGTTTGTATTTTAATTTAATTATATGCAAATTAAATCTAGATGCAATAGCAAGTTTTGACAACAAATAGATTTAGAATACTATTGGTTTTTAGGCTAGTACCCTTATTTTTAAATGCATAATGAACATTGATTTCAAAAATAAATAAGACAAGTAGCTTAAAATAAACTTGAATTTAAAACGGAGAACAACTAACTTTGCAAATCCAAAAAAAAAAAACAGGAAAGTCGAACGGGGGTCTCGAACTAGGGATGGTTTGCCTTGTATTCTAAGCCACTGCTAATCCGCCACCACTGCTACTTAGCCTGTTTATAACCTCGGGGTAATTTTTAAAATACGTAACAAACTGCACGCCCATGACTTTCGACAGAGTGCTCGTTAGCAGAAACGGAAAGCATATTCGGAATCAGCACGAAATACTGCGTCGAATGGTCTATGACCAATCTCATTTAACCGGTACACACGGTACACTTGGTTTTTTTTTGTGACCTGCTTGTTTTTAAATTTTTAGCCTGCTCAGAGAGGCAGTCGGATAACCCATTCTCCTTTCAGATTTGGGGCGCGGTCATCAACGTTGGTGCTCCTCAAGAGCAACCAACCGTTCTTCACGCTCTCCGCCTGCCCATTCCCAATCATCGCAGGTGCAGGGTGTTGCAAAAATGTGGGTAAAGCGAGATACAAACTACAGAAATGATCCTGTGAAGTATGATTTCGGTGAGCAGATGAAAAGGGTGGCCTATCTATTGAGACCATGTGCCAGAAAGCGAGCGATTACGGGCGCGCACAGAGAACTGGTTGACTGGGGGGCTTTGGAAGCTTTTAAAGAACAACAAATCAATTTTAAATAACTAAATATTAGCAATATTGAACCATTAAGATTTCAATAGTTTGTAATTTAATTAGAATTAAATCTAGATTCAATCGCTTCTCTTAATCCACTTGAGTACTTGGTAAATTCTCTCGTTGTTCACCGAGGCATCCACAACAAATGCTAAATCCAATTTAGGTGGACATGGATCTAAAAAAGTACAATTAAAATCTCAAAATACGAGTTAAAAATCAGAATTCTTGACCTTCTCCAAGCCCTGAGCCTTCTTCGATTTCATTTTGAGTCTGAATTAGATGAACAGTAAAGAGAAGAAGAAAGGAAGATTTTAACATCGAAATTTTGGTGTTCTGAGACAAAGATTTGCCGTGCTGTGGATATGAAATGGATGAATTCGATTATTCGATTAGTTTGGCTCTTTTTCAATCACAACTTTTTGTATTCTTTAGTTGAGAAACAAGATTGTCTTTTTTTTTCTTCAATGACAACATTCGACAACAAATGTGTAACTTTCAAAGAAAGAAAAAACATGTTTCTAAGTGAAAGTTTATCCTTTATTTCTTTAGTTCTTTTGGAGTTGAATTTATTTTGAAAATCTTCCAACTTTTACACAAAGACGGAAAACCCGGAACGGAAAACAAAGACGGAAAGCTGGGAACCGGCATTGCCATCAAAATATTCCCAATGTTTTCCTTTCGAGTTACCGGATTGAAATGAAGTGATCGGTGAAAGTGACCGAAAACCCTTGGTGCTAATTTTTAGCCCGGCCTGATCGGCTGGATTCTGATTGGCCGGAAACTGATTGGCCTCAAAAAAAAGTGCTAAATTCAACGGCTCACCGGCTCACCGGCATTCAACGGCCGTATCGTCGCAAAATGTTAAGCAAGAAATCTTTCAATTAATTTACAAAAGATTTTGAAAGAAGTTTTGTGTCGAATGATTGCAACCTGTGCAGAAAAGTAGCTCTTTTCTGTGAAGTCTGATTTGATGTTTTGATTTTGAATACCTCTGATTCTCTTGTCCTAAAGTGGTTTTGTTGCAAAAATTCATCAACTTCTAGCTAAATCAAGGATAGATTTATGATAGATTTTTGATCATTTCCACGTTTTCAATTTCAGTCTTGGAACCATTTTCTTGATTTAATTCTTGAATCCCTTTAATTTTCAAACAGCTAAGCAGCCATTTTTCTTTAATAATACAAAATGGGCCAAGGTTGGTTGTTGTACCAGGACAATGCCCCGTGCCACAAGTCACAGCTGCTGATGGGACGCCGTATTCGACTCACCAATGGAGGAACGACTCTGGTGCCAGGATGGTTCTTGTATCCTACATTTAAATTTGGTGGTGGACCGATCATGCTATGGGGTAAGAACCTTTGTATTTTGTGCCTACTGATTTTCTGATTGCTAGGAGCAATGTCCAGAAATTCACTTGGTCCACTCGTCCTTCTAAACTTAACCCTGAATGCTCAACGCTACAAGACGATTCTGGAGAATGATCTTCTACCGTTTTGGACCGCAAATATGGGTCAAGATTAGCTGTTGTACCAGGACAATGCCCCGTGCCACAAGTCACAACTGCTGATGGGACGCCGTATTCGACTCACCAATGGAGGAACAATGGAGGAACGACTCTGGTGTCAGGATGGTTCAAATCAAACCGTGTTCAACTTGTTTCTGCGCCTCCCTATAGTCCTGATTTGTATGTGATCGAGAACATATGTGCGTTTGTGAAGTCGAAATTGAAGGGGAAACTATTCGGATGAAAAGTGGAGCTTTGGTACTTCATCCGTCGAGTCTGGACAACTATTGGACCCCAAATTCTACGTGATCTGATTGACAGCATGCCAAGGAGAATTCAAGCAGTAATTGCGGCTCGTGGAGGACCTACTAAGTATTGATTTTCATAATGTTTTTCTCAAAGACTTTTGTCCATCAATTTTTGGCTCAATTTTTGTTTTATTAAAAAGTGCATGAGAGCTGATAAATTGTTAAATCCAATTAAATCTTTTTGTAATGTTAAAATTAGAGATAATAAGGTCTTTAAATCTTTAAACCGTTTGCAAATTGATCGGATTTGGATATACATTTGGATCTACTAAGATATACAAAGAACAAACTTTTAAAAACCAACGTTAAAAGACTTTTGTCCATGGCTTATACTTAGCCATGACCTATACTTAGTAAGGATTTACGATTTTAAAGAATTACACTCAAATTTCTACTCATTTAGACGAAAACATTCATTTCCTTTATTCTCGGTTTCATTTTTTCCTTTTCTTTTTCTTTTCTTTTCCTTTTCTTTCTCTTTTCTTCTCCCTTTTCTTTTTCCCTTTTCTCGAACGAGAGAAATCTCTTTGACCGCTAATATGTTCTATTCTAAAAAAACGATAAGAAAACAACGCATTGTTAATTGGAAAAGAAAATGAAAAGAGAAAAATGTATTCTAAAAAACCAAATTGACCACATAATGGGAATTGAAAAGGGAGGTGGATCTAGAAAACGACGGAAATACTCCGAAAACCCCGATCATTTACTTCATTTTTGGTGAACAATCATTGCGATCATGATTCTCCGAGTGATTGTGGCTCTTATTTTTGTGCAAATTTCTTCTGGAAAGCTTATGTGAGTTGTAAATTTGATGCCAAAACAAGATGGTTGTTTAGTTAAATCTTTATACTATCCAGATAGCACTGTGCTTTTGAAACAAATCTGTTTTGTTAGCTGTAAAGTAGACAAAAGCATGGTGCAGTTTGAGACAGTTTGAGACAATCTTAGAAAAGTAATATTTAATTAGAACAAAAGCCCTTGAAACCTTGGCTAAAATAGCAAATCGGTACTGAAGCTTTTTTGTTTTAATTTTGTCCTTTTCTAGACGACGAGGATTGGATACAAGAGCCGCAACTGAGGCTCGACTCGGAGACAAGGGACAAGTTGATTTGATCAACGAAGATGAACCAACACATGTAAGCAAATTGTGACACTAAAATATGACTTCAACTTTAAAGCTTTATATCAGGAAGTAGCTTAAGCTTTGAATCCTACCAATTGCTTTTTGTTTAACAGCAAATCTCAAAGCTTTATTCGAATTTTAGGACTCTGTCGACAACGCCTCGGGCACCGATGCGAATGCCGGGGGAAGTTTGGCCGGAAATCTCGCTGTTCCAACAACATTAAAGGTATGACGACGAAATATTAGAAGATTAAATTTCTATTAGAAGACTAAACAATGGGTAGATCGACCCTAAAATGCTAAATGTTTATTGAAATTGGTTAATTTTAGGTGAACAGTCCACAAGCTGGCGCCGAGAATGGAGTCTTTCACTTCAACAGTCGAGGACCTGGGGTAAAAAAATGATTTTACGACATTTGATACACATCCTGCCCCCTTTCCCCATTGGCAATCCTTATATACGCGTCCCGCTATCCCGCTACGATATCCAGAGCCGTATCCATATCCTAAAGGTTGGTTATCGGACATCTGATAAGCCCCGCCCCTTTTGCCATTGGCAATCCAACTTTGAGCTCAAATATCTTGGTGTTGGGTTGTTCAATTTAAACATTCTTGGTATCATTGGATGCGCCAAGTCTTTCTCTGTCGATTGGTACAAAAACCATTTAAATTGAACAGCCCAATATCTAGATATTTGAGCTCAAAGTTGGATTGCCAATGGGAAAAGGGCGGGCTTATATACGCGTCCCGTCTCCTTTGCCATTGGCAACCTAACTTTGAGCTCAAATATCTCGGTGCTGGGCTGTTCAATTTAAATAGTTTTTGTACTAAGCAAAAGAGAAAGTCTTGGCGCATCTAATGATACCAAGACTATTTAATTTGAACAGCCTAACACCAAGATATTTGACCTCAAAGTTAGATTGCCAATGGCAAAGGAGGCGGGACACGTATATAAGCCCCTAAGCCCGCCCCTTTTGTGATTAGCAATCAAAATTAGGGCTGAAATTTCTTGGTGCTGGGCTTAAATAGTCTTGGTATCATTAGAAGTCTTTCTCTATCGATTGGTACAAAGCGGGAGCGGGGCCAGGGGCAAAAAGGGGCGAAGCCTCGCGTATCAAATGTCTGATAACCTAAAAAATTGCAATACTCAGAAATGATTTGATTGATTTGATGTTTTTTTTTGGATTTAGAATAGTATAGTCAACAATTTATCTTTCAGAAATACATTGCTTTCGCTTTCCAGCAGGTAACTTTGATAGGGATGGTAAAGGAAAGGGAAAACGGTTTTTAGTTCATTTATTTCATTCACTAACTAAATGGGATAGGGTTGATGTAAAGAGAAATTCATCGGGAAACTCATTTTCAATATTTCAGGTAGCTCCTGTTCAACAGGCGCCAATTGTTGGGATCCCGTTGAGCACCATTCAGCACTACTACAATCCACATATGGGTGCATCGATCAGTGAAGGGGTTCGATATTCTAAAGCTTGCAGATTAATAATTTGGATAACTTTGGATAACTGTGCATAAGTTTCTGCTGTTTTTCAGTCAACTCCCGAACCGATTCCAACCTTTGAAGCCACTGCTTATTATCCACTCGTCTGGCGCTTCCCATTCTCGAACATTCAACTCCCAGCCTACACAACGACAGGTATTCAAAGAGTTACTGTAAAGGTTACAGGGATACGGTAAGGACAGTTGGAGTACTGTAACTGCTTTAGAGAGTACTTTAGAGTTGTGAGAGGTACTGTACTGTTTGGAATCCTAGGACCTGGGCTACGGTAGCTGCTCTGGAGTATTGTAAAGGTTACAGGGATACTGTAACTGCTCTAGGGTACTGTAAAGGATTCGGTAACTCTGTAGGAGTACTGTAACTCTTCAAACTCGTTGCCTTTAACCCAGCCCACTTCTACTGTAGCCGACGAAGGCCTCAGGCATCTCGACGACGGTGACACTCCTCTGCACAGGCAGATACAATCTCGAGATCAACTCGCAATATCTCTGCTCATTTTCCGCTAAATCATCGGAAACGGAGACAAAGTTGCTAAAGTTTTTTTGGCTTAAACAATTAGAGAACTCGATGAAACTCACTCGCTCAGCTTGTTCACGTTTCGAATCGTCGGCGCGAAGAGGCTCATGAGCACGTCTTGCGATTGAATCATTGAGTAGTCGATCTGGAAATGAGACAAGATTGAATTTAGAGTCAAATTTTGGAGTTGCCTTCTTTACAGAATCAGTTCTGATTGATCTACATAAATATAAATTGATCGACAATTGAACAACAATCAATCAACAATTGAACAACAATTAAACAACAATTGATTAACATTTGATCTTTCCAGGCCACTACGCCTACACGGCAAACGCTGTGAAGTACTATGGAACGTTGCCTTCACAAACTGCCGAGAAAGTGCAAGAAGTGAACGAGGCGGCTTCGAGAGGAAGACTTTGATAGATGAACACAAAGGATACAACATGAAATTGATCTCATCATTTAGGCTTCTGTAAATAAAGATTTGCGACTCGTTGAAATCCTGTAAACTGACGTTGAATCAACCTGTAAACAATGGGACAAATCAGAGAAATCTTATCTCTTTTAATTTAACTAATCGACGAATCATGAAAAATTGATTTTTATCTATAGACTAGAGATAGATAATAATAATAAGAGTTATTTATTTTAGGTATTTTAGTATCTTAGTTATTCTAGAGTTATTTTAGTACTTTCTATTCTATAAATTAACTTTTCTAAAACTTTCAAACCATTCGTTTAACAATGAATGCTGTAAAGTTTGTAAATAACTTTATGATTTTGACTGTGGGACGATTGGATGGGTTTCTGGATGAGGTTAAAGAAGTGATTTGAATTAGAACCGATTTGCGGATGGGTTTCTTTCTGTAAATCAAATTATCAGCAGATAGATGCAGTAATTATAATTTTTGATAGTTTTATGTAGAAATGAATAACTCGAATCGATTCGCCGATCCCGAAAATCCCCGGGTACAAATTTACAGCTGAATCTCCTTTTCTGCGATCTACAAAGCAAAAGAAAATTGGCTCTGTGTAAATGACTGACGAGTTGTTCTTTGTGCGGTTCTAATGTGCTTTGTTCTAGTCGCTCGTCATCTGGCAAACCCCACTGTTATAAAGGGATTCCCTTTTTAAGCTATTGGATATTTTTGCATATGAATTTTTTGATTACACCCTTTTCAGATTTGCACGCGCCTCGGGCTGAGACAAGCTTCTGCTATCGCAGTTTTTTTTGCGCTGATTCCGAATCTCTAGGTCATTTGGGGATAAAAATGCGAGATCTCGAGATATTTGGACCTAAAGTCTACAGAATTTCAATCCAACACCTCAAACCATATTGACTTTTCAGGGATTTCTAGATGTTAAACGATTTCAGTAGCTAAATTGAGAGAACAATGCGATCCGAGAGAGTTTATCGATCGATTGAAACCTTGAGACTTGAGAATTGAAATCCACTGCTTTGGTTTTGGCGTTGAATCGAATGTCAGATGGATTTGGCAGCTTGGCAGTTCGATTTTGTAAAACTTTGTTCTTGCAAAACTAAAGCTTCATTTATGAAACGACTACCGTAAATACTGTAATAGTACCCCACCGCCCTCGTACAGTCGCGTAGTCGCAAAAGTTTTTTAGTATTTCATTTTTCAAAGCCCCGTGCTTTCAAAAAATGCGTCTTTGGTATCAAAAAATAGCTGAATTCCAGCTATTTTTTGATATCTAAGCGCGCATTGTAGCATAAACCAGTGCCGAGAAAAACTCGTTCAAAGCTAGACTACGCAACACTCCGTTTTCCTTACACCAAAATCTGTCGATAAGCAAATAATATATTTTCTGATTTTCGTTGACTGGATGATTCAATCCATCACTATTTGGTATCGTTTGAAAGCCTGAAATGTTCTCTGTACAATGATATAAAAAGGTTAACAAAAAACAAACATCAACCTACCGTAAATACTGTAATAGTACCCCACCCCCCTCGTGCAGTCGCGTAGTCGCGTATTTCATTTTTTCAAAGCTCCCGTTTTTTCAAAAGATGCGTCTTTGTTATTCAAAAAATAGCCCTGAATTTCAGCTATTTTTTGATATTCAAACGAACACTGTAGCTTAAACCGGTGTCGAGAAAAGCTCGTTCAAAGCTAGACTACGCAAAACTCCGCACCTTCATTATGGGGGTGGGGTACTATTACAGTCTTTACGGTATGTTATTGTCAAGTACCCAATTTCTAACTTTCTTTCCTTAAATTCTTCAATTTCATAAGTAATAAAAAGAAATTTTGTAAAGCAACAATGGAAATCGAAAATACGAGAATCTGATTATCATTTTCTTTGCCTAATTTAAAAAATGCTCGTTCTAAAAATGTGAATAAGTTGAGGGAATGATTTTTTCAAAAATCCCTGAAACTTTGATGATTCCGGGAAATGAATTCTCCTTTTTCGACTCTTTTTTTCGGCCAGTTTCTTCTTATCACAAAGTGACCACTAATTTCATTGCAAATTCTAAGCTTTTAGCAAATATATAAGCATTTTCGTGAAAAAAAGTTAACTACCATCAATTCTCAAAAGTCACAAGGGTTTCAAACATGCGATTTTCAAGTGTGATCACTTCTTTGAGTATTTACTGGATTTATGGGTGAGTTCGTACAGTGAAGCTCAAAAATAATGCTTATTGAATAAGAATTTTTATTGAATTTGTCTTCATTTACACATTTTGATAGTTTTTCTTTGCAAATTTTCAAGATTTCACTTTCAAACCTGAAAAAAACGATCGTTTTCAGCCTCGTTGACGCCAATCCGCATAGACTCCCGTCGATTCACTCGGTTAGTTTCTTTTTTTTGCTTATTTTTGTTTGATTTTTTTTGTGATTTGTTTTTTTTTCAAAAGCTCAAGCCTTTTTCTATTTAAAAATCAAAATATTTAAGCAAGCATTTCAATAAAATAGTTAGTTTACAATGCATTGATCACATTTTCTTTACAAGGGAATGGTCTAAACTGGGGCTCACGTTTCAGGCTAAGCCTGAAGTGTAAACACCACTCGGATATGAGCATTGCAAACAGCTATTCACTTTTTGCTCAAATTAAAATCCTGGCGAGAAAAATGCATTTGAAGTTCGGATCTTTTCGAAAAATCGCCTCCTAGCCTATAACAGCGTGCCACACGCGACCGGAAAAGGAGCAGCAGTGGCCTAGAGGTTAGCGTGCCGGAGTCTGGAACCCATGCCGCCCTTTGCGGTGGGGTTCGAGCCCCGGCATCGGCCAAAACTTTTGAAAAATCCTATCATTTTCGAAAAATCGCCTCCTGGCCTCCTAGCCTTAAGAGCGCGCCACTCGAAAATGATAAAGGGGCAGCGGTGGCCTAGAGGTTAGTGTACCGGACTACAGAACTCTCCCGGTTTTTGCCATGGGTTCGAGACCCACCACCGACAAACTGCTTTGAAAAACGGACCAATACCATTTTATGGCTGTTCTAATGCCTATCGACACTAGAAAATTATTAATTTGTCAAAAAAGCTTTTGAAAAGATTCCTTTAGCATAAGTGGTATGATCTTGGATCTTGGTCTGATCAATATGGTTCCAATACGGTTCCAATACGGTTCCTATTATGATCCAATACGACTCCAATACGGTTTCTTGGTGACAGACTTTTTTGTTGACTATTCTTTATTTGTTTTTTTGATTAATATTGAAAATTCAAAATTTTCTATAACTTTTTGTTTTGTTCTATAGAAAAGAGTTTTTTTTGGAGAGATTTCCAATTTTTCCTAGAGTCGATAAGCACTGTAATAGCCTTAGAAAGGTATTTTTCTGTTTTTCAAAAGTTTTGGCCGATGCCGGGACTCGAACCCACCGCAAAGGGCGGCATGAGTTCCAGAGTCCGGCACGCTAACCTCTAGGCTACTGCTGCTCCTTTCCGGTCGCGTGTGGCACGCTGTTATAGGCTAGGAGGCGATTTTTCGAAAAGATCCGAACTTCAAATGCATTTTTCTCGCCAGGATTTTAATTTGAGCAAAAACTGAATAGCTGTTTGCAATGCTGATATCCGAGTGGTGTTTACACTCCAGGCTTATCCTGGAACGTGAGCCCCAGCTTGAATGATTCTCTTCTTAGACACCGCATCTCCAAAAACTCTCCCCACCTCTTTCCTACGGTGAAGCGCTCGTGATCGACTTTTTACCCGGAGCTAATGTGAAAATCAAGTGAGTTTGGCTTAGGCTTTGGCTAAAATCATCAAAATCTAAAACGTAAGTACAAAGCTTGATTGTTATTGTTGTTTATTGTTATATTATTCAGATATTTGTACACTCTTTTCCTCCATGAAGAGCCGCCAATCGACTGTGGGATGGGAGAATTCTATTTACAGGTAATATTTTGGATTTGACACAGCTGTACTATCAACTGTACAGACTTGTAGCTGTACACAGCCGTACAGACTTGTAGCTGTACACAGCCGTACAGACTTGTAGCTGTACACAGCCGTACAGACTTGTAGCTGTACACAGCCGTACAGACTTGTAGCTGTACACAGCCGTACAGACTTGTAGATCTACTTGAGGATGATAGGAATGATAGAAAGATAGATCTACTTGAGAATGATATATAGTAAATGCAGAAAATACATTTGAACTTTAGGGAAACATGACTCAATTGAATGAACTGGTTCTTCGACAAGGTGATGGATTTATTCATGAAATAACGCCAGGAAAACGGGTAAATTTTGAAAATATTACAGCTAAATTGTTGTTTTTATCGTACTTTATTCGAAATTCTATCGGTTTTTACTTGAAAGTTGTTACAAATTTCAGAATTCCATCGAGAAATCGAATTGTGGCGATGTTGAGGGGAAAATTGTCGGTTTTGAGCTGAGAACGCAGCCGGATTTGCGATTTCGAATGCGTTTGAGTAGAAAACTTTTCAAAAAGGTACAAATTTTCCCTACAAAATTGTTAGTGAAGTTGCTAGTGAAGGATTTGAAGAGGTTTAACTGAACAACTTTCTTTCAGAACACTCCGCCTCGATTGTTTCGACTCTGTGGAGGAATCTCTGAGAAATCTCACCATAGAAATGCCTTTATTTCAAATGTAAACTTTGAAGAATTATATAAGAGATTTATATTATTTGTTTTAGATCAAAAATTTGCTTTCTTAGCTTTCAATTAAAAGGTTTTTTAGTTGTACAAAGTTGATCGAGAAGGCGCGTCGCTGAAATTCAATTTCTTTTCCAATCTTCTAAAGGAATGGCTTTTCGAGATTAGTTTTGAACAAAATGTAAGCTAATAAAGAACATTTTCATTAAAATATAAATAATTGATTTATTTATTTGAAAACTTAGATGATTACAACGATTCTCCGATCACCGAAAACCGAGAATCGTTTTTATCCACGACAAGAGCGTTTGTGGAGTTCACCGGTGAGTTTCTATCCACGACAAGAGCGATTTCTTGAGCTTTCGAATGATAAATTCGTTTTAAAATTTACAATAATCGAATGAGTAAAGGGTAAAAAGCATCAACATGGAGGGAGACCTAAGACCTGTCGCCAGAAGAAGACGAGCGGCCTGGACAGCACTAGGCAGCATCAAACAAGTCACAAAGATAGTCAAGAATCACCAGAGGACTCGGGCACACCTCTTCGACAGCACCGTCCTCCCGGCACTCCTCCCGGCACTCTGCTACGGCACTCTGCTACGGGCCACGACAGACCACTGAACGAGCCCTGAGAACGACGAATCGAGCTCTTGAAAGGAACCTCCTCGGGTACAATAGGAAGATCCTAAGATCTTCCTATTGTGACCAAGACCGACCTCGACCAAGACCTAAGACGTACGGGTATACGCCAGCTCTCGGGACTCAGAGATCCAGTGAAAGTGATTGAGAGAAAAAGACTCAGATGGGCCGGCCACGTAGCCAGAAGAACAGACGACAGATGGACGATACGGATCACAGAGTGGCTACCACGAGACCAGAAGAGGCCCATCGGAAGACTGGTAATGGGGTGGAGCACAAGAGTGGCAGAGACGGTCAGAGAAAGGATGGCTAGAGTGCAATTACCAGCACAAGCAAGTCGAAGACTTCGAACCAGGAACAACCAAGATAGGAAACACTGGATGACAATAGCAAGGGATAGAGAAATGTGGAAGCAAGTTGTGATCTGCGCAAATACGAACACCAAAGTGCGAAGACAGATCAAAAAAATATAAAAAAGGACTTAAAGAAAGGTTATCTATGAATGTTCAGTGGAAAACAAGAATTGGTGGGCCGTACATTCGACTGTTGATCGCTCGAGTGAACAATCGACTCATTGTAAGTTTGCTTAAAGTGAAGACTTTTACATAAACATTTTCAGATAACTTTAAATGATCAATGTTTTGGTGTATTTGAGTTGAAAACAAGACACTATGATGTCAGTGATTTAGTTCGTTTCAATTCCAAATATCAAAATCAATTCCATTTCAGGCTTTCAATCGGATAAAAATCACCGACAACTCCACAGAATGGCCAGAGGTTCGTTTGAAATTAGATCTCACTAGCGTTGGCTATTGCCAATTTGTAATCATTTTTCCGCACTTTTTCACGTAGCACGCAAAGTCAGTCAACGCTTGGCAGGGCGCTTGGCAGGGCGCTTGGCAGGGCGCTTGGCAGGGCGCTTGGCAGGGCGCTTGGCAGGGCGCTTGGCAGGGCGCTTGGCTAGCAGTCAACGCTCGTTTTTAAAGCATGTCGAAGGTCAAAACATTGTTTTATGCTTTAGTCTGGCTTCTGGAAAATGCTGTATAGTTTTTGAATCATTTCTGGGCCAGGTGGACAAACCAGAACAATAAATCCGTTGATTTCTAACAGGAAAGCTCGTAATTGACATGATTTACTCTTAATTGTTTTGTAAAACGGTATATAGTATGTTCCTTTCGAGTAATCGCTTTCTAAAACGCGCTCGAAAGGAAAAACGGCTAAATTAACGGTTAACCGAGTGGCGTAGGCTCAGGCTCAGGCTCAGGCTCTGAAGTAAACGGTTGTTAGGCGGCAAGTTCGATCCCTGCTCTGCTTAAATTTTTCGTTCTTTGCTAGAGCGATTCAGAGAGTTTTAGTTAACAAATGATTAGCCTTTAAAAGCATAGAAAAGTAATAAAACTACTTATTTGAACAATTGAAAAAAGCACTTAGAATTTCATTACTTGAGATTCACTTGACTCGTCACTTAAGTAAAAACATAGTTACGCGTTCTAGTGAAACTTAGTTCTAGTGATTACTTACTCGAGAGGAACACAAACTACCGTAAATACTGTAATAGTACCCCAGCCCGCATAATGACGGTGCGGAGTGTTGCGTAGTCTAGCTTTGGACGCGTTTTTCTCGACACTGGCTTAAGCTACAGTGTTCGTTTGAATATCAAAAAATAGCTGAAATTCAGGGCTATTTTTTGATACCAAAACGCATTTTTTGAAAGTACGGGCGCTTTGTAAAAAATGAAATACTGTGTGACTTTTGCGACTACGCGACTGTACGAGGGGGCTGAGGTACTATTACAGTATTTACGATAAGTAACTGTTTACTAGAGAGGAACACACTCTAATCTGTTCCCTTTTATGTGCCCTTTTAAAGCCCTTCTCAAATCAATTTCTATCGCTTCTCACCCGGCAGCCACCATATTCCAGAAAAAGTTCTCCTAGGCTACTAGAGTCATTCCTAAAGTTGCACTGCTCTTAATCTTCGAAATGAACCGATGAAATCAATCTTGCAATAATACCGTAAATACTGTAATAGTACCCCACCCCCATAATGACGGTGCGGAGTGTTGCGTAGTCTAGCTTTGAACGAGTTTTTCTCGACACTGGTTTATGCTACAGTGTTCGTTTGAATATCAAAAAATAGCTGAAATTCAGGGCTATTTTTTGATCCCAAAGACACATTTTTTGAAAGTACGGGCGCTTTGAAAAAATGAAATACTAAAAAACTTTTGCGACTACGTCACTGTACGAGGGCGTTGGGGTACTATTACAGCATTTACGGTAGGTGTATCTCTTCAAAACAAAACTTTTACTTTTTCAGCCCTGGGAAAGTCATATTTTGAGTCACGAGACAGCGAGATTGCCGGTGAACGATTTGCTTCAGTACAATTCATGTTGGGATCGAAGTGAGTCGATCGATTGGGAAAACTATTGAAAAGAAATCAAATTGATTCAACAATTCAAATCAAATAGGTCAGTAGATTGTTGTTTTTCGAGTTTTTCGATTTCTTTTGTCTTTTTATGTTTTTGGAATCTTCTTTTTTGTGTCAATTCGTTAAAATCATGTGAGTCGATCTTCAAAAGAGCTTTTATTTGGTGCCAATTTGTCTTTGTGATAGTTTTACAAACAAAAATATATCAGAATCTATTTCAAAAAAGCATTCCACACAAGCCCGATATGAATTTTGAGCAAAAAAAAATAATAAAGCAAAGATTTTGGAAGCCTTTCTTTTGGCCTCTTCAAAAAAAGTCAAAATTTTCGACGATAAAAATTTTGACTGAAGAAAAACAGAAAAAAGAAAGTTAAAATAAAGAAAGAAAATCGTTTTGGGACCAAGAATAGACCCGTTTCAAAAGAAATTTTGACTGTGTGGGGCTGAAAAAAGAATTTTAAACACCCTCCATTGAGATGAATTCCTCGAGTTGATGATTGCTCAAGAAATGATTCCAATCGACGTCTTTTACTCTAAAAAAAGTGATTAAGAAAATCGGCAATTAGCCAACGTTTATTCTTTTATATGTGCAATAAGCTAGAAAACAAATATTTCGTGTATTTTGTGCTCACTTCAGAAAAGCAATTATTTCTGGCGAAAAGCTAGAAAAGCTATTTCTGGCGCTTCTCAATTAGTCTTTGTTACAAAATCATTATTACAAAGTCATTGTTACAAGGAAAATGTGGGCTCAATGTGCTAGAAAGGGTGTGTTTTCTTGATTAAATGGTACAGGAGCAAGTTAGTTACTTGTAGCGTAAACTGAGTTCTCCTGTTATATTTTTTCTAAAAAGTGAAAAGCTTTTGAAAACCTTTTGAAAACGATCATAATCTTGCCTCTAGTTTTATCAAATTTATCTACTTTTGATCTGAATCTGTAGGTTTATGAAGAACACAAAGAGTAGCTACACAAAAAGTAAACTGAACCGGATAAACTGAAGGCAGGTAGTTCAAAACTTGGCACATTTTAGAAAATGCGTCTAACAAGGGAAAGTTCAATTGGCTTTTGATATTCAGTGTATTTGATAGAGCTTTAAATGGAGATTCCAAATCCGCTTTTAGTTTTTCCAATGGAACTCTGTATCGCAAGATATCTGGTATCAAAGTTTAAACCCCGAAATTCAACAGTATTTCAACCCAATTCCCCACAATAGATAATAGCAGCTGTGGTCTAGAGGTGAATCGGTGGAAACCAGCCAGAAGAACCCTGGTTCGGTCGCCGCCTTTTTTTACTTTTTTAAGAAAATTGATCAACAAAGACAAAGGCAAATTAACAAAGAACGACAAAATGCAAATGTACTAAATGGAAATTTACTGAACACAGATGCATTAAATGCACCAAATGCAATAAAAAAAACCGTACTTACAACTTATAACCAACAACCTAAAATAAGACCTATAACAGCTCCGAAAAAACTTGATGCCAGATATCTTGCGATCCAGAGCTCCATTGGAAAAACTAAAAGCAGATTCGGAATTCCCATTTAAAGCTTTATCAAATAGTCTATCACTGGCCAGCTCATGATGGCCAGCTCATGATGGGCAGCTCATGATGGGCAGCTCATGATGGGCAGCTCATGATGGGCAGCTCATGATGGGCAGCTCATGATGGGCAGCTCATGATGGGCAGCTCATGATGGGCAGCTCATGATGGGCAGCTCATGATGGGCAGCTCATGATGGGCCAGCTCATGATGGGCAGCTCATGATGGGCAGCTCATGATGGGCAGCTCATGATGGGCAGCTCAAAATGGGCAGCTCAAAATGACCAGCTTGACTCGGTGCCTTTCTCTTATGAGAGGAATACACTAGTTAAATTAAAACTCAAATTTCCCATTACCAGAGAAAACTGTTGTCAAGATCTGTTTCACTGAAATGTAAATGAGAGAAGTTTCTGTATTTGTTTGTGTAAGGAAAAACTCACATCGGCAACCTCGCCACATTGGAATGAGTGCAGAAAGCGTCAGATTTGTAATGGCACGATTTGTGGGACACCATTTTGCAATCTCAAAATCAATATTGCTAATTTCAAATCGAAATTTCAAACAATGTTCGGGGATTTTCAATTTTTAAGTTTTTAAGCAATTTTAAAAACCAAAAAGGATGCTTTATGGTTTTTAAAACAACTTAAACAACTTGAAAAGAATTTCTGTTGCAAAAGTCTTTTCGAAAAAGATTCCTAGAGTCGTTCTTTCTTTAAAGAAATGACTAATTCATGACTTCTCTTTTTCTGATTCTAACCTCTGCACTGATAAGCTTGTTTCGAGAAGCTTCTTCCAATTCTTTGATGACACACATTGCAATCAATGTTACTGAAATGAAAATTGAGTAAAAGTATCTTCTCTTTTATCAAAGTTTTCCTTTGTCTCTTTCTTTTTTTCAAACATTTTCTCTCACCTTCTGCATTTTACGGCGACAAAGGTGTGCTCATTGTAAATGTGAAGTTTTTTGCCGCGTTTCATCAATTTCGCTGCCGCTGGTTCCGCCAACAATGAGGGAGGGATCAAGAAATATCTGAAAAAATTCGGATTTGAAATCTTTTAGAAGTATTGGGTTGGTCTTTTAGAAGTATTGGGAATTGAAAGCTGCTGGCTATTGTCATATGTGACAGTTTGAGCAATTTCTTCAAAAGAAACCCATTTTGGTGTCAATGGAAAAGTTGTAGAGAATCAAAAATCAAGCTTATATCCAAATTTTCAGAACGATTCAAAGACTGGTTTTCAAGAAATGCCAAATTTACGAATTTTCACAAAACTTGCATTTTAGGCGAAACTACTAAGTATATCTTTTTGGAAATTTGGCTATAAGCTTGATTTTTGATTCTCTACAACTTTTCTATTAAGACCAAAATGGGTTTCTTTTGAAGAAAGTGCTCAAACTGGGCTGACAGCTGACATCTCCAGTCCTCCATTTTTCAGTCTCACACTTGTCTCACACACAAACCAAAATCCTACTACGAAAGCACGTGTGGCTGACTGGTTAAGTGTCTTTTATCTTAATCGGAAGGTCGAGGGTTCGAACCCCACATGCGACATGGTCACCCCCTTCGGATTTCCTTTCCCTTCGGGTTGAGAGGTTTTCTGGAGGGCAGTCTGGTGGTTGTGGCCCCAGTTCTTTAAAGTGACAAGCCACTCCTTCATCGTCATCTTCCCTTCACCACCAAAAAAGCTATTTAGTTCCCCATTGAGCCTAGGGTTAGGGAGCCGTCTGTCATGACGTGGGTTAAGTTAAAATATAGCCTAGTATTGTGTGTGTCGTTGTATTGTGATTGATATATTTCGTGTATGCGATAAATTCACCACTGGTAGCCCCAGTCGGTATTTTTTAAGAAAGAGGAATCCGCAAATTGCCTGTAAAATGGGCAGAAGTCGTCAATAATCATGGAAATTATTTGGAATGAATTCATGGTTTTATGTTGAATAAATTTTAGTTCAAAGTCCCGCAGTTTTCAATTCACCAACCCAATGGTAGTATTATTTTTAGAGAACTAAAATCAATTTAACTATCAGCTTAACCAGATGAACCCACTTTTTCTCTCCTTTGTGATTCAATTCGAGAACGAGGGTGCTGTGTTGATAGAGAGATCGAGTCGATTCACCCGATTTCCCGCCCAACGACGCTGTTTCCACGTAGTGACCCTCGCTATCTGCAATTTCAAAAAGCTCACAAACAATTGTAAATTTGTTACCGTATCTCACTCGCGACGCATCTCTGCTGGCTGGCAATGAGACGGCTTCTTGAACGACTGGGCTCTCAAGATCAAAGGATTGGGATCTAAAGATGAAAACAAGTGTAAGTAATCGTGTATTATAATTACATTGCATAATTCGTAAGCTAGCTAATAGGATTTTGGAACATTTGATACGCTTTGATTGATTTGATTTGATAATGTTTGTATGGGATGCGGTTGAGTGGCTAAGAGCTGAGAGCTGAGAGCTCCAACTGTTCACTGAGAGCTCCACCGATCTCGATTTTGATGAATTTGGTATGTAAAGAGTCTTGGTTTTTCGAGTTTTGTGTAATATTTGTGTTTTACATTGAATTCAACATTAAAAGGGTCATTTTTAGGTTATCGAACATTTGATAAGCGACCCGCCCCTTTTCCCATTGGCAATCTAACTTTGAGCTCAAATATCTTGGTGTTAGGCTGTTCAAATTAAATATTCTTGATATCATTAGATGCGCCAAGACTTTCTCTGTCGATTGGTACAAAAATGATTAGAATTCAACAGCCCAACACCATGATCTTTGAGCTTAAAGTCAGATTGCCAATGGGAAAAGGGGAGGGCTTATATACGCGTCCCGCCTTCTTTGCCATTAGTAACCTAACTTTGAGCTCAAATACCTTGGTGTTGGGCTGTCTAATTTAAATAGTTTTTGTACTAAGCAAAAGAGAAAGTCTTGGCGCATCTAATGATACCAAGAATATTTAATTTGAACAGCCTAACACCGAGATATTTGAGCTCAAAGTTAGATTGCTAATGGCAAAAGGGGGTAACAAATCTCCGATAACCAGCATGTGCTTCAAATTTATGAGCTAGCTAACATTTACATTTCGTTTGCTGTCTCTACTCTATTCTCAACGATTCTCACCGTTTAGCCGACTTGCTTCTCCTTCCGCTCAGCCGATCTTTCATTGCACCAAAAAACGATCGATCTCTTTTCTCTTTCGGCTCTTTCATCTTCTTGGATCGATCTAGAAGATTTTTTTTCAAAAATGACAACTAATCTTTTATTATATCGGGAAATCCTTTCAATTACTCTATTGATAGATTGGGGGAAAGGTTTAGCGTTTAGCCGAAAAATTTGCATATTAATTATTTGGGGGCTGGTTCACCTGAGCGGCTTTCTTGAGAGCGAACACATTTGAGGAATGGGCGAAAGATTGGATGGCCTGGGGAAAAGAAAAGTCGATAAAAAGTCTTCAGTAAAGGTTACGGTAATGGATGATAGGCTGGTAATGGGATTTATTTGATACCTGTCAACATTGTGGTGCAACGACGGATAAAGCCGAATGAGGAGACTAAAGAAAACAAGGGAAATGGTGGATTTGAGCAAAAAAAATGGCTTTTAAGGCATAAATTTGGTTTGTGGACATGAAGAATGGAAAATTTGACATTAAAAAGATAAATTTTGCTGAAAACAAAAGATAAATGCAAAAGAAGAGATCATATTCGGTTGGTGAATTAAAAGCTGCCGGACTTTAAACTAAAATTTATTCAACATAAAACCATCAATTCATTCCAAATAATTTCCATTATTATTGACGACTTCTGCCCATTTAACAGGCAATTTGCGGATTCCTCTTTCGTAGTAGGATTTTCGTTTTGAATCGAAAAACTTTTCGAGCCAATTTTTGACTGCTTCTTCCGAATCGAAGTGTTCTCCCGCAAGCTCATTACTCATGGTCCGGAATAAATAGTAATCAGAAGGAGCAAGGACCGGACTGTATGGGGGATTTGCCAAAAGTTCCCAACGAAGGCTGTTTATTTTAGAGCGAGTCAGTTTTGCAACATGAGGGCGAGCGCTGTCTTGGAGGAGAACGATCTTTGACTTGAAGGGCCTATTCTTCTTTAGGGATTTATTCATCTTTTCCAACTGTTCACTGTATTTGATTGCATTAAGGGTCGTCTTATGGTCGGCTATGACAATAGACAATACGATTTTGGTTTGTGTGTGAGACAAGTGTGAGACGCAAAAATGGAGGACTGGAGATGTCCCAGTTGGAGCACTTTCTTCAAAAGAAACCCATTTTGGTGTCAATAGAAAAGTTGTAGAGAATCAAAAATTAGGCTTATAGCCAAATTTCCAAAAAGATACACTTAGTAGTTTCGCTTAAAATGCAAGTTTTGTGAAAATTCGTAAATTTGGCATTTCTTGAAAACCAGTTTTTGAATCATTCTGAAAATTTGGATATAAGCTTGATTTTTGATTCTCTACAACTTTTCCATTGACACCAAAATGGGTTTCTTTTGAAGAAAGTGCTCAAACTGTCATATCTGACAATAGCCCGCAGTTTTCAATTCACCAACCTAATAGATTGAATGCGGAGAATCACAATAAAAAGAATTTCTTGCAAAAGCAATCATTCACTCATAAAGTATCAAGATTTTGTGAATCCTTTGAGTTCTACAATAGAGCAAACCTCGACTCTGACGATCGTCGACAGCGGTGATTGGAGGGATTGTGGAAGTGGCACGCGGTGGATCATTCGAACCATTGCTGAGAGCCGACTCGTGACTGTAGCCGGACAATGACATCACTGGTGGCTAAGAAAATTGAATCTCAAGGATGTCAACTTGGTTTGGTGATTCTACAGGGTGGCCAAATGTTCAAGAGAGCTTTGTGATGACCTTGACAAAGCACGACAAAGCCATTTTTTTGCGTGACCCATTTTGGAACTGATTTTCTAGCGGCTAACCTTAATGAGACATGAATGAAATATTAAGGCAAAAAAATGGCTTAGTCGTGCTTTGTCAAGGTCATCAACAAAGCTCTCTTGAACATTTGGCCACCCTGGGACCGCAAATTATAGCGACAACTTCTTAGAAAAGTATCTGACAAATACCTAATTTATCTCAAAAGTGTCAAGTGGTGTATAAAGAATTGTAGCCCTTAATCTTGGCTACATTTATCTACAAAAAACATCCCGATTCGACTTATACAAGTCATTTAACAAGTACGTGAATGAGCGCCAGAAAATGCTCAATTTTCACCATTTTCATCATTTTCCCAAAGCTTGACATCAACTTGAATTTTGGTTATACCAGTTTAACCAAAACAGTTACCTGTGATTCTTAATGTTATTAAGTGATGCTAAACACTATTTTCGCATTGAAGAAATATTGAAAAGCTTTTCTTAAAACTTTTAATAGAGAAAAACGGCCAAATGACAAATTCGAGATGTCGACTAACGCTCATTCAAGTGCTTGTTAAATGATTTGTATAAGTCCAATTGCGAAGTTTTTACTAGATAAATGTAGCCATGAATTAGGGCTACAGTTTTCTATATAAGGGTATAACCAAAATTTAAGTTGATGCCACGCTCCTGGAGGAGTAGGGAAAGTGGTGAAAATTGAGCATTTTCTGGCGCTCATTCAAGTGCTTGTTAAATGATTTGTATAAGTCCAATTGGGAAATTTTTACTAGATAAATGTAGCTAAGATTAAGGGCTACAATTTTCTATATAACACTTGCCACTCTTGAAATAAATTAGACATTTCCTAGCTACTTTCCAAAAAGTTGTCGCTATAATTTGCGGTTACCCTGTAGTTGTTCTGTTTATATCTCATTCTCAGCTAACAATAAGCATTTTGTTCACATTGTCAGCTTCATCATTACAGCTCTAACGGGATTTTCCCAATTAGACTCTTCCCGGTGAATTCGGTAACTAATTCGCGTACCAGTAAATCCAGTGCAACAACCCAAAGTTATCACCAACCTTACTAATGACCCCTCTAATCTCATGCTTATTCAATTTGCTAATATTATACTTTTTGCTAGATCGTTGGAAGTCAAACGGGTGATTTTGCCAATCATTTTCCCCAAACTCACTTCGATATGTCTCTCACGGAGTCTATCGTCGAGTTGGCGTTGAATGATCGGATCCATCGCATTCTCCATTGATCCATGCACTGATTGAATTGCCGGCTTGTCCTTTAAACTCTTAAAAGTTGTTGATTTTACTAGTCTTTGAGAAAAAGTTTCACCTGTGTGACAGTTTTCACAGTGACAGTGGTGGTTTTCGTCGGGATCACCTCATCGAAGTTGTCTAAATTTTGCAGTTGGTAGTAGACTTGCTATCCAAGATCCAAGATCTATCGAGAGTCGGATCGGATCAGATTGGATCGGATTCAACCCGATAGGAGCTTTTAGCGGATCATCCGAGGCAAACCGATCCAATGTAATCCAGATTGAATCCATCGGATATTCTGATGCCTAGTGAAAACTCATTTTAACTGAATCTTCACTTAATTGACTGAATATTTCGCATTCTGGATCGGAGAATTTCCATTTTAAATATACAAAATTTGCATTTAAAGCCAAAAAATTATGCTAAGTGCAAAAAGTATGATTTGGAGCTAATCCAATCCTTTATGTGGGATGGATTGGATTATCCAATGGATGAGGTCATCGGATGGAAAAGGATCCTTGATGTGGGATGGATTGGATCGGATCAGATCGGATCGGATCGGATTTAATCCAATGGATGAGGTCATCGGATGGAAAGACATCGATGGAAAGACTTTGATCGAATCGAATCGGATTTAATCCAATGGATGAGGTCATCGGATCATCATCCAATGTAATTCGGATTCAATCCATTGGATGGTAAGTCTAGTGGGTAGTGAATGTTAATAGGATATTGTTTTCGAGTTTTTGAAAGCTAAGCCTAAGCTAAGCCTAAGCTAAGCCTAAGCTAAGCCTAAGCTACGCCTAAGCTAAGCCTAAGCTAAGCCTAAGCTAAGCCTAAGCTAAGCCTAAGCTAAGCCTAAGCTAAGCCTAAGCTAAGCCGAAATTCTACCATGTGGATCATAGACGACTCTCCTCTGTGTGGTGATCGATTCACGGAATTCGCCTCCATTCTGGTCTTTCACAATCACCGTGTCACTCACTCTGCCGACCGCGCGCACATTTGGATCGTAGTAGTACTCGAACTGAATAAATACATTCAGAGCTTTTATCTCTACAACTAGAACTGAATTCTTACTTGACATGTCAATTGCCCTTGCACGGCATCATTTCGATATGGGCGTCCTTGAAGATTCAACACGTGCATCGACTGAAAATAAGGTTTTGTAAGGTTTCTGGAAATAGCAGTTAGCCAAGATCTTATTAAAACTTCCATTTAATCTATCAATTTCAAGCTTAAAGTAGAAATTTATGAAATTACATCAGAAGATCGTTGAATCTCTTCCAAATTCACAATTGCTAATCCGAGAAAAACGTCATCATGTGATGGAGATTTATTCTGTTTCCCTTCATACACCTCGAAAAGCATCTCCTCAGTGGCCGGGTTCAATTCGCTGAAAGATTCAAATCACCAATTTTCAACTGTTAACCTTAGAGTTTGAAAAATGACGTTAGACCAAACGTTAGACCTTTTTGCCTGCTCAAAAATTGCTCATAACAATTCAATTGTTAGTAACAATTTCTACTGCCACTCACAAATCAAATTGCTCTTCCCAATACGGATTCGCGTTGATTCCCTTTGTCGTTTGGAAGCGCTGTGGCGGTTCATCGGTTTCAATCACAACATATGGATGAAGCACATCTGAATAGAAAATGTTTCTAGAGATCTAGAAATCTAGCAAAAAAACAAAGTAATGTACTTCTTAATGTACTTCTTAATGTACTTCTTAATATACTTCCTAATGTACTTCTTAATATACTTCTTAATGTACTTCCTAATGTACTTCTTAATATACTTCTTAATGTACTTCTTAATATACTTCTTAATGTACTTCTTAATATACTTCTTAATGTACTTCTTAATGTACTTCTTAATATACTTCTTAATGTACTTCTTATCTTTACAAAAGTCACTGACCAATATCTTTTCCCAGCTTTGATCCTTTGATCACATTAATCTTCAGCTTATTTGGCGCATTCACCACATTCACATTTGGAGTCATTGTCTAAAATTGTAAACTATCATTTTTGAATTTTCAGAAACCTGATTATTATTCAATTTCTTTGTCAAAAAGTCGTCCACAGGTTTTCCCTCGAAAGAAGCGTTGAAGCTTGTTTGTGGGGATCGGCTGAAGTTGAGCTTTGTTTTATAGCGAAACCTTTTCCCTACCTCAATCGTGGATTTGCCACTGATGTGTAATTGTTTGAAGAAGCCTAAAATTGGCCTAAATTCTTTATTTTCAAGAATCACTCACCAATCCCTGTGCGGAAAGCCTTTTGTAGGGCTCTGGTGGACTCATGTCGGTCGAGTTTCTAAAGATGAAAGCTGTTTTGGGAACATAACTAAAGAAGTCGAGTGTTTCCCCTTTTATATCCCAGTTTCCCATCAGATGCGTAACCCGGAACGATCAGTTCGGCTCGTGTCACGTCAAATGGGAATTTCTGAGCCTTCCTTGCGTCGAATTGTGCAACGTGAATTCAAGATGAAAGCTTTCAAAAAGAACAGATGGGCTCAACAATCAAGGGCTCACCGAAGGTGCCAAAAAGAAAAGAAAAGCGCAATGTAAGGGCCTTTTCAAGCGATTCAACCAACGCGGCTGTCATGAGATTCTGTCAAGCATTCTGTCAAGCATTCTGTTCTCTATTCAACGTTGAACAAGCGCTAAACAAGGAGAATGACCGAATATATGCTATTTCTAACCCACACAAATCGTTCTTCATTCAGCTTCAGTCATGGTGTGGGCAGGGATCATAGCCGATGGAAAGACTCCTCTTATCTTCGAGCTATCAGTCAAGCTCAACAATCAAGCATATTTGGACATTTTGCGACAAGACGTTTTGCCCTGGTCTCGATCTCATTTTGTACAACGTAGAACATGGTGGATGTAAAGCTCCTGTGCTTTGTAAAGCAGTTGTCACGCTTGGCTCCTCGCTTAGGTATGATTGAAAGATTTCCCGTAAATCCCTAGACGTTTTGAAGTTGCAGAGCAAAAACCGTGCCAAAATAGTACCCAAGAAGGAAATCAACTAATAGATACACTTCTTTATTATCTTTTTACCTCATTGAAGCCGATCCATCAGAGAGATTCACATTGGTGACTGCTGAGACGAGACAGCGCCGAATCGCATCTTCGACGAGTCCTCGATCAACCTCCATTGTCTGAAATAGCTTTGAATTGAAACGGTGAAAGCTTTGAATAAAAAAAGAAACAAAATTGTACTCTACAGAAAAACAGAAAAAATATTTCCAACTCTTACCGCCCTCGTGTCTGTATTCTTCAATTGGACATCCATTTCGGGACGACCACTGAAACATCCCATCACATAGAGTTGTCCAGCAATGCAAGCAACGCGAGTTTCAATCTTAAATCGAGTTTGAATCGATTTCCCAAATCCAAATCAAATCCAAATCCAAACCTCTCCACGTAAATCCAAAATATCGACATCATAATTGGTGACAACCATTGTCTGCACATTTCGCTGACTTGACACCAATTTCAGCCTCATTTGCGGAATATGGACATCGGTGCGCAGTGTCTGAAATTAGTACTTGATTTGTTTTTGTAAAGATTTCTTACCAAATGATCTCTTGGTCCTTGTTGTACTCTGACATTTCTCAGCTGTGGCCCTTCGTGTACAGCCGAGTGATCACCGAAGCCTTCAAAAAGGATCTCGCATTTGCTCTGCAAAGAAAGAATAATGATAATTTTTGTCTTTTTTAATGAAAACTTGTTCACTTCAAGTAGCTGATTAGTATTTCTTACTGTTCAGCTACCAGAAGTAAGCAGTGAAATGCTTCAACCGGCCCTAGGATCTGTAATGAAGTGAAGGAATTGGCAAGAAAAAGCAGATTTCCAGGGATTGAACCTTTGACCTTTTGTTTCCCGAGCAATTGCTCTAACCAATGAGCCTTAACTTGCCAAGAGAAAGAAGGAAAGACAAGGGAAAGAAGAAAGAAAGAGTCTGGCTTTGATCTGGCTTTGATCTGGCTTTGATCCGGCTTTGATCCGGCTTTGATCTGGCTTATCAACAAATGCCTTTGGAGCTTGTTAGTGATACAAAATCCTTTTGGGATAGCTGTAAAGCATAAGTGCTAACAGAATTATGAAATAGTCTATTAATATCGAACCTATTCTTAAAGATTCTAAAGACCAAGTCCATTATGGAGATCTTACGGTAGCTGGAGCCAGCAGGCTAAAGCTTTCCGCCTCTAAAGTAGCTAAAGATCTATTAAGATCCTTCTGAACAAAAAAGTGCATCAAATTTTCTAATAAGCTTTCTGTGCCATTTGAGCAATTTACAGGATTGAATGATTAACAATTTACATGACTAGTAGCTTTGAGTTAAGATTAACCCAATGCTACTAGTCAAAAGGATCATACTTTAGAGGCGGAAAGCTTTAGAGCAGGCTCCAGCTACCGTAATCCGGCTTAGAACTCCATATAATAGACTTGGTCTTTATATTTCCTTGTGTTTACCTCTAAGCTCTTACAGTAAGTAAGTAATGCATAAGATCGATTACCGGATTGGTCACTTTCTTCGCTGCATCGTTCAGGGACTTGATCCAAGCGTCGAGCGGCCCAGGGACTCTCCTCAAATTCCCATAAAGCCAATAAATCAAATCGTTCGCCCAATCGCAATTCGCTCTAAATTTGAATAATTTTTATAAGTTTTCATATACACTACTGGACAATGAAATATCAAAAAAGATCGTCACTTTCGCGCGTTTGTAACTCCCTTGTCTTTACCGTATTTCTAAATATTAATATTACCATTGTGTAGCCCTTGAAAAGAGCTTTCAGAAAATGTATAACACTAATAGTTTAAACTCAAAGGCAAGGGAGTTACAGACGCGTGAAAGTGACGATCGTTTTTGAAAATATGATATTTCATTGTCCAGTACTGTATTAGAGAGAATACAGTAAGAGAATACAGCGATTTTGAAAATCTTTTATTTTTGAGGTTTTCGAAGGCCGCAAAGACAAGTAGTCAAAATAGCCATTTTCAGAAAACAAGTGATCAAGCGGGTGCTAGATCATTTGTTTGATTGGAAGCTATTCTTAATTTTTTTTTTTGCGTAAAAGAAATAAGAGATCCTTTTACACTTTCAGTAAAATTTTCAACAAAATCCATCAAACCGTTTTGTCTAAAAGTTACTCAAAATTGACAAAATTGGTCGTTTTGAACCAATTCAAAACCCATGTTCGAGTACCTTTTTCAAAATAACTTCCAACCTAACAATTGCCCATTCGGACAGCACTGTTGGGTATTTGTTGGGTTTTTAAACCGTCTTTGATCTCAATCTTAATCTGATAGTGTGCTAAGGGGGATTCAACCAAATCATAAGGCTAAATCGGAGCTAATCAAACCAGTTAATCTTTTTCAAATTCAAGACGAATGTGCAAAGTAATTTCTCAAACGATTCAAACCGTTTTTTGTCGTTTTTTTGCCTTTGAATTTGCGTGTTCTACATTTTCTGAAAGCTCTTTTCAAGGGCTAGACAATGGTAATATTAATATTTAGAAATAGAGTAAAGACAAGGGGTTACAGACGCGCAAAAGTGACGATTCTTTCAAATATGATATTTCATTGTCCAATGCTGTAGATTCCAATCTTTCCCCTTTTTTTTCATTTCTTTTCTATCTTTGAGAGCTCGGCAAATAGTCTGCTCATGTTGCCGGATTGCCGGAAAAGATAAATTCGATTAGAAATTAAAAGCTAATTTATTATAAATCAATTCAAGATTTATAAAGCTTTAATGAATAAATTCCTTACCCATTTGAGGTGCTACCGGAAGAAGATGCGGTGGTGTGCCCATTTTTGCGTGCCTCTACATTTTGACCCTAAAAATTTGAGCTAAAAATTGAGCTAAAGATTTTCTAGACTAAAAAACTTTTAAATCATATGTGAAATAGTTTCAAAGACCTCTGAAACTTACATTATTGGTGATACCAAGTTTGTTCAGCGCATAATAGCAGAGTCCACCGACGAGTGACCAAGAGAGAACCACCCAAATCAACCCATCCATTGTCACCACCGAGCGCACTGAAAATAAGAAAATAGTGCACATTTGATGAAACGATGATAATGTATTAAATAAAATTAAAAAAAACAAAGAATTTTGAACCGAGGGGAATTGAACCCTCGACCTTCTGCTTCACGGGCTGATGCTCTACCACTGAGCTAACGGGACCATCTTTGCTCGAGAAGAAATTGGAAAGACAAAGAAAGAGAAGGAAATAAATATCCTATACCAGCCGAGAAACCCCCATTAGGGCCGGTTTTTCCGGAAGGGTCTTTTGAGTTGCCGTGGCGCAGTCGGGAGGGCTCTCGTCTACAACCCACACTGTCCGGGTTCGATTCCCGAGTGCCTCCCCCAACTCTCATTTAAACAATTTTTTTTAAAATGCCACAACTACTATATATTCTAAGGTTTTCTAAAGAAGTTTTAGCTTTATTCGTCAAAAGATGGCTAAGAAAATGCTCAAAAAGACAGACAGACTCTTTTATATATAGTAGATTGTTCAACGTTTTTTTTTCCACTTACAACTCGCCGCTGCTTGTCTGACACTCAACGATAACTGTTTCACATTGTCGGGAGTGACGAATTGAGCCGAGAAATATAAAATCGAGACACAGCAAATCATGAGAGCCGGTAAAGCGGCTGCATCCAATAAACCCGGCGGGACTTTATTTGAGATTTTCCGCTTCACTTGATCAAAAACAAGTACAATTCGAGCTTTTGTCGCATTGACGAATAACCGAATCGGATTGAAAAGTAGCGAGCTGACATCAAAGACGAAATTTTGAAACTGTGCCAATTTATCCATGCTTTAGTGAATCAGTCCATTTTCAAAGACTATTGGAGCCGTTCGGAAGCGAATTGCAAGGGGAACAGAAATGAATTTTCGAAGAACATGAAGTGATGAAAGATTTTTTGACTTGATGAGAGAAATTGATGAGAGAAAAGAAGGGAAAAGCTGGAAAGGATTTGTGGGAAGGAAAGGAAAGAGATCTTGAAGACAAAAGAAAGAAAGGCGAATTCTCTTCTTTGTGTATCTGTGGAGATCTTCTTCGGTAAACACAAAAGTGGTTGAAAATGTCTCGAGATGTTTCACTTGATCCACCACATATCAAATGGGATCTCTTTTTCTCGAATCATCGAGGGTTAGTCCTTTGCTTTCAAAAAGTGGCACAACTAGAGTTTTGAGCAAAAGTAAAGGTTTAGCGGGATGCAATATCTAAGGAACGATCTAAGGAATACATAGATAAGCACTTGGCTCAAAGGATTTTCCATAACCGAGCTTTACCAATGCAAATTGTCCGGAGCAGGTCAGCTATTCTTATTCGATTTTATGGTCTATAAAACTACCAGTCTAACTAACTAATTTGGTGACAAATTTTAACTAATTTGGTGACAAATTCCCTTTAAATTTAAAAATATTCACTTTACTCGACGCGTAAAGAGGATTACTGCTATAAAAATAAAACATAAAACCTAAAACCACGTGACCCTGGGCCCAGGACCATCAAACTATTGGGTCCTTTCTGATTTTTTGGGAGTGTACCTTAAATTTGTTCAATTTTGACGTTTTATAGCTCATCCTAAAGCTGAATTCAAGACGGATCGATTGGTAAAAACCGTTTTGAGATATCTCTTTTCTAAAAGTTTTTACAGCTATTTTAGTAAAGGGCGGCAGAGCCAAAAAATGGATGTTTTCACGTTTCGTTTATTCTATTTTATGGTCCATAAAACTACCAGTCTAACCTAAAACTATGTGGCCCTGGGCCCAGGTCCATCAAACTATTTACCATTTATCATCTAACAAACGTTTAACTAATTTGGTGGCAAATTCCCTTCAAATTTAAAAATATTCCCTTTACTCGACATGTAAAGAGGATAACTGTTATAACAATAAAACCTAAAACTATGTGGCCCTGGGCCCAGGTCCGTCAAACTATTTACCATTTACCATCTAACAATTTTGCTAAACGGATTTATAAGTTTAGCATTTGCTAATTTAGCATTTAGCAACCAAGCAGCATCCAGCAATTTTGCTAAATCTATTTGGTTCGATATTAATAGAATATTTCATAATTCTGTTAGCACCTATGCTTTACAGCTATCCCAAAAAGATTTAGCATCACTAACAAGCTCCCATTTGGCATTTAGCATTTCAGCAATTCAGCAATCAGAACCGATTAGATCCAAATTGAATCAAATTGAGCATTTAACATTTAACGACTTTGCTAAATGCTAAATGCTAAATGCTAAATGCTAAATACTAAAAGAGTTTAACCAAATTTAGCAAAATTGAGTTTTATTCTTGTAGACTGAATATTCTGATGCCGCCACATAAAGCTAAAATATTCAGTCAACAAAAAGAATACATCGTTTGGCGCTAAATTTAGCAAAATTTTGTTAAATGCCTTGGTGGACCTGTTGAATTTTGCAAAACGAAAGTTTGCTAAATTCAGCAAAGCTAGAGGTCCTCTCACAGCAAAACTCGAGGTCTCGAGGTCCAAAAATTCTGTTAGCTCTAGCCAAATTACTAGATTTATCTCTTTTTGCTAAATTTAGTAGTTGGTGGACCCGGGTCCTGGCTATCTTTGACCTAGCCCAAACCGGAGCTCATTGGATGTTGGTGGACCCGGGTCCTGACTGTCTTTGACCTAGCCCAAACTGGAGCTCATTGGATGTTGGTAGACCCGGGTCCTGGCTATCTTTGACCTAGCCCAAACCGAAGCTCATTGAATGTTGGTGGACCCGGGTCCTGGCTATCTTTGGCCTAGCCCAAACTGGAGCTCATTGGATTTTGAAATGACTTTTCTAAGGGCAAAAGGAAACGCTTTCATAAGCCATTTTTATTCTGAAAAGAGTCGACGACAGCTTTCAACTGATGAGTTCAATTTTTAAACACAAAAGAATCAAGAGGATCCAAGCCAATCACAAATCACAAAACTAGTAAATAGTAAAAGTTAATAATAAAAGTAAAAGTAAAAGTTATCCAACCAAAAACCCGTTATTCTATACATCAAAAATAGTTCCTCCACTCGGAAAACACTCCAAGAACAAGAGATTAACCATTCGAAAAAGTTGACTCAAATCGACCGAGTGAACCGATCAAAAAGCTGATTAATCGGAGTGGGTGGAAATGAATTGGAGAAAAGCGGGAAATGGAAAGAAAAGAGGGGGAAAGGGTAAAGAATTGATGGAAAAGAAAGGGCCTTATGTTTGCTCGAATCAAGAAATGCCTTCTTGACGACTTTTTTTTTGCATCCAATCTGCAATAACCAGCATTCAACAGAGCGCAAAGATTGGTATTGTTTTTGAAAGCTCAAAGATTTTCCTGATATCTGGCAAATGTTTCAAATGGATGATTGGGTCAACAGCTACAGCTACAGCTTTACAGCTAAACGCTTACCTTTTCGATCTTTGCTAATCTCATTTTTTGTAGAGACAATAGAAAATTTAGATTTAGAGATTACGTTCTGATGGGCTAAATTGAAAGGAGATATTGAATAGATAGCAAAGGAGTGCCGAGAATTTGAATATATTGGGTTTGTGGATATGATTTGACACGTTTTCTTCAAATTAAATCCAAAAGATGTAAAGAAATATGAGGGAGAGGAGTTTCTGGAAAATAGGTAAGTGAATACAAAAACAAACAAAAGGCTTTCTTTTCGCGAAGAGTTACCAGTTGATCATACAATAATACTCGAATATTACATACACTTCGGTTTAAACCGTATTAAGGATTTCGATTTGGATTCACATGATTTAACGGACACCTGTGATTCTTGTGGAAACAATAGACTTTCACTTTCCACATATTTCTTTTCGAATTTTACTTTACTTTGCTCTAACTATTGAACATCTACCACCTGGAGATCTACAAGAAGATCTAAAAGGACACAAGGCCTCTAGTGTTCAGTTAATATTGAGAATGTTTAGGTGGATGGATCAGCTCCAGACATGTACAAGCCGTTAAATTCCGTTTTGTGGATGAATCTTCGTAGACAAAGATCATCTAGCAGTCAAACTGGATAATGACAAGTTGCTGTGATCTGGAGAATGACATTTTATTTTAAATGATCTGTGACATTTTATGTTGTACGAATTTCTATAAGGACACAAAGGCCTCTAGTGTGCTAATATTGAGAATTTGAAAGGATCAGCTCCACTACGGACATGTACAAGCCGTTAAATTCCGTTTTGTGGATGAATCTTCAAAGACAAAGGTCTAGCATTCAAATTCAAGCAGTCAAACTGGATAATGACAAGTTGCTCGAAATCTTTCAAACAAACAAAAGGCTTTCTTTTAGCGAAATAGCAGAAGAGCTACCAGTTGAACATACAATAATACTCGAACATTACATCAGTTTAAACCATATTAAGGATTGGATTTGGATTCACATGATTTAACGGACACCCAGAAATGGCAATGTGTCAGAAATCAGTGCCGCTCATCTTTCTCGATACGAGTCGCAAATCTTTTTTACCATGTATTGTGATGAAAATGTAGAGAAAAGGAACCAAATTTGGAGAGATAAGGAATCAAATCAAATAACTATCAACTTTCGGAGAAGCCGCCAATGGGTTGCTAGCATCTAGCAAACTTGATGGACTCCATTGTGGACAATAAGGACATTTTGGTGAGCCTGACCCTACTCCGATATAGTCTTCGTCTTATGATAATGTGTAAAGAGACATAAAATTCTGTGATCATAGTGAACAAATGAAATATAAAAGCTCAAAAAGCCAACCTTTTTGTTGTGCTTTCAGCTAACACCTCTGTAGTCGATTCGTTTGTTTTTTGACCTAAGCAAGGATGAATTCGAAAATCCTCAGGTTTAGATAATAAAGAGAAAGAGGTAAAAAGTAAATTTGATCTGCTGAGCGAAGAAAGGTATGAGAATGAGAATGAGAGAGAGAATGAGAGAGAGAATGAGAAGGAGAATGAGAATGAGAGCGAGAATGAGAGAGAGAATGAGAATGAGAATGAGAATGAGAATGAGAATGAGAATGAGAATGAGAATGAGAATGAGAATGAGAATGAGAATGAGAAAGAGAATGAGAATGAGAAAAGATAAGACAATGTTAAGAAGGTAAAGAAATAGAGTTCTTAGAGGAAAATGAAGGAGAAATGATCACTTTTGAGCCAAGTGCAGAAGAAAATGAGTTAGAGGTTCCAGCTTTCCAGAGAAAGGGGAAGCAGCTGGAACAGAGGTCGATCTTCCCTTGAAATCGGCTCTTTTCCATAACTTTTTCTCTTTCTGTTGATCTTTCTGTAATGTCGATCTCCTCTTTTCTCTTTTTTCCATCTTTGCCCATGGGGGATCCTTATTGTAAAGCCCTCTCGATCGGCTGTGAATCGGCCCTCTATTGAACGAAAAAGATCGCCTGAAAAAGCGGCTCTATTTTGCTCAAAAGGGTTTACAGATTACTTGACGAATATTTTCGATTTCAACTCAAACAAATTCATTCATAATTCATTCATAATTCGGATTCATAAGTAGAAAAATCTTTGCAAAGTATGCAAGCATTTTCACAGATGTTACCGTTAAAATAGAGTGCGAATAAGTAATTGCTCGATTGCCTGAGTGATTTTTACTCGACTAATCGACTAATTTACTTTACTTTACTCGACCAATCGCCGTTTTTTGTTGAGCAACTACGAAGTAATCCTCTTTACACGTCGAGTAAATTGAATATCTTTATATTTGATGGGAATTGACTTTATATTTGCCACCAAATCAGTTAAACGGCTGAATCTCTTTAAAAAGAGTCGTATATAAGGCGGTGCTCGTGATCTACTGGAAAGTCTTGATCCAAACACATAAACTAGTGTTAAAACAAGAACTTGCCAACAAAAACATCTAGCTTCACGGCTTCACCTTACCATTTCGTACACAGTTTTCTGAAAAGCACACATAGCCAGTGGGGTGTACGGGGCATCGTGCAAGCATCGTGCAAGCATCAAAGTTGAAACCTCAGATCAGTCGTGATTACCCGCTGAACTTAAGCATATTACTAAGCGGAGGAAAAGAAATTAACAAAGATTCCCCTAGTAACGGCGTGTGAATGGGGAAAAGCCCAGCGCTGAATCCCTCGGCTTTTAGTCGCGGGGAAATGTAGCGTATAGGTGCGGCTATCCGGCGCCATCACTTACTCAAAGTCCCTTCGTTATTGAAATCGTTCAAATTCAACGTTTATTGAATTCGTGCAAGTAAGCCGTTTGGTTGAAGTAAAAGTACAAATAATAGGTAAACTTGTGGTTGAATAACCAGCGAGCGTTTAGACGATGGTACTTTTGTGTAAAAGATGGATGGAAAGACGATCGTGTAAAAGATGGTACTTTTGTGTCCCCTAAAAAATCAAAACCAAACACAAGAGTACCCAAAAGATTGAAAGGCTTGATCGAAACACACTTAACATGTTCGGGACGATTCGGTTGACCGGTGGAATGAAGGCCGTCTGGCCCCGGGGACGGTTCGGTCCACCAGTCGACGAAATTTTTGATGCGCTATAACTTTTCAACTTTTTAAGATAATTTCAGCGTATTCCAGTAAAACGGTCATAACTTTTTGGGATAAAGGCTTATCAAAGAATGATGTTGATATGAAATGTTCATCTAGCTGAGCTCCATGCAATAAAACAAAAATTGTAGAAAACGAACCATTGGAGAAAGAGAAATGCGGCGTTTTGTTTCACGAGTCAAAAAGAGCCGATATCTTTTTGAGGCAGCAATATTTTCAAAATCTGATTAGAGATTCGGATTCAGCATGAAATTTTACATATAGGAGGTGTATTTCGGGGCTAATAACTTTGCGAGAAACCCCTCGTCCACTGGGGCATTAATGTTTTCGTGGGGCAACAAGCTGGAATGCCTCGTTGGTAAAAGAAAAAAACATCGATGGAAGAGAAAAGAAAGATCAGCTGAAAGTTTGTTAAAAGATTGTGCAATGATGAGTGAGCGTCATTTGAGCGTAAAGAAAAAGGTTAAAATTAATAAAGGGTAAATGACGAATTCCATCAAGAACTTCAAGAATTCGAGGTGCTTTTCATATTGGTTTTGTGACACTTGTACTGATGAGATGAACAACTGGATGAGCATTGGATCTCATCCAAAACATTGAATGAGATGAACAACTGGATGAGCATTGGATCTCATCCAAAACATTGAATGAGATGAACAACTGGATGAGCATTGGATCTCATCCAAAACATTGAATGAGATGAACAACCGGATTATTAATTGCCTATTGCCTATTCGAAAAGGTTCATCTGAAAAGTAGAAACTCTTTGTATCCGGATCTAAAGGATGATCAAAAAGCTAAAAAAGTTTAAAAAAAACGCCTCGTCGCGAATGTGTTAACATAAGTTTGCCGATTAAAAATTGAAGTTTTCAACTCGAGAAGAATGCGAATAACTTTAAGGCATATGGACGGCAATTATCAAGTATCAAGTACCAATTAACAAGTTTAATTGTGTTTAATTTGATCATACAAATCTTTCCCACTTCAGGGATGATTTGTAAAAGCTTAAAATAAAAATGAAATCGTCAAATCTTTCGTCCACTTGAGCAGTAACGCAAAAAAAAACGCGAATGTGTTAAACCATTGTTAAGACGAGTACTTTTTTTGGTGTTCATTACAGAAACACAAAAAATCTTCATTCACACATTCATCAAGAATTCCAATCAGTCGGCATCAAAACACCTTTGATTGCCGGAATGTATGGGTAAGCCTCGATCACACAATGATTTTCGCCTTTCGCAAACTGAAATTAAACCAGTTTTTCGACGGAATTAGTGCTGAAAACCGAATCTATTGGGTTGTCCAGTTATGAATGCGCGTTTTTACTATTTTGTAAATTTCTCAAGATATCGAACAGATGTATATGAGTGTTATATATCATTCGAAAGCTGAAGATCTCCTCTACATTTTGATATAAAAAGCTTTTGAATTGGTTCAACTTTTGGGCAAATTGACTGCACAAAGGGAGAGGTCGTTTTCGAAAAAACCCATTCCAGCTTAGCTATTCCCTCAAGTTTTATGGTGTAAAATAACCGCCCAGAAAAGAAAAGAAAAGTAAAGATGCTCTGAAATTCTTATATTTAAAAAAAAGTTATATTGATGCATCTATTGGCCAAACATCAAACGGTTAACTCAATTTGAGCGGAGCCAAAACTTGATCCAAAGACACCCTTCCATTTTTTTGGCCACCTCTTCTTCTGTGCAGTCAATTTGCCCAAAAGCTGAACAAATTCAAAAACTTTTTATATCAAAATGTAGAGGAGATCTTCAGCTTTCGAATAATACTCATATATATCTTTTTCTTGATTTCGGTATCTTGAGAAATTTACAAAATAGTAAAAAACGCGCATTCATAACTGGACAACCCAATAGGAACTTTCAAAACTTACCCGAATATATCCACCCTCTCCCCATCGATCACCCCACGAATTGCGCACAATCCAGAAAGCTTGGCCGTTTTCAGAACCTGAAATGATAGCTATTTTAGTATTTTGATAGACTAGTACTTTGAAAAACAATTTAGACAAAAACTGATAGTTTTTTGCACTTACCGTAGCCAACAACTGTCAAAATGTGTCCGCCTTGATTGTTTGATGGAGAACAAGTCGAATTGTCTGGCACAAAGATCCCTGAGCTGTAGTAGAAAAGATCCATTGGTACATAGATCTCTAAAGATTTTTGGATTTCTTTAAAAACAGATTTCAATTTCTAAATCAACTCACTGATAACAAACGGCCCAACTGTCTCCAAATAATACTCCATTTGATCGATTGATTGCAGCCATTTGTAGCGATCGATTGTCACCGTGGTTGACTAGAAATAATTAACCATTTTGGAATTCTTTTTAAAACTTTTTCTTTTAATTTGATTAACTGCTTTTTCAAAGCTTTCAGCAAAAATCTCCAGTCTACAGTCGTTCTCTGTGCAGGGTCGTAATCGCTCGCTTTCTGGCACCTGGCGCCGCTAGATAGGTCGTCCTTTTCCCCTTATGACCGAAATCATACTTCACAGGATCATTTCTGTAGTTTGTATTTCGCTTTACCCACAGTTTTGCAACACCCTGCACCTGCGATTGGGAATGGGCAGGCGGAGAGCGTGAAGAAGGGTTGGTTGTTCCTTGGGAACACCGCCGTTGATGACCGCGCCCCACATCCGAAAGGAGAATGGGGTATCCGACTGCCTCTCTGAGCGGGCAAAAAAATCAAAAACAAAAAGTTAGAATTAAACTGGGGTTAGTAGATTCTACTGATTTTCTCCTATGCTTGTCGAACTTGTTTTCGGAACCCTACCAAGTTCTTCAAGAACAGAAACGCCAATCTTCAGACTCCGATAACGAACGCCAAGAGGACCATCAGATCAGTCAAGACTTGGGCGTCATTACGCTTAAATTCCTCAGGATCAATTTTTGCTATGGTGAGTTAACTTTCGAAAAGCTTAGCGTGAAATTTCAGATCCTAGCTTCAATATATTTTCTGATAATCTTTATGATATCATTTTATTTTATTGGGATGAATGTTGGGTGAGTTGGAGTGACTTTTGTAAGAACATTCTATTTCAGAACTGATCCTAATCATCCGGGTGCCTTGGATTTGTTGAGTAAGTACTAGTACTAGATACAATTTGCATGTCAAGCATCTTGCTCACATCTTGCTCAAATCTTATCAGTATAATTTAGTTGCCATCGCTCAATTAGTATTCTATGTACCATTTTCTATATGGAATTGCCTCCTAACTTATTTACAGTATGCGTATTTGAGGTGGGTTCGAGGAATGGGTAAAATTCGCAATTCATTGGCTTCATTGCAAGCTAATATAATAAAAACAGAGTCGATAATACTCATTCATTAAAGAAGGGCTCCGAATCAAGACCGATTCTCACTAAAACCAAATTTTTCGCAGACATTTGTAATAATATAACAACTTGATGAAGTTTTATATAGAAATTACTAAGGTAAATCGGTTTATCAATTATTTAGCAGGTATTAAGAGATAAAATCAGCTTTTCAAGTCAATTTCGTCTTAGTATCTCAGCTTACAATTAGGATCTTATCTTAGTTTAACAACAATTAAACCTCGGGTTCCAATTAGTAGACTCAATAAAATGAATAGCTCCAATTGATTCGCCTACCCCGAAAATCCCCGAGTACAAATTTACAGTTCAATATCTTCGTCGTTTTTTTGTACCATCTTCAATGCAAGAAAAATCCCGATGTAAAATGAAAATGATCCCAGTCGTTCTTTGTGCGCGCGCGTAATCGGTCGCTTTCTGGCACATGGCCCCGATAGATAGGCCACCCTTTTTCCCTTATCTCCGAAATCATACTTCACAGGATCATTTCTGTAGTCTGTATTTCGCTTTACCCACATTTTTGCAACACCCTGCACCGGCGATGATTGGGAATGGGCAGGCGGAGAGCGTGAAGAATGGTTGGTGTCTCTTTTAGAGCACCAGCGTTGATGACCGCGCCCCAAATCCGGAAGGAGAATGGGGTATCCGACTGCCTCTCTGAGCGGGCAAAAAAACCAATAATCAACGACAATCAAATGACTCCGATTTTCTTTCCCAAAAGATTAATGAAGTGTTAAAATTGAAATCCCCCTCTTGTATCAATTACCTTTGGTGGAACTTGGCAACCACCTCCACTTTTTGTTTGACCAGATACATAGGGATAATCCGCACTCACTGCCAAACCATTCTTGATGATGTAACTGAATAGGAAATTTCTAGTTTTAAGTTTTCACCAACTCAAAAGCGGTCACAAAGCTGCCTCCATTGCAAGCGTTATTGCTCTTGTCACAGTCGACAATTTGCTGAATTTTTGAATGTTTGATTTTAATATAATTCAATGGCAAACTTTTGAACCTTTAAAGGAAACTAGGTTAAGAAAATTGAGTAAACCTGCTCCGAGAATGTTCCCGTATTGTAATGTTTCTTCCATTGAACTTCGATCGCTCCAATAGCTCTGTGAATGATTTGATTTTCGATTGAACACTTTCAAACGAACCCAAATGCCCAACACGATCCACATGCTCCTTGATCTTTCACCGGACCCACTAGACCGCTGGTTCTCCAATCGAAACTTCCCTGAAACATTTCAAATTCCAGAATCTTATTAGATAAACTACCGAACTAGATCTTTTTCTTCTCCCAGATGGAAACCAACGTAATTTCGGGATGACTGAAGGTTCTTCAGTAGTTGGAGGCACATCAAACACAAACACTTCGTTGATCACGATCTAAATAAAGTAAAAATGGCTTCTGAAGATTTTATGATAAAGAATCAGTGATAATTTTATTTTGGTATTTGATAAAAGTCATTATCTTGATAAATTTTCAAAGCTCAAACTCCTAAAAGCATCCAGTTTTCATCTGCTCTCAATTTCGCTTTACAGGATGGATTTAATTTGTCTTTTTCTGCATCAATACGTTTTTAGAGTTAATTACTATAAAAGTAAGCTAAGTAGCATAAAAGTAATGCTTTTTGAGCTCCATTATTGCAAATGAAACACCATTATTGAAACACTTCTCCTTATGCTGTACTTAATTCTCTTTCCATTCGCTATACTAAATCATTGTCGTGAGAAATTCGTTTAAAGAAAGCTGTCGTGAAACGCTTTGAGCAAACTAGAGCCAATTTAGCAATTGAGATTCCGTTCTGTTTTGTAAATAGATTATAATTTTAACTAGAGTGTGTTCCTCGCGAGTAATGCGTTTTTGCTCAAAAAGTAATGCTCAAAAACGCAAACTTGAGAATCTACAGGATGGATTTCTTTACAATTATCGAAACTCGGTTTTTCGACTCTAACTCGACGCCCAATTATTCAATTCCGCGAATTTCATATTTAGAAGAAATTCCAAGTTCATTTCTGCGATCACTTTTAAGTGCTAGTTTAAAAACACAGTGTTACGCTTTTTATAGTACTTCGAAGTTCGGAAGATCAGAAGAAGATCATCATTTTCGGCAGAATCATCATTTTCAACCGTTAACTCTCAAGAATTGCCCACAAATCAACCAATTCTTAGTTTTTTTTTCCACTCCTTACATAATTATAGACAAATATTATAAAATAAATGCATTCACTTTGCTAGAGAGCAAACCGGGAATGATTTGGGGAGCTTTGAGCTTTCAGGGAATCCAGCTCTGCTCAGCTTCCTGGGAATCCAGCTTCTGCTCAGCTTTCGGGGAATCCAGCTCTGCTCAGCTTTCAGGAACCAGCCTGCTCAGCTTCCTGGGAATCCAGCTTCTGCTCAGCTTTCAGGGAATCCAGCTCTGCTCAGCTTCCTGGGAATCCAGCTTCTGCTCAGCTTTCGGGGAATCCAGCTCTGCTCAGCTTCCTGGGAATCCAGCTTCTGCTCAGCTTTCAGGGAATTCAACTTCTGCTCAGCTTTCGGGGAATCCAGCTCTGCTCAGCTTTCGGGGAATTCAACTATTGGCTTTCAAAATCTTGAAATAATTGAAAATCTTCTGAGGTGAAATGTTCCTCATAATTCTATTTCTTAACAAAAAGCAAAAATGAGTAAACACGAAGCGGGAAATTCTTCAAAATATGTTCAAATCCTGGTAAACAACGATTCTGCCAAGAGATTTGCACCTCTGAACTTTGAATTGCTACAAACTAGTACTTCAAAGTACTATCCTATAAAGTACTATAAACTAGTATTTCAAAGTAGTATACTATAAAGTACTATAAAGTTATAAAGTGCAACACTGTGCTTTTAAATTAGCACTGAAAATTGAGCACAGAAGATTAAGTTGAAATTTCGTATGAATATGAAAATCGAGGAATTGAATCATTAGGCGTCGAGTGAGAGCCGAAAAACCGAGTTTTGAGCATTGTAGAATCCGGTTTATTACCGAATGCAACCCTACTCAAATAACTAAATAACTTCTCATATTTATACCTTTCTCAAATCCTCGTCACTCCAATCCATAAACCTCGTCTCATCCAGTGTATACTTTGCACCCCTTGCTTTCAGTTTTTCCCTCAATTTGTCCAATTGACCACTCCGATTCACGTAATTTTTCAGCTTCTTCAGAAAATCAGCGGCATCAGTGAGTGTGACATTGTTTCTAAATGGCACAATAAGAAAAATATTTATGGAAAAAGTATATACAGTCAAACTTCGAGATAGCGGCCTTCGATACAACGAATTTGAAATTCTAATTGATTTCCGCGCCCTTGATATCCGCGTAGTGGCCCGATTGGCGCAATCGCAAACGCAATGGTTGGCCTAAACGCAATGGTTGGCCTAAACGCAATGGTTGGCCTAAACGCAATGGTTGGCCTAAACGCAATGGTTGGCCTAAACGCAATGGTTGGCCTAAAAATCGTTGACCGTTCAGGGTAGCTATGCACAAAATTCGGGGCACGTTTTAGAATTGTTATATCAAAGTTTGACTGTATTTAGGCCTATAATACTTCTCCAAGAATCGCTCAAATTTCTCTTTCAACGAGGCAGCTGATAATCCATTTGTTGCAACAAAGAAGAAGAAGAAAATCAAGTAAAATCTCATTTTTGAATCGAAATGGGAATTGGGAATGGGAATTACCGAGATTTTACAAACCTTTGAACACTCAGAACTGATCTCGATATCTATTTGAGGGGAATTTATGTCATCTCGTCACTTTTACGATTCTTTTTGACCATAACTTTATTTGAATTGATCACAGTTGAATGCGTGAAAGTTTTATAGTCAAAAGGTGAGTCATTTGAAAGATTTTTGTGATTTCCTTGAAAACGAAAAGATCTTTGAAGCGTCTAAAATTAGAATAAGATTACTTTTATCGTATTCTCATAGAAAACTTGGTACATGTTGAGATTTTCCCCACAAATTCAGCAAATTTACATTCAATACCTCAATTTGCATACCAATTAGGCAAGTAACGCGTTTTCTATCGATTTCTGAGAACAACAGAATAGAAGAATAAAAGAACAGAAGAACAGAAGAACAGAAGAACTGAAGAACAGAAGAACTGAAGAACAGAAGAACAGAAGAACAGAAGAACTGAAGAACTGAAGAACGGAAGAACGGAAGAACAGAAGAACGGAAGAACGGAAGAACAGAAGAACGGAAGAACGGAAGAACGGAAGAACGGAAGAACAGAAGAACAGAAGAAGAAGAAGAAGAAGAAGAAGAAGAAGAAGAAGAACAACAACAACAACAACAACAAATGTGCAAAGATTTGTCGATTGCTTGGAACTCTTTTTTACGAGAAGTGTGTCGAGGATTAAGATCAGATTTTGTGGAGGGAAAAAATCGAAAAGTACCGAAAATTTTATTTCTTGTACAAAGAAAAATTGACCCGGATCATTGTGAGCAAAATGTTCAAATCAAATTTGCATTTTAACTTGATTGCGTTTTGTTGATGATTAGATGTGCAGATGAGAAACGATCCAAAGATTGAGATCGCTTCACGCGATAGTAATGGACACGATCTCTTCGCTCCTGAAACCATCAATTTGCATATAATCGAATAAAACACAGAGTCTAATGATTAAATATTGCTAATAAGTAATTATTTATGAAATTTAAATATTATCTTTTACATATTTTAAAGTTTCCAGCCTCTACCTCCCCCATTTACCGTTCTCTGTGCGCACGCGTAATCGCTCGCCGTCGGGCACATGGTCCCGTTAGATAGGTCGCCCTTTTCCCCTTCTCACCGAAATCATACTTCACAGTAGACTTCGGCAAACAAAACCAAAACCAAAACAAACCAAAACTCAATTTGCATATAAATTAACATGTAAATTTAAAATTGCAAAATGCAAATTTTAATGTAAAATGCAAATTAGCCTTTCACTTTTTCTCACTCCACAAAATCTCGCGGCCGAAAAAAGGACCAAAACACGACCTCGAAATTTCGAAACAAAAAATAGCCTATGGGATAGATTTTTGGACGCTGATTTCAAATCTGAAAACAGATTTTCGCTAGCTCCTCCCAGTCGCGAGATATTGGCGAGTTTTGGTTAGTTTTGGTTTTGGTTTGTTTTGGTTTTGTTATGGTTTTGGTTTTGGTAGTTTTGGTTTTGGTTAAGTTTTGTTTTCCGAAGTCTACTTCACAGGATCATTTCTGTAGTTTGTATTTCGCCTTACCCACAGTTTTGCAACACCCTGCACCGGCGATGATTGCGAATGGGCAGGCGGAGAGCGTGAAGAACGGTTGGTGTCTCTTTTAGAGCATCAGCGTTGATGACCGCGCCCCAAATCCGAAGGATAATGGGGTATCCGGCATCCGGCTGCCTCTCTGAGCGGGCAACAAACAAAAATCAACAACTGGCTAGTAAATTTGGAACTGGGCGATGTGATGGTACCAATTACCATATTTATTCCAAAAGAAGCGCTTCTATTTTTCTTGACGTTATCTGTGCTACCCATATATTAGATACATTATATCGTGTTGTTACAGTTCAATATTTGCGTTTTTTTGTACCATCTTCAAGGCTAAAAGAAAAATCCCCGATGTAGAATAAAACGGTCCCATTGGTTCGCTGTGCGCACGCGTAATCGCTCGCTTTCTGGCACACGGCCCCGATAGATAGGTCGCTCTTTTCCCCCCATCAGCGAAATCATACTTCACAGGATCATTTCTGTAGTGTGTATTTCGCTTTACCCACAATTTTGCAACACCCTGCACCTGCGATGATTGGGAATGGGCCGGCGGAGAGCGGAAAGAACGGTTGGTTGCTCTTTAAGAGCACCACCTTTGATGACCGCGCCCCAAATCCGAAAGGAGAAAGGGGTATCCGACTGCCTCTCTGAGCGGGCAAAAAAATCAAAAACAGAAAGTTAGACTGAAGTCGGTAGATTTTGTCTTATTCTTGCCGAACTTGTTTTCCAAAGCTCACCAAGTTCTTTAAGAACAGAAACGCCAATCCCCAGACACCGACAGCGAATGCCGAGATGACCATCAAGCCCGTCAATATTAAAACACAGTTCTCGGATGTGGAGATCAATGAGGAGGCTTTCTGAAATGGAAAATGAGCTTCGAATAACTGATAGCTTTTTTTAGACTTTTGCTCACCTGTGCCATTTTGATGAATTCCTCTGTACCACAAGCTTTAAAGCAATGATCTTCACCGAATAGACCGTATCCATTAAAAACGTTTGGGTGATGTTTCGTAGATGAACCGGTCATCTTACAAATTTAATATTTAAGTATACGATTAAATAAAAGTGAAACTTTGAAGCTGGCTTTGAATTGAAAGATGAGAAATATTTTTACGGAAACTTTGCATCAAAATTTGCATCAAAGTTTTCCTTTAAATTTTACCAGAAATCCAGCCTGTACTTTGGTTTCTTTTTGACTAAAATCTATGAATAGAATGTGCTAGAAATGGTGGGTTTATTCGAGCGCAAAGTACACATCAAATTCTTTCTTTTCAGGTGATTTTAAATGCATTGCTAAATGAATGATTTTCGCTATACAGGGTGCGTCATAATTATTGCAACAAGAGTTCAAAGACCGTTTGTGATGTCAAGAATGTGATGCCATGAGCGTGTAAAGCCAATAACAATCAAAATTGGACCTTCATGCAAGATGGAGCTCCCGCTCACACGAAGAAGACGGTTCAGGACTGGTGTGTGGCCAACTTTCCCTCAGTGATCACCAAGGATGAATGGCCTCCAAACTCACCGGATCTCAATGTGATGGACTTTTCCATTTGGGCAATCTTAGAGGCTAATGTCTGCTCTTTGACCTTGAAGAAGTCTTTGACCTGGAAGAAGTCAAAGGATGGAAGGCGATACCTCAGGATGACATTCGGGTCGCAGTGGAGGCATATCCGAACCGATTAAGGACTGTTATCAAGGCAAAAGGCGGTCATATCGAATGATCTCTTGTTTCCTTATTTGTTACTGTTAAATAAAGCTATTTCTGTTTAAAAATCTTCTTCCAGTGAAACTTCTTGGTGTGCAATGCCTTGTTGCCTTGCAATGAGTATCTTGTTGCAATAATTATGATTGGGAATGGGCAGGCGGAGAGCGGTGTCTTGTTTAGAGGACCTCCGTTGATGACCGCATCCAATTTTCGCATTTTCTCAAAGTTTATTCGAAAATCAGCACAAATCTTCAATTCAGAATCTCAGCTTTTAAGGGAATCTCGGAAAGGAAATGTTATTTTTCTAATACTGACTTGTAAATCAGAAGTACGAAGTACGAAAGTACGAAAAAACGAAGAAAGTAAGCGATCACAAAAAAAATGGAAAATTTCGGATTTCTCCGAAGCGGATTTCTCTCCGTTGATTCGAATGGATCTTGGAAAGAGAAAATAAATAGAAGATCACCTAGAGAGAGTCATTTTCTCAAGTTTTTTACTCCACAAAGAACTCTCTCTCTCTCTCCGGCTTGAATGTTTGTTGATGACACATGTGAAATCTAACGAGTACATAAAGTGAAAGAGAGAAGAATTCGAATCTCTGGACTTGACAGAATTCGCTCCATTTCAGGAGAGCAAATGCAGGCTTGAAAAGAAAAAAAAAGCTGTCTTTGTGCAAGACTGATTTTGAAATTATATAGAAAATATTCTCATAATACCGGGTGTCCGGAAAAAAAGTGGTCAAAGTGAGTCTGGAAAGATTTTCTCGTTAATCTTTCGAGGCTCATCGTTTGCCTAAGGCGCTATACAAGACGAAGTTGATTTTTTGATGTTTTTGTGAATAGGGGAATGAATATCGGCCGCAAAATTCACGCATAGGTACCGTGTTTTCGCTCAAGTCATCGTATGGTCATTGCCTGAACACAAATACCGTATTCTCTCTAATAGTAGTGCACCGCAGCGAGCCGAGTTGGTGACCATTTTACGGTTTCCAAGCTTTTGCAGCAGCTCGACACTCAAATCCCCCACTAGATCTAATCGTCAGCTACATTTTCCGATCCCACATCGATAGGTTCTGATAAGCGGTTCTCGAGATTTCGAGCAATTTAGGCGACGCTCAAGCGCTACTATTAGAGAAATACGGTAAACATGAAAAACAGTCTTTTCATGGATTTTGAGCTTCCCAGTCGATGCGACCCCCTATTCACAAAATCATCAAAAAATCAACTTGATCTTGTCGTGTGAAGCTGGAGGGAAAACCTAAAGCAAAGCCAATTCTACTAGGTTTTACTTTGGCCTTGAAACGAAGCCTTGGAAAATCAACGTGAAAATTTTGTTAGCCTCAAACCGATGAACACTTTTTTCGGACATCCTGTATAGAGCCGAGATGAATGTGTTCATCTAAAAATGCGTTTTTAAAACGTGTCAATTTCCAAAGACTATCTTGACTCTAGTTTCGAATCTATCTATCATCTGTAGATAGATTTATCTACAGATGGTAGATAGATCTATCTACCATCTGTAGGTGGATCTATCTATCATCCGTAGATTGATCTATCTATCATCTGTAGATAGATTTATCTACTATCTATAGATAGATCTATCTACCATTTTTAATATGTGAATCTGATCTAGATTTGAGTCTGGATTATGGTAGTTTTTGCGAAATTTCACGTTTTAGAAAAAACATCTTTCGATTGGTTACTTCTTGAAAATCGTCTCATTTTTACTGTATTCTTTTGCTAAAATCTTGCTTTTGCCGTCTCTCAAAATAAATAGAAAACTAGCGTAAATACTGTAATAGTACCCCACCCCCATAATGACCGTGCGGAGGGTTGCGTAGTCTAGCTTTGAACGAGTTTTTCTCGGCACTGGTTTAAGCTACAGTGTTCGTTTGAATATCAAAAAATAGCCGCAATTCAGGGCTATTTTTTGATACCTAAGCGCGCATTTTAGCATAAACCAGTGTCGAGAAAAACACGTTCAAAGCTAGACTACGCAACACTCTGCACCGTCATTATGGGGGTGGGGTACTATTACAGTATTTACGGTAAGCACTATACAATGATCAATTATGACTATTTTTTAAATAAGAATCATCAAATCTTAGATGCAAACACCCATAAATATTGAAAGATTACTTTGGTGGAAAGGGAAAATGGGGAAAATGGGGGAAATGATTTTTAAAGCCGATCAAGGGATGAATGGCCTATGGGATATGTACAGAAAGAAGCTCTTTTCATAGAGAAATATAGAAAAACTTACAGTGAAATAAGTTAATAACAAAATTTTCAGAAAAAAAGAAAAAAACTTTACGGGTCTCTTTCTTGAAATGAAAAGCAAAATTTCTTTGGGACTTTTCAGGAAAAAAAGTGAACTATTTGCACTTAGAAACCAAGAAATTGAAAAGAAATTCGGGAAAAGTGATTGATGGAAAGAATGAATAGTGGGAAAGGGGAAAGAAAATGAAGGTAAAGAGGGGGGAAATGGAGGAACAGATTTTGCACCACCCTAATAGAATTCTAGAAGAACTGGTTCTAGAATTCTAGGAGAACTGGTTTTAGAGTTCTAGAAGAACTGGTTCTAGAATTCTAGGAGAACTGGTTTTAGAGTTCTAGAAGAACTGGTTCTAGAAGAACTGGTTCTAGAATTCTAGAAGAACTGGTTCTAGAATTCCAGAAGAACTGGTTTTAGAATTCTAGAAGAACTGGTTCTAGAATTCTAGAACCAGGCTGGTTCTAGCCTCCTTCTAGAACTCTAATTAAATCCTTTCATGTCACAGAACAATCTAGACTCATTCTCTTGTAATCTAGATATTCTTTTGTTTTAACTATAGTACCAAAGTATAGAAAAATTTTGGTTTTGACATCAATAGATCAAAAAGAAAGGGATAGAAGATGGGGAAAAGAGAATGGAGTTGGGATTTGGGAAGAAGTTACAGGAGAAGCAGGAGCAGGAGTTACAGGACAAGCAGGACAAGCAGGAGAAGTAGGACAAGTAGGACAAGTAGGACAAGTAGGACAAGTTCTTAAGGAAACTTGGTTTCAGATGGCTTCACGGAGTCAAAATCTTTCTTTAAAACGGCTTTTTTCATTCAGAAATCAGTTTCTTTTACTAGAAAATCGCAGAAATAAGCCGAAATTTTAATTTTTCAGCCGAGATTCTCGAATTTTCAAATTCGATTCCGTCAAGAAACACTTGAGTGAATTTTTTTGAAGCAAAGAAAGAATGACATGGCTTGGAGACAAGGAAAAAGACAAGGAAAACCATTTGAAAGTCAAAAAACTTGAAATAACTTCGAAATAAAAACAATTTGCATTTAAATTTTTGCAATTTTAAGAAGAATTGAGCTCTTCTTTTGATGATTTGTCGGATTTGACGAAAAGATCCGTGATACAACTCGGCATGACCGGGCGACGTGGAGGATTTCGACGGCATGTCATGTAGATAGCTGAAATGTTGTGGATAGAGAAATGTTGTGGATAGAGAAAGTTTGCATAAACATTTCCTGAAATTAGTCATTTCTTTTCAGTACCTTAGGCAAGGTACTGAAAAGCCAAATTTGCAAACTAGCCACTACGCCACCAGGTTACCAGCAGGCTCCAATGTGGAATCGGTTATACCATCGAGCTTCAAAAATCTTTCGCGCTCCCAATTTTCGGTTTTTACACAGCTTAATTGGCTTAATTGGGTTGATTTTAAAACTGGTTTTTGCTCAGAGTTTTGTGCAGAATCCGATGCACTAGTTGGAGTTGTAGTTGAATGTAGTTGAACTCAATGCTAAGTTCAAACAGTTCCCTAGTTAGTCGGGAGGTCAAGGGTTCTTGGGTAGAGGGTAGAGGGTAGAGGCAAGGTACTTCGCCTCTTTTTTCGTCGATTTCCCGTTGGGAATCTCGTTGACAAACTCATGTATTTTGCTTGGATCTTACTAGGGAACGATCAGATTTTGCACGATTACTAGGGAACGATCAGACTTTTCAGAAAAATCCGATCTCTAGCACTTTCCTGATCTTTCCAAGGGTATTATGCCAGTAGAAATACAGTCATTCTCGCGAAAGAATTCAATCGAAGCTGAAGATCCCTTTAATCTTTCCGAAACCTTTTTGGTATAAGTGAATCAGGTAGAGTGTTATAGTTACACTGCTCAAGATCTTTGGCTAGACTCTTTGGCTAGGCTCTTTAGCTAGGCTCTTTGGCTAGGCTCTTTAGCTAGGCTCTTTGGCTAGGCTCTTTGGCTAGGCTCTTTAGCTAGGCTCTTTGGCTAGGCTCTTTAGCTAGGCTCTTTGGCTAGGCTCTTTAGCTAGGCTCTTTGGCTAGGCTCTTTGGCTAGGCTCTTTAGCTAGGCTCTTTAGCTAGGCTCTTTGGCTAGACTCTTTGGCTAGGCTCTTTGGCTAGGCTCTTTGGCTAGGCTCTTTGGCTAGTGTCTAGTAAAGTTTTGCGACTCTTAGCCAGCTCAGTTATTTCATCTAGATTTTATACTTAAAACTACTCAAAACTCAAACTTTACTACTCAAAAACACAAAAAAACAACTACTTTTTTTCTATTGAAAAGCAATAATGTGAAACAAACAAAAGGATACCTAATAAGAAGAAATAAAGGTTTAAACACACATGGCACTGCGATCGTTATGGCACTGCGACCGTTACCCCTATTGCACCTATGACCCAAATGTTGTGAAAGAAAAAAACCCCACTTGGCGAGAGAAAGAAGCATTTTTATATTGCGAACATGCTTGTAGCCTCGACCCTAAGCCTTAAGAGACAAGACTCCTAACCGGTCAGCCATCTGGCTTGCTCAAAGCATTGAAATAACAATGTAAAACAAATTGAACTAAAGGGGATCGAACTTAGAGACAATGGTACTACCAATGCACCACCGAGTCACTTTTTTGGTGAGTGACAGTAGCCAACTCATAACTCGCTCAATGCACTAGAGGATCAAATTTCAAATCCACTTTTACGGAAAGCTAGCGCGTTTGGGCCAAAACTAAAAACACCATCGTGTTGCTCGTGTCCGACTTGCGTAAGTCGATCTAGGTTTGGTTCGGATTCGAGCTTGTCTGACTTAAATCTGACCGTTCCCCTAAATCCACTTTCAGAATCCTTCAGCCACTCCTTCACTCATGATACGTTGACTGACTCAAAACAATGATCTACTATATACCGTATTTCTTCGAATAGAAGACCGGGTAAAGAGTATCATCGCGTACTCCCCTTTTTAAAATTTCTTTTCTGCATAAAAGCTTTCAATGAAGTGCTATAGAGCTGGAAAATGGCTCAAAAATCTGTTAGCTCATTTGGTATTTTTGAGCCATTTTCCAGCTCTATAGCACTTCATTGAAAGCTTTTATGCAGAAAAGAAATTTTAAAAAGGGGACTACGCGATGATACTCTTTACCCGGTCTTCTATTCGAAGAAATACGGTAGACTAGATTCAAAATCTCTTTCTTTATTTGTGTATAACAGTACGGATCATTTGTAAACTTTTCGAACCTGATAACGTGAGCAAAACAGCGCAAAGGATGAGCACGACGGTTGAAACGAGAAGACAAATTCGCAACGTGTTGAACATGTCACCGGCTGACTGAAAAAGAGATTTTAGACTGAAAAAGAGATTATGGACACTTCAGATTCACAAAGATTGGCATTCTTGAAAGCAGGAATTTGTCAAAGTCACCTTTCCAGTTCAGAAGCTAGTGAACTTCTAGTTCAGAAGCTACCAAGCCAAAGAAAGACTTTTGTCTTTCTTTGCCTTGGTTTTAAGCCCTAGAATCTGCTTGAAGCACTCCAGCTGACACTTTAATTTTGCCAAAAAGCAGTTTTAATTAGAATTATAACAGTTCAAGGACTTGTCAGCTTCAAATTTTGAAAGAATATTGTTTGATTGAGTCAAATCCCCTGATTGCCAGTCCCATCTTTCCTCGAATCTCAATCGAATTGCCGGCTCACTTGACCGACTTGGCGTAACGGGGAAAAAAGAAAGGATGTTTGTGGAAGAGCCGGATGCATTCTCTTCCCTTTTTCTTTTCTTTTCTTTACTCCTTGAGGGCTTCTTTATCGTATTCTTTCACAAAAACGTCTCAAATTATTAGCCTTTCCTTTTCCTCAATTGTTGACACCACTTGGCATCAATCTAGTCAATCTAGTCAATCTAGTCTCATCATAATCGTCCTTATCTTCGCATTATCTTCGCATTATCTTCAAATTATCTAGTCCTTATCTTCAATTTAGTCCTTATCTTCACAAAAGTGTCAGAAAGACATCAATAAAATCATCATCAAGACGCTTAAGACATCATCAATCAATTGTTGAAAGGGATTTTCGATGACGAGTTTTTGAGTTGATTTGATTAGCGCTCGAATCTCGAACTCCGAATTACTGTTTGATAAAAGTTTTTGGTCTCAAATCTCTCTCAAATCTAATACACTGTTAATTATAAAAACCGACTCTAGCTGCGAATTGAATATCCTCCATTCCACACGTTTTAAAGCACACATCCCCACCGCCGAACAGAGAGCCCAAACCTGAAACTGTTATTTCATGAGATGACTTATTGATTGTTATTTTAGAACTGTGGTTATTGCAATTGGAAGATGGCTTTTAAAATTGGCAAATGGCTTTTAAAGCTGGCAGATGGCTTTTAAGATTGGCAGATAGCTTTTAAAACTTGCAGATAGCTTTTAAAATTGGCAGATGACTTTTAAAATTGGTAGATGCCTTTTAAAATTGGAAGGTGGCTTTTAAGACTTGCAGATGGCTTTTAAGATTGGCAGATGGCTTTTAAGATTGGCAGATGACTTTTAAAATTGGAAGATGACTTTTAAAATTGGTAGATGGCTTTTAAAACTTGCAGATGGCTTTCAATCAAATACAGTTATAGTTTGAAGTTAAAAATTGTAAAAGGTTCTTTGATTTTTCTCTTGGCTATTTCGAGAACAAATCTGTAAAACTTAACAATGGAAATTTCAACTTAAAAGTCTCTTAAAGGCTAGAAAAGTCTAGAAAAGTAAAGATGCAAAGTGCCAAAGTTTAAGTGACACTATTTTTCTTCCCTTCTTCTTCCTTGTCTTTTCTATTTTGGGCAAAAATGCTGATGGCTCAAGCAGAAGGTCGAGGGTTCAATTCTTTACCATTAATTTCTTTTCTTTTACCTCCAGATGATCGCTGAGCGGTACTCGCAGCTTGTCCCATCCCAGCGTCGGCCTGTAGTGGTGGATCAACTCCCAAAATGTTCTAAAATCAAAAATTCATTAGTAAATCAATTTCGTTCTAATTTCAAAGCTAATTTGAAAGCTTTCAAAGCTGAATTCTAGATTTTGATAATATTGGTTGGTTTTCGATTGAGCTCCAGTGAGACACTTGAGTCAGAGCTCACTTGAGTCAAAGCTCTTTAGCTCTTTAGCTCTGAAGTGCTCTTTGAATCGGATTTCATTTTTTTCTCTTGAAAAATGGCTGTTCTTTCGGTTGATTAAGTAATCTATCAGTTTCTACAAGTTATACCATCATAGCCGACTGGCTAAGAGCCTTGTATCTTAAACAGGAGATCAAGGGGGGTTCAATCTCAGCTAGATTATTGGCCATTCCATATATCTGAGTTTTTTCTCTATATCTATCTCTGTTTTTCTATTGTTTGTGTCACATTATTCATGTGAATTCAGATTTTATGCATATTTTATGTAAACGAATCGACTCCCCAGAGTTTTGAGAGAGTCCAATAGTCTCGAAACCTTTAAATTATCTGTAGATGATCTTGATCTTGAAGCTCTAGTGGATCCTTGAAGCTCTAGTGGATCCGTTATCTGTGCTACCCACATTTTACATCTATTATATCGTGTTTCTTTTTATCGGCCCTTTTCGTGTTATGTGTATGGATTGATGTGTTTTAATCTTAAATCTAGCGCACTTTATCTCAGGCCATGAATATCGTAGCCTTATAGGTTATGAATATGTGCCTATAGGTCGTAGCCGTAGCCGTAGCCGATATGTCGTAGCCGTTTACGAAATTCAGCCGTTAACGAATGATTCGTAATCGACTAGCCGTTAACGAATGAAATTTTTCGCTAGCCGTTTAGCCCGCTAGCCGTTTAGCCCGCTAGCCGTTTAGCCCGCTAGCCGTTTAGCCCGCTAGCCGTTTAGCCCGCTAGCCGTTTAGCCCCGTTTAGCCCGCTAGCCGTTTAGCCCGCTAGCCGTTTAGCCCGCTAGCCGTTTAGCCCGCTAGCCGTTTAGCCCGCTAGCCGTTTAGCCCGCTAGCCGTTTAGCCCGCTAGCCGTTTAGCCCGCTAGCCGTTTAGCCCGCTAGCCGAATTAAAGAAGGGGACGCCAAAAAAGGAGTTGTTGTGAAGCCGATCATAGCGAAGGAGCAAAATGAACGCTGCCAAGTCGACTTAATCGATCTTCAATCGGTTCCGCATGCATTTTATTTGATGTTTTGTTGGGTTATAACCGTTATTATGTTATAAACGTTAATATGTTATACATGTTAAATGTTCTTTTATTCATTGTTGTTTTTATTCCACTTCTTGTGATTAGTTTGCTGATTTGCGATTTTGCATAAATGGTTTGAAATCAAAAAACTCATTTGAAACCTTGACGTTATCTGTGGTGTCGGGATGAATGCCTTTAATTGTAGATGATCTTGATCTTGAATCTTGAAGCTCTAGTGGATCCTTGACGTTATCTGTGCTACCCACATTTTATATATATTATATCGTGTTTCTTTTTATCGGCCGTTAACGAATGATTCGTAATCGGCTAGCCGTTTCGTTTTATGTGTATGAATTGATGCGTTTTAATCTTAAATCTAGCGCACTTTATCTCAGGAATCCATGAATATCGTAGCCTTATAGGCCATGAATATGTGCCTATAGGTATCTATATATATAAACGTATTTCAAAGTCTTCTACCTTAATCCCAGAAACAGTTCTCGAGACGTCAGAGAAAAGTTGTGGCAAATCGACTTCCCTTTGGCCCATACTGAAAGGAAACTCTTTGAAAAGAAGACTAAATTATTAAAAATAAACAAAAACTGAAATTACAACAATCAAAGTTTACTTGTTTTTTGTGGATTTATTGGGCTTTGGCTTTTTAAGCAATCTTTTTAAACAATCAACTCACCGCTTAAAGCGAAAACAAGAGGAAAAATAGATTAATTGTTGCTGAGTTGATTCAAAAATATAGTCCATTCAGCATTTGATAAGAGAAAATTCGATTTTGAATTAGCTCCAGTAATATTGAGAAAAAAAAGACTCGATTGTGGATTTGAGAAAAGCTCAAAAAGGAAGAGAAAGAGGGATTTCTAGTTGAGTGAGCATTTCCACTCGGTGAGTACTTCTTTGAGAGGTGTTCCTTTTCGAAGACTAGTCTACTATGAGAAAACATTTCTTTGAATCTTATTGTGTAAATAAACTGAACTAGGAATGTATAAAAGCTATGTACAAAAGCTATGTACAACAGTTTTATGTACAAAAGCTATGTACAAAAGCTATGTACAAAAGCTATGTACAAAAGCTATGTACAAAAGCTATGTACAAAAGCTATGTACAAAAGCTATGTACAAAAGCTATGTACAAAAGCTATGTACAAAAGCTATGTACAAAAGCTATGTACAACAGTTTTATGTACAAAAGCTATGTACAAAAGCTATGTACAAAAGCTATGTACAAAAGCTATGTACAAAAGCTATGTACAAAAGCTATGTACAAAAGCTATGTACAAAAGCTATGTACAACAGTTTTATGTACAAAGCTTTATGTACAAAAGTATCTGTATTCGCGTATATTTTTGCGCTTTTTCATTGCAAAAATCTCTATAAAAATTACAAAATTATTGAAAACTGTTGTTGTATCTCCAGTTTGGAATTGATAAACAATTTCTTTTTTTTGAATACTCCTAACCGGTTGAGATCTTATTTCCTTTTTAAATAGCTTCTTGAAATTTATCACAATTTGCGTGAGCTTTATGATCGCATCAGTTATTAGTATTTCCAGTATAAGAGAATCTGTTAAACTTAGAACTTAACCGGTTAGAAGTATTCAAAAAAAGAAATTGTTTATCAATTCTAAACTGGAGATTACAACAGTTTCCAAACAATTCCAAACTACAAAAGCTTTCGTGAAAAAGCGCAAAAATATACGCGAATACAGATACTTTTTTTCGAAGAGCAAAGAATAGCGATAACTCTAAATCTAAAGAAGTTATTTCAAAGCTGCAATAAGAATTAAATTCTGTGAAAAATTGGCTTTCTTTTGGCTATAAACACTTCAAAAATAATAACAATCAGAAGCTTTTAAAGAGAATTCTAAAAAGGACAGAACAGAAAGGACAAAAGCCGCACCTTGTACACAATAATGTTCACATTTTATACATTTTATCCATTTACTCGAGTTTTAAAGCACGATCTTTGTGCTTAATTCTTCCAATGACCTTCCAGTAACTTTAACTAACCAATAACTCTTCCAGTCCTTTCCAAAAATTAAATTTATGACCATTCATCAAATACTTTTTTCGAAGAGCAAAAAATAGCGATAACTCTAAATCTAAAGAAGTTATTTCAAAGCTGCAATAAGAATTAAATTCTGTGAAAAATTGGCTTTCTTTTGGCTATAAACGCTTATAAAATAATAAAAATCAGAAAGAATTAAAGAGAATTCTAAAAAGGACAGAACTTTCGCCACAGCTTAACTTTATTTGACGTAATGAAATGAATGAAATGAATGAATGTTAAAAGGTGTGAGAAGAAAAGAAACGGGATGGAAGATGAGAGTGAATTGAGTCAAGAAAGGGAAAGAAACTGTTGCCAGGAGGGTTTACACAAAGACAATTTTAGACAAAGCCTGGAAAGCGTAAAGATATAATTTGACCTAGCATTGATAAGATGTTAGACACCAATTTTTTTTACTTCATTTAGGTATTAATTTCATTTTTTTGAGTTCATTTAGGTATTTGAATCGTTTCCATAAGTCTACGTGCAGTTAGAGTCATTTGATTTGTTCAGCACTGACTTATAAATATCCAAAACAAATTCCAGTTTTCAAAAAATGTTAAAGCAACTAAATTTCTATATGTCGTAGCCGATTATGAATGAAATTTTTTGGTAAATCTTTCTAGTAGAGCAACCCTTTAATGTATGAGGACAATATTATATCATCCTGTAGCGAATTCAATTCTGCGTCGATTGGTACCGAATTTGTGAGTTTAGGTTAAAAATTACCGGCGCTACAACGTTTCATTCAAAATCGGCGGGACCCCCGTAGCCGATTATGAATGAGCGGGTCTAGGAGCGTCCATCATCAAGAATGGTTTGGCAGTGAGTGCGGATTATCCCTATGTATCTGGTCAAACACAAAGTGGAGGTGGTTGCCAAGTTCCACCAAAGGTAATTGATACAAGAGGGGGATTTCAATTTTAACACTTCATTAATCTTTTGGGAAAGAAAATCGGAGTCATTTGATTGTTGTTGATTATTGGTTTTTTTGCCCGCTCAGAGAGGCAGTCGGATACCCCATTCTCCTTCCGGATTTGGGGCGCGGTCATCAACGCTGGTGCTCTAAAACAGACACCAACCATTCTTCACGCTCTCCGCCTGCCCATTCCCAGTCATCGCCGGTGCAGGGTGTTGCAAAAATGTGGGTAAAGCGAAATACAGACTACAGAAATGATCCTGTGAAGTATGATTTCAGTAATAAGGGGGAAAAGAAGAGCTATCTATCGGGACCGTGTGCCAGAAAACGAGCGATTACGCGCATGCACAGAGAACGGTTGCTTGATTGGGGAAGGGGCAGGCTTTTTGTTGGAAACTTTAAAATATGTAAAAGATAATATGTAAATTTCATAAGCAATTACTTATTAGCTGATTTTATCTCTTAATACCCGCGATGAATGATTGATAAACCGATTTACCTTAGTAATTTCTATATGTCCTAGCCGATTATGAATTTCAGCCGATTATGAATGAGCGGGTCTAGGAGCGTCCAACCATCAAGTATTTGGTATCATTCAACGCAGAATCATTAATAATTATGTTAAATTTTTAAAATTAGAAAGATTGAATAAAAAGAAAAAAAATTATGGGGCCTCAAAGTTTCCTCTTGAACAAACAGTTTTTTTGTTCTAATTTTTCTTCTTTTATCAAATCTTTCTAATTTAAAAAATTTAACATAATTATTAATGATTCTGCGTTGAATGAGACTAAATACTTGATGGTTGGACGCTCCTACACCCACTCATTCATAATCGGCTACGGGGGTCCCGCCGATTTTGAATGAAACGTTGTAGCGCCGGTAATTTTTAACCTAAACTCACAAATTTGGTACGAATCGACGCAGAATTGAATTCTCTACAAGATGATATAATATTGTCCTCATGCATTAAAGGGTTGCTCTACTAGAAAGATTTACCAAAAAATTTCATTTATAATCGGCTACGACATATATATAAAAGCTCTAGCCTGATAAAAAATTGTGTTTATAAAAGAAAGACAAATCAGAAGTCTTTTTGAAACTGAAAACCTTGGAAAACTTTACTAAAAACTTCAAAAATCGTAAAGTTTTGAGAGTAAAGAGTCGGTTTTACTTTGTTTTTGTTTCAAATTTCGATTTCTTCAATTGCAAATAGGATAAACTCAAACAAAACACTCGATTTGTAACTTGAAACCGAAAAGGAAAGAAAGGAAAGAGAGAAAAAAAGAAAGATCCTCAAATAAAAACAAGTACTTGATGTTGACCAAATGAATGAAAAACATAAAAATATAGCACGAGTTAGACTAAAAGTTTGCGGTGACATAAAATCGCAAAAATGTTAACTTCCCTCCTCTCTGGACGAGACAGTTCCACACGTCTCGACTTATAGACCTAAGGTGCGCTCGGGACTAGGTAGAAGACCTTAGCCAGCATTGCAAAGCCCATCCTTCCGTGGTCGCTTGGAACTAAGGTGGATGAAAAACTTGTGCGCCGCCGGGACCCGAAACTGCGACTTTTCAGCAGGGATATTAGGACTTTACAGTACTTTTCGAAGGTAAAACTAGCCAAAAACTGAATGACTGGCTAGCTAACGGGAAATTTGTTCTTGAGTTGGAACTAGGACGGATGAAAAACTTGATCAGGCTTGCAGGCGGGTCCCAGCGCCGCCTGCAAGCCTGATCTCCATCGGATTTTTGTAATTCTAACTAAATCTAATCACAAAGAAGCATAAAAACTGATAAATAAAGAACAAGATTACCTTAAAAGTTTGCTATCAGTTACAAAATCTCAAGGAAAAGAATATATAGCAAAAATCTTCAAAAAAAAGTTTCGAGTCATAGACAAAACTAGAAGATAGACACATTGTTTTTGACGGAAATTCCTCGTCCACCACGGGAGAAGGAATTTCTGGTCGTTTAAGCCGCTGGGGGTAACAATAGGCGCACAGATAAGACAGTGAATGAAAAGAAAAGAAAAGAGGCCAAAAAAGAGGCCCACCCAACACGTTAACGTTTCAAAAATCAGGTCCACTAGCAAGGGGTATTGTCGGGAAAAGATGGAGGTGGTTTTTTTCGGAACATTCGGCCAGAGAAAGGTTGCGGAAGGGACACTTTGGGAAATGAATCAACTGTTCAATTGGTGAAATAGTGATCGAGGAAATGTTGTTCTTTAATCACATTCACTTCTGGGCGTACAGTCGCGTAGTCGTTACTGTTTTACTGATAACTTGGTGAAAATTCAAGCTATTATAGTCATTCGATAGCCCTGAATCTCCTCTTGAAAGCTAGTACAAAGTTTCGCAACTAGACTAAAACAAACATAAGAAATTATACTTTTGCATGATTTTGGAAAATGATAAAGATTACATTGTGGATTGATTCATTTTGAGGATTTTGGACTACACAACATGCGGCTCTTGCGTAGTTTCCGGGTATTTTGAACGGGTCATCAAGCTTTGAAGACCTATAACTTTGTCCAGAGATAACATTTTTGTTAACTTTTGGTATCATTGTACA